TGTTAGGTCACGTGACTTCTTATGCGACGAGAAATGATGAAAAATGATATGCTCCTTAATAGCATTTGTTCCTATAATGACTTGTCAGGTAAAACAGTGACAGTTAGTACCATCATCCCCGGCATGTGCTACATGTAGTTTTCCATGCCAAAATGACCTCATTGAGTGGATCAGTTGCTCAAGTATCTGGGTGAATATGCTGGGAAGAAAGACTGTTGATTCCCAGAATGTGAGGATGCAGACAAGGAGAATGTTAGTGAGACTCTCTTATAGGCTGCAGCCGGAACTGTTGTTAATGGAATGCTGGTCAATACATGTAGTACTTCCACACAATCTATGATCTCTATGTATTTATTGTGGCTCTTTGCATGGTGGAATGGTGACCTATCTGTTCTGCTGGGACTTATCGGGCGGCTAACATCTCGAGCACGCTATTCACGTGATGGTCACGCTGTGACCACAGTAGTCGAAGATGAGCTGGGTCTATCTTACCCATGATCAATACCCACTGGCATTTGGGTGAGGTAGCTTGAAGAACTGTCCCTGGCCTTCAAAACTGATCGAAGATTGATCGAGACTGCACATTGGCGAGATTATCTGGTGCTACACAACGACAATCGGCACGAAAACCCTTCAAATTCGCTTGGGACATCAGACATGTTCAAGCGCTCCACGCTATTAGCCGAAGACTGCTGGAGCGAAGACCGGACAGGGATATAAGTTACTATAGGTGGGAAGAGGTGTGGTGCGGCTCTCACTGCAGACCTCGTCAGATGAGGCGCAGACACCGACGATATTATCGTAGGAATGGGTATCATGCCAATCCAGGAATGGAGGGAAACAATCGGTCGAAGATGACAACTCTAATCCTCGACATAGCATGCCAATAAGGTCCCAGGTAGAAGCCGTGTGTGCTGACTTTTTTGAGACGGATGTCGCTGGAGAATCAGCAACGTTCTGTGCCGACTCGTCGCCCGATTCACTCTGTCCGGCATTAGTGAGAACGGGCGCGAGTCGTGGTGACGGTGACGTGTAGGACCGAGAGCGAGAATGCATCTCCAACTGTTCACCGTGGTCGGCATTACAATCGTTCGTGAAAGGTGTTGGTGCATCCGCGAGGAAACCATACGGGGGAATAAAAACGTATGGAGAAACACTCTCGCTCGCATCATATGAGCCTAAAACTGCGATTAGAGCAATACTGAATCCTGTAAAGACAGATGTTCACATACTGAAATCTCCAAGGATGATTCCATCCTCACTTTGACTACTGAGGTAAGTGTGCGAGGCCCAATCTTCGAAGAACGTCACGTCCAGCGGGATTGACGGATCGCGGGGAGCCAATAACACCTGATCTGGATTTTTGAAGTTGGAATCAAACCAATCATTGATGTTGCAGATCTCTTCGTCCAGCTGCTGGTCCGACGGAGGAAATATAGATGTCATACGCGCAACGCTGTCCGGAGCGCAACATCGTGAACGTTTAGAAATATGAACGTTGTCTTCCTCCGCACATCGTTTCCGTCGATTAGTTGTCGTCGAGGATGAACTACTTTGCAATGCAAGCTCTGAACCATGCGAGAACGAAGTTGGAGTTTCGATGTGTGGAATCAAGTCGGTTGCCGAAGGAGCGCATGCTGAAACAGGCGAGCCAAAAGATCCGGCTATGGGAAGGTCCAGTTCGGAGCTGTCGTGCAAGGAATATGACATCCTGGTGAACAAGGTCTGGTTAACATTCCATATTGTGGCAAGGAACGAGCAAGGAACGTACCGGATACGTTTGAGCGGCGGAGTAGTGCAATGAGTATTGGTATCAATATCTTCGCTCAAGGTGCTAGCAGCACGCTTCCGAGTGACGGCAGGTGTAAGGCTACTGTTATACACCGCTGATGAGGGATCTGAGGGTAAGGGCCGAGACATGCAAGGGCTAGCGTAAGCACATCTTTGTGTTCTCGGGATAGATGACTTGAGGGAGTGATCCAGGGTGATGTCATGGCGCCATGTATTGATGTGGTTAGCAGAAGCATTTGCCAGTTTGAACGCACGTTCATGCATCTCTATGATCTCCAAGACCGTACTAGGGTCTAAGAATTCAACGTCTTGATCATTCAAAACGCGAGTGACTGCATTGATCAGCGCAAGACGGGATCCATGAAAATGACCGGCACAAATCGTGGTCCAACCAATACGCCGCCTTGTACGCTTGAACCAACCATCTACCACCTCAAGAGAAACCTCCGCGGTTTTGGCGATCAATAACTTCATTTGGCGGGATGGGTAGGGATTATTCACGTTCGTAAATAACCACTGTGATGCAGCTAAAGGAGCTCTTTAGCGTGGGACACGAACAGAGGGTGAACGAACTGCTTACCATTTTCAAGACGATGAAATGACGCTGTGGTACTTGAGCCCGCAAGAAAAGCGTCATTCCCACCAGGCTCCTCAGGGGTCGCGATCCTGAAGGCAATGTCCTGCAGGGTGGTTCTTCTCAGAGCGTCTTCTAGGTCATCGACCATAGCAGACGTCAACGCGTCATAATCAGCTTGCATGCTTTGAAAGGTATCAGCCAATATGGCGATTCTAGAAGATGTTGCATGCGCCAAGGAGATTGTGTCAGCGTCGAGGCCAGCTTCGGATAACAGAGCGTTATCGACATCGTGCAATAGTGCCGTCCAGTAATGATCGAAGGCCTCTATAGCAGCTGGACCATCGATTACAGTAGAAAGCAGCTTGTCTTCAGCATCCAGCAATCGACTACGGATAGAATCCGCCATTATCATGTGAAGATTCGGTATGTGTTCAGGTTGCGAGAGCCAATTTCGCGGCATGCATACTATTATATACCTGAGCGACCGGTGTAACTTGCGGCGTATCCCGAATGAGAAGGATCATTCATCTCCAAATCCATCCAACAATGCGTCGGAGTCGTGGAACGCCACTGGTTACGAGTCCCCCGATTTTACACGTTCACGTCACTATATCAGGTCGAGATGTTCACGACACATCGTGCCGCTTTTGCTAGTGTATCTGAGCCACTCCCACTAGTACTTACCAGCTGAGCTCCTTCGGCCATGGCCTCATACACGATGCCAGTCTCCGACCTCGATATTTTACGGCGAATCGTGGACGTTGCGAGAAGTGTCGTCAAGGCTTCTGCAGCACGAGCCTCGTTTCCTGCAACAACAGATTCCTCGCGATCGATGCTGCAAGAATATGCTGCACCTGCATTCGACTGCATTCTTCCTCCATTGTTATCGCTAGGTGATCGTCTGCCCTCCATGCTTCATCCGGCAATCGCAAACAAGATCGTAAGTGCCTACACGGAAGCCGCCATGCGACTGAAGAAGGAATGCGAAACGCAGCTTCGGCGAGCTAGCCGTGCATTCATCGATGATTCACCCACTTCGGATACGGAATATCTACAGCTTCTACTTCGTTCGGCTTATCAAACCAAGTTCGTTGACACCATGGATACTTGGGTCAAGCAGATCGTGGATAACGTCAATAACCGAATCATGCATACGCGGAGTGGAGAGCTAAAGTCAGGAACGAGGGAGCACGTGGATATGGACCCCTCGCGGAGCAGCTTTGATCAGGTGAGATGGAATGTAGTCGGGAAAGTGGGACTGCTGAGTGATGAGGTGTCCAGGCTTCCGTCCTGATTTTGATGAAAGCATATCGACAAAATGCTTTTCCCTCTGTGACACAGAGACAGGAACTCGCATGCGAATGTGGCTTGGACTATAGTCAGATCACGAAATGGGTGAGTCCATACCACGCAGTTTCATAAACACGCTCCTCCAACAATTCATCAGTTCCAAAATCAGAGGAATCGCTGCAAGATCGAGAAGGAGAATCCAGGCACAGACCACAACTTTCTTGAACTACCAGAAGAACATAAGACGATCATAGCGGAGTCATTTGACCATAACGCCGTGAATAACGGGTCCTGCCTCAAATGCGGCAAGGTGTGTAGCAGATATAATCTGTATGCATGTTGCTGGACTAACTAGAATGAATATAAGGCCGAGAGCCTGAAACCTATCACACGTGCACCGAGAAGCGGGACAATTATTGCATTCGATCGAGGCCGTCCTGCGCATGCATTTCCATCTCCATATCCTCCTGTCGGCCCCGATCCTCTTTACCCTCCGGAAGATGTCCCTCGCTGCCTGGATTTACCATGGTTGCGACGAACGTCTTCGTCACACATTCCTCTGTCAGGTTCAGCGGATATCGCGGACCTGTCCGAGTTGTTCGCGAGATTGTCTTTGAACGATGATTCTCAGGAGGTTCCGAAGCAATCACAGCGTTCACATTCGGCAACCCTGCACGCTGCTCTTGGATTTGCCGTTATTCCACCTTGTGCACCGCTGCCTGCGTTGCTTCCCTTGCGTTGTGATTATCTGCAATTGTCGTGTGCGCAGTCGTGTCAAAAATCCCTGCTTGACAGTCCCGTGGACAAAAGCCAGGCTTGTTCTGCGTCGCCTCCCCATCCACAGAATCCAGAAACATTCTCGCGTCTCAACCCATCCGCTCATACGCCGTCGTTTAGTACGGCGACTAGCCGGAATTCATCCCATCTCTTCGACCGAAGTGTGTCCGGATTGCCTAGATCTAGACGATACGGACAGCCAAATGGACAGTACTGCGACAAACAAAGTGCTCAGAGTGCCTCATATACGAGGTCAAATGAGCTCGCTTCTAAACTGCGAGAATCCGGCGCAAAGAAAGGGGCCCCCACTGCAACTCCAACACCACCTGTTGCACTTCATTCATCACCGCCGCTGCCTCCGCCTGTTGCATCGATACGAGTGGTTCACCAACCATATCCTCCACCAAGGTATCTGGCAGCAAGACGTATGACTCGGTGGGAAGCGCGTGCCTCTACACCAGAGAAACATGTCATTTCTATCTGGCCCCTTGCACGCTCAATGTGTTCAGTCGGCCGCCGTCGGACATCAGTTTCTTTTCGATCATTATCACCGTCCGGCTCCAGCTCAGGCACAGACTCGGATGTGCCTCTCACACCGCCTCCGAATTCAGTCGACCTCCCTCCTGCTGCTGTAATGCAACACCACTGTCATGACTGGTAGAGGCCCTACGCTGATTGCGTTGTAGAGCTCTGTCTTTTCTCGCCTGAATTTGCGTGATATCTAACTTGTAGTTCGATCCTGTTGATGACGGCGAATGTTTTACCATGCAGACATCGGCCTTTATACCCCGACCGGCTGATCTCAATGTGTTAAATTATTAGTATTTACAGCCTGAGACTAATTTATGACGTGTTCCGACGACATTGTCTTCTCTTCAATAGTATATCTTGCATCGGCGTTGATCTACTCGTGCAAGACCAGCTAATGCTGTCACCTTAAGTAAGCTCAAGAGTCAATGGAGAGTATCCTATTCAAAGGCATATATTATTTCCCGCTACGATAGTAGAGGGTCTTACGGTACGGTCGTGAACGGGAGCAGGTTTCCGCCAAAACTCGACGGCACGTGAAAAATGACGTCAAATCATGTGCGCCGCCACAACAACGCCTTGGCGCTGACTTTCCCCTCGTTCCTTCGTTCGTCCATGTCTCTGTTCGTCGTTGCTCGCACAGTCTTGTTCCTAATAAATCCGTTAGCTCCATGTGAGATACATCTGAAATAATCCATCGAGCCGAGCGACGTCAATCGCGAGGTCCTCATGCTGCGAGAACAGCCCACACCCTCAGGCATTTCATTCAACGTCTGCCATCCATAGGATGCTCGAGATGCGGGATGGGTGATGCAAGCAACTGCAGCTCGTGGAATGAGCGGAATCAGCATCAACGCAGCTTCAGAACGGCGACTGTTTTGAACTGGCAGAAGAGTAATAAAATGGAGTGGGCGAGCTGCTCGTTGCGATTCAGATTCCGAATACGTTTTCGCAACTAATGAGTATGCTTCGAGAATGCGCAAACCAGCATGCACCCAACCTCTGATCGTGCAGCTCTACCTCCTGAACATCCATGAAATACGCCTCATCTCCCCCTCTTGCGCAAGTAGGTCAGATGCGCTTTGATCGCGCATGCACAGCTCCTGCGGAGGCGCTCGTGGTGTGACCGGCGCCACGAACAACAACCCTGAGCGCAATTGTACAAGGATCTAATTGCAAGATCGTCTTGCAGAAAGTCGACGATGCGATCGTAGATCGGCGTGGACTTCTTTTCCGGGAGATTATTGCCCGCTGCAACGGGATGCGAGTTCCGCCACTCGATTCCGTGGAGTAGCTATTGTCCGCCTTTTGGAGATAAGTGCGAGTACAAGGTTGCGAGACACGATGATGAGGCGTGTTCGTCACTGACGCCACCCGGACCCCGGAGTGGCGTTGCAGAAGCGCCCAATTTGAGTGCTCGATCAGACTGCTCGATCGCGGGCTGGGCGACGTGGTGTTCCAACTGCTCGGCATCACTGCCGTGATACTCTTCACACGCATTACCGTTGTTCGTCACTGCCACGTCGCTGTGACTGTTGTGAACTTTTACGACGTCTTCTCAACCGCACAGCTCGTGTCGGCCCAAATCGCACAACGTGTTTTTACATGCCGACGACATCAGCTGAAACAATACCGGAAAATTGATCTCCATGCACTCGGTGACAATGGATGTGGATGCCTTGCAAGGCATGCTAGAACAAATGAATCTCAAAGCTCCGCATTGGAGTGCCGATTTGGACACCTCAACACGATTGTATCACTCAGCTAGTTCGAAGCCGTCGTCCAATCCTGCCTTTTTCGTCCCTGCATACCAATGGCTGCTTGACAACTTACACAATCCATATCCTTCCAAAGAGGTGAAACAATGGCTCGCACGGAACTCCGGCGTACCGATACGATCCGTGGACATCTGGTTCATCAACGTGCGACAACGAATCGGCTGGACCGCCGTGTCCCAGAAGTTCTGTCATGGACGCCACGCGGACATGCTCGAGGTTGCGCATCGTGCGTATCGAGGGGGCGACCTGAGCTTGTTGTCTCTAAATCGAACCGTGTTTGCGGCGTTTGTGGAAATGCAGTCTACCGCAGTCAAATTATACCTTGAGAAGCTCGCAGATTGCGATATTCTACCTAGCAGTGCGACTTATCAAATTGCAAAACTTCGCGAGTCTGCTCTGCTCACGGCAACAGGATATCGTGTGCCGTCCGTCATATGTAATGTCGAGCCCCAGAGTTCTAACACCTTCCGTTATGTTACCTTTGATAGAGGATTCAGCGAATAGTCCGATACATGAGCGCCATGCACCGTCTGTTCACTCCTACCAGAGTCAAGAGATGCCCAATGATCATGGGACGCCGTTATCCTCTCAGGATGTGAAGCTCATGATGCCTTTTAACGAAAAGAACGATTCTTCGGTCATCGTTGAGTATGTACTAAATGTAATGATTCGAATGACTAGTACTCACCATTCTCTCATATCAGTTACATCGCACAAGCTGATGGCAGTGGAGCAACTACCCTGCAAGCAGACAAAGCTGAACTTTCGCTCGACGTACCCCTTCATGCGATTCCGTCCCCTCACCTTCGCAAGAGACGACTATCAATGTCCGAGTCACATGTCATTTCCAAGCAACCCCGGCTCGCCTTCGCTCTCTGACTTCAGGTCAACCACATATCAGCTCACCTTACTCCATGGGACAGTTTGAGTTGCTTGTGATAATCGCTATTTGATTTACCTGCTTGGTTTTCTTTGTGGATGACAGTGCTCCCTACTGCGCTCATGCCTTGTAATAACTCTCCGGCCACCAAGTGTGCTGTACAGAGTTAGCTGTGGAATGACAATGCATGCCTTACATCGCTACATGGTATTAGTGAGAGGAGCCTGGAATTATTGCAGATACGTTAGATTTAAAACAAATCCCATGCACAACGTTCCCACCAGAGAACAGTCACAATCTCAATCTACGCATCAATGCCTCCCCGAAATCGACACCTCATCCTCTATCTTCCACCTCCCCACCTCCGCCATCGCCTCCGCATCGCCCGTCGCCAGCTCCGGCGCATCCAACGGCGTGCTAACCATCGCTCAAGGACTCTCCTTCCCGCCGCCGTGCCATAACACCTCCTTCTTGAGCTTCTCGCCCGTCCTTCTGTTCAGCGGGTCATGCGCGAACAGCTTTCGCCAGACGCGCGAGGCGATTACCCGGTCGAAAAGATACGAGTAGTACGTACGTCCGAACCGTACTGGGTGCCCGAACCCGGAGTGGCGTTGAAGAAGCGCCCAGTTTGAGTGCTCGATCAGACTGCCCGATCGCGGGCTGGGCGTTTCAACGCTCTTCACATGCACTGCCGCCCGTTGCTTCCGGTGCCGCTCTTCGTCACTGCCACGTCGCTAGCGCTGTGACTTTTGCGATGTCTTAATCGCACACCTCGTGTCGACCCAACTCGCACAACGTGTTTTACGTGCCGACTACATCACCAGAACAATACTGGGAAACTGATCTCCATGCAATCGGTGACACTGGATGCCTTGCAAGGCCTGCTAGAACAAATGAATCTCAAAGCTCCGCATTGGAGTGCCGATTTGGACACCTCAACACAATTGTATCAGTCAGCTAGTCCGAAGCCGTCGTCCAATCCTGCCTTTTTCGTCCCTGCATACCAGTGGTTGCTTGACAACTTGCACAATCCATATCCTTCCAAAGAGGTGAAACAATGGCTCGCTCGGAACTCCGGCGTACCGATACGATCCGTGGATACCTGGTTTATCAACGTGCGGCAACGAATCGGCTGGACCGCCGTGTCCCAGAAGTTCTGTCATGGACGCCACGCGGACATGCTCGAGGCTGCGCATCGTGCGTATCGAGGGGGCGACCTAAGCTTGTTGCCTCTAAGTGAAGCCGTGCTTGAGGCGTTTGCGGAAATACAGTCTATTGCGGTCAAGTTGTACCTTGAGAAGCTCGCAGATTGCGATATTCCACCTAGCAGTACGACTTATCAAATTGCAAAACTTCGCGAGTCCGCTTTGCTCACGATAACAAGATATCGTGTGTCGTCTGTCATCTGTAATCTTGAGCCCCAGAGTTCTAACACCTTCCGTTATGTTACCTTTGATAGAGGATTCAGCGGACAGTCAGGCACATGAGCGCCATGCACCGTCCGTTTACTCCTACCAGAGTCAAGGGATGCCCAAAGATCATGGGACACCGTTATCGTCTCAGGATGTGAACCTCGCGGGGCCTTTCGACAAGGAGAATGATTCTCCGGTCGTCGCTGAGTGTGTAAATATAATGACTCGAATGACTAGTGCTTACCATTCTCTCATATCAGTTACATCGCACAAGCTGAAGGCATTGGAGCAACCACCCTGCAAACGGACAAAGCCGAACTTTCGCCCAACGTACCTCTTCATGCGATTCCCTCCCCTCACATTCGCAAGAGACAATCCTCCATGTCCGAGTTGCATGTCGTTTCCAAGCGGCCCCGGCTCGCCTTCGCTCTGTGACTTCAGGTCAACCACATATCAGCTCACCTTACTCCATGGGACAGTTTGAGTTGCTTGTGATCGTCGCTATGTGATTTACCTGCTTGGTTTTCTTTGTGGATGACAGTGCTCCGTATTGCGCTCATGCCTTGTAATAACTCTCCGGCCACCAAGTGTGCTGTACATATTGAGCTGTGGAATGACAATGCAACGAATGCATGTCTTGCATCGCTACATGGTATTAGTGAGAAAAGCCTGGAATTATCGCAGATACATTAGATTTAAAACAAATCCCATGCACAACGTTCCCACCAGAAAACAGTCACAATCTCAGTCTACGCATCAATGCCTCCCCGGCATCGATACCTCATCCTCTATCTTCCACCGCCCCACCTCCGCCATCGCCTCCGCATCGCCCGTCGCAAGCTCCGGCGCGTCCAACAGCTTGCTAACCATCGCCCAAGGATCCTTCCCGCCGCCGTGCCGCAACACCTCCTTCTTGAGCTTCTCGCCCGTCCTGCGGTTCAGCGGGTCGTGCGCAAACAGCTTGCGCCAGACGCGTGAGGCGATCGCCCGGTCGAAGAGGTACGAGTAGTATGTGGCGCCGTAGCCGAATAGGTGCCCGAACTGCGTCTGCCAGGATGTCCCTGGAACGTAAGGGATCAGGCCGCGCGTCTCGGAGAGCTTCGCGAGCGCTGCTGTGGAGTCGAAGCCAGAGCTGAGAACGGCAGGGGAATGGTAGATCTGGTCGAGCGCGGCGAGGAGGATTTGAGTGTGCGTGTCGATGGAGCTGCATGGGTCTTCCTCGTGGTGTCCCGTTTGCCTGATCGCAAACGAGCCGTCAGAGTCGAAGAGGGAGAGCACTGTCGGAGAGCTAAGAAAATGCTCCATCAGGATGGAAGGGAGCTCCACGAAGTCGGTCGCACAGCGCGTGCCCGAAACGTTCTGATACTCCGTCCTGCCAATCATAGCTACAAACACGATACATGTCAGAACGAGCGATCCAGTTCGGAGGAGTAAACACTCACAGTGCATGGCGTGGCCCATCTCGTGAAACAGTGTCATCACCTCATGCCATTCCAGCACCGTTGGCCCCCGGCTAATCGAGGGCCTCGTAAACTCGCACAGTAGAACCACCAGAGGAAGTTGGAAAGTGCCTTCCTGGCCTGGGAACTGGCGGCGGTGCGCAGCCTCGAAGTCACACGACATTTTAATCAGCGCCCGGTCGTGCTCGTCGGCATCCCGCAGATCACCTTCTAGGTCATCATCGTCCGTCCGCCTCGAACACCGCACCGTGTAATGCGCCGCACCGCTTGGCTTGCCTCTGCGCGCGAAGAGATCCGCGTAAATCCATCCGAGAACGCCCGTCTCCTCGTCCACCACCTCCAATTTGCGGACGTCAGCATGCCAGACTTCTCCTGGAGCGACGTCGGCCAAACGCAATGAGACGCCGTACAGGTTTTGGAAGAGGCGTGATAGACCCATGAATACCCTGCCAAGAGTCAGAGGAGGCAGCTTGACTGGCGGTGCTGGCGGCTCCGGAGGACAATAGTAGTCGCGATCCCAAGCCTGGATGATCGGGAAGGGGGCAGTGTTCAGATGTGCCTGCTTACGCATGCTAAGCGTGCGCAACGCACTTCTCGCGTACGGTCGAGTGTAATCCATGAGTGAGTCCAAGAAGCGCTGGACATTCTCTGTGCAAACCGTACAGAGAAGAATTTAAACATCATTTCAGTATTCATGACAATGAATATGAGAAGGACTTGCGCGCACCCGGTGATTTTGCCATTTTATCGGCGAGAGTCATATGTGCGAAACTACTCTTTCCGACCAGGCGGGCAAGCTCACCTCGAGCATGCAGCAGATTCTCTAACGTCTCTATATGTTCGGGGGTACTTGTATTGGCTGCCATGTACAGCTTTCTCCGAGGCCCTTCTGCTGGCGCACTGCGCATGATCATTTGCGCTTGTAATGACCCGGGGTATACGAGCAGATCTCGTTGAGTGAATTGCGCTTGCAATCGCAGTCGTGCACCCATTCCCATGTCCTTTATCCCCTGCAGTTCCACTGGTTTAATAATCGCTGGTGGCCGTGCGCTTGTGGTTTCGTTGACGAATTTCCTTCCAAGTAGCATGATTTCTGTCGACAGCGAAACAAACCTGCTTCGCTGCTCTGGTGGTAGATCTATTCCAGACTTTTCAAAGTCCCTCCAGAATATTAGTGCGGTCTGATGGGCCTCCAAAGTCAGCGACTTGACGACCTCGGGATCAGAAAGCACGGCATGTAAAACCTGAGAACTTGGATGTCAACGTGCATCTGTAGGAGAGCCATGATCACACGCACCTCGTGTAGACCAACATGGGTATTCAGGATATTCATGAATTCGCATAACTTTTCGTACACCTCATCAGCACATCTTACCCAAGCTCTGTCGGGATGCGCATTGCGGAGGAGCTCCGCCAAGTCAATGACCCCACATAGCAGGTCGCTCAGCCTATCCAAGTTCTTCACCACCTTGAACAACTCGGGCCTCGATTCCCGTGCTCTAAGCACACGCTCGGTTAAGAGTTGGGCACGACGGAGAGTGGAATCAGCTAGGGCGTTGAAGGCCAGCGGTGTCGAGAGACTAGGATAATTAAAGAGCCCAGTGAAGTTCAGGGCAGTCGACCATTGAGGCTGCTGAGGCTGGTCGAAGAGCGCTATGACATCCGTGTCCTCGTGCGAGGCAGGTAATGGTAGTGTAGCGGTCGTGGTGGCGGATCGAGTGAGCATGCGGGGGGCATCGCGCTTTGCATTGAGACAGCCCCGGAATCTGAAGGGAGATTTGGCCTGCTTCGAGAGCGCATTCCTGGCCGTCTTTGCGAGCATAAATCGAGGGGTGAGCGTCGGTGGACAAGCCTTGCAAGGCGACGCTGTCCACCCCTGGCATGATCGTGACTTTCCTGCCTCGGCATCTGCCGACACTTCCCATAAAGGCGATCTCGATCGAGGTCGTCCAATTGATGGCCTCCCATTCGACGAAGGCAGGGCTTACATTCATTTTGTTTGCATGTTTCCAGAAAAGCATGGGATCTAATGCTCTATCCATGTATCTCACCCATAGCATAGTAATTAGCTACTGTAGCAATAATTAGGTCGGACGGTGTGGGTCATGCTCAATCCAAGAATATGATGGTGAATGCTGCGCGTAACCAATGCAGATAAAGATGACGTGAAAGCGTACAACAATATGGAGATACAAGCTCATGACTGATCCATGGGAGACCCTCGTGTTGACAAACCATCCTCTTCATTTTGATCGTGCATCACAACATCTCCGTTCGTCCCAGAATGAGACTCGTTATCCGGTGTTTGCTCCGGATGCGTACCATTTTGTATGCCGGCTTTCTCCGTCCGTCGCCGTTTACGGGGCCCAAGGGGATCGTCCGGTGCGACCTGTGGAGCTGGTACGGGCTCCACCGCGTAGTACCAATATTTACTTTTCTTCTTCCCCGCCACTGCTTCCACCACCGTCTCTGTGGGTTTAACCGCCGCTGCGCCGTGTATCTTGATCTTGAGCCCGTTGCCATTCTGTGCCGGTGCGGTTGTTGACTGTGTTTCGGTAGACCCATTGCTGACCAGACTATCCTCTGTCCGCGCTCGCTTTGGTGGACCGTCCAATTGCATGTCTACGGTCGCTCCTAACCGAGTAGAACGGCGTTCTCCGCGCCATTCGGCCCAATCATCCTGAGCTCCACTGGACCGTCTGGCATGGACAGCTGCATGAGTGGCTCGCGTTGACCGCCGCCGACCGATGCCAGGGTAACGACCGTTGGCACCACGGAAGTCCGCCAGATCGTCGTCATCTGCCGGTTCATCATAATCCTCGTCCTCTTGCTCTTGATAAGTGTACTCGTCTTGATCGTCCTGGAACTGCACAATATTCTAGCGTAACGCAAGGAGAAGATGATATAGAATTCACCTCACTGGTGGGATCGTTCATGTACGCATAGTCAGGGCGAGTAGTCCGCCGACGGGTCCGGGTTTCCCGAACTTCTGCCTGAGCAATCAAGAGATTCCGTTGCTCAATCTTCTTACGGGCGCGTTGGATTCGCTACGTGATGACCGGTCAGTCACGTGCGTCAACAGCGGTGTTCAACATGAGAAGATATGGCAGCAATGTTGCGCGTGGCGCTCCGAGGTCTGATAACCATGCTGCCTCTCGCATGTAAAGAGATATGACCTACTCACCGCTATTTCGGCATCAATCGCCTCAATTCTCTCTTCCAGAAGCTTCAAGAGTGCAAGATGTGCTTGTTCTAATTTCGTTCTTCGTCCACCTTCCTTTGGTTCTGGAGGCGCAGCCTCCTTAACCTTATCGACAACCTCCATATATTCTTCGCGTGTGGTAGAAATAGTTTGAAATGTCGCAGTGATCTTCCATGGATTCGTTGAGATATATAACCGTGGAGAGTCTACATGAAAAGACGTCAGTGAGAATTACACCAGACTGTATTGGTAGTGGGTCGCAAGATGCCGAGTAATAGTTGAGGTCACCTCAGGAAGCAAATACGTGCAAATATGGAAAATGCATGGCGAAGAGAAAGAAAACGTGCACGGACCATCTACAGCCCAGTAGCGTTTGCGCTCTTTGTCCTGACCGAGTGGGAGCAGTAGCAAATTTTCCTGGCTTTGGGGGTCGCTGGGCGGAGGAGGTGCAGACGTAGTCTCAGTCTTCTTGTGCTTGTTATGAATGACACCCCAAGCGCGGTCTATGATGGCTTTGATGTCTGAACTATGGCAGAGTTGCAATTCCACTAGCTGTCGGAGCACCTTCAGCTGAATATAATTGCAAGTCACGCGTGTCAGTCATGCGCAGATCCGAGTGTCACGGTTGAGGCATACCTTCAAGTCCCATGGCGCAGCAAAGAATCCATTTAGCATCTGGTGGAAGGGATCCACGTTCTTCTTCAGCTCATCGTCCCAAAAGACCAACCGCTCTGGCGTCTTGAGGTACTCCTGCAATACAGTGGCCACAGTTGACGATATCACGTCTGAACTGTTATGCAAAGCGTGTCCGAGTAAGGAAGAGACGGCCACGAACGAAGTGCATACGATATCCCACCTCAAGTTACGCGTTTGTGGATGCAAGTTCAACACAAAACGCGCCAAGATTTGAGTTATTATCGGGTTCGCTTCCTCCGATAGCATCGCCTCCTCAAGACTGTCGGTGCCGGCCCAACATAGTCAGCCCGCGAGGAATCGGCTCGTCAAAACTCGCAGTACTCACTCCATAGGTGTGTCAAACCCTTCCACCTTACCCCGTAGCTGCGTGAACTTGCAAATGAATGAATACACAAAGGCCGTTTCCCACCGGTCTCGAGGGTGGGTGGCATTTGAAGGAGGACATATGTGCCCCTTCTTCTCAATAGACGCGTCGGGAGCAAGAGCTTTCATGGCGGTTGTAGCGGTGGTGGATGTGGAGCAAGAGCATGGACGAGTGTAAGGTACAGGAGCGAAGGTCACGTTGAGACCCCGTGAATTCTAATTCCGTCGCCACGAACAAATACGTGATAAACACTGGCTATGCAAGCATGTCGTTGCACGCCGTTGCAAGCACTCTGCAACAATGGGACGAGCAGTCCTACCACCAGAAAGATCCGAATACGTGAACAGAGTAATAGAGCACATATATTACAGACGTTCCAACAAGATATACATGCAGCGGCCATTGGTATGAATGCGAAGCGTTAGCCTGGACCGACCTATCTCGCAGCCGTCAGCGTTGTTTTACGAATAGTGACCACTATTCTCACCTTTGGGATATCATGGTGCTCGCTCAAGGCCTCCAGCTTCGAGTTGAATTCATGCACACGGTCTTTGTGCGTTTGATTCGCAAGCTTAGCGACTTTAGCGGCGAGCTGGTTGATGTATGTCAGTCAAAGAGGAGCACACCAATGACAACATTGGAAGAACGTACCCGTTTCTTCTGAACCTCCTCGAACCTTCGCTCCGCCGCCGTCTTCCTATCGCTGCTGCTACTAACTACTGGCGAGCTCCTGCCACTTCCTGACGGAGATCCACTCTTGGCCTCTTCAACTTTCAATGCCGACTCCAGTTCCTTCAGCCGCTCCGCTTCAGCAACCTTGTCCTCTTCTTTCTCCTTCTCCTTCTCCTTCTCTTTGGACTTGGATTTGTGCTTCCTCCTGTGAACGGCTTGAGTACAATACCGTCTGCGAAGCACAGATGTAACGCACTTCTTGACGATGCCTCCCTCAGCAACGCCGCCCCTCAGCTTGAGCGCGCCGCCGGGGCGAAAGTCATAGTGGGACATGGACGAGAGTGATGGTCATGGACAGAGAGTGGCCGTCACGATTGGTGTCACGCTCCGGAGGTCATGCATGGGTCACGCACGCGGTAGCGCTGTTGGTCACTGTCCTCGACATTCTTGCGACCAACTCTCCAGTGCGGATTGCGGCTTGCTACCAGTACCTGTTCGTGCCATCGTCTGGGCCGAAGGTTTCCGAAGTCAGGCTGCAGAGACTGCTCTGAAAGATGGCTGTGCTGTCGTTCTCGCCTGCGCAGTTCGTTGCTGCTATTCCACCTGCAACTCGCATTTATACTGTCGCAACCGTTGCGTTGTCTCTGGTTTACTACATTCTATCATGGAAAGGCGGTGAAGAATTTTCTGCGCCATATCTTGTATTGGTCCCAGGGTCAAGTCTATTTTATCCGTGGACCTTCCTCACTTCTGCTCTCGTGGAAACAACCATCATCGAGGTGAGAGCTCAACATTAGAGCGATGTGTTATGACTGAGCTATGTTCAGCTTTTGTTCACTCTCTTGGTGATTCCTGCATCTCTGAGATACTTGGAACGATTATGGGGTGCCGTGGAGTTGCTCAAGTTCATCGCCGTCACCATAACGGCTTCAAATATCATAGCGTTTGGATTGAACTGGATAGAGTACATTGCCCTGAGAAACCCAGTCTTCCTGTGAGCTCGCCCTAAAGGATGTTCTTACATGTTGTCTTACGCGGCATCCAAGCTACGGGCAGCAGTATCACGGACAAATGGCACTACAGATTGGGGTGCTCGTCGCTTTCAGGCAAATCATCCCCGAACATCAGGTGCAGTTGTTCGGCATCATCAAAGCCAGGGTTAAGGTGCTTGACTGTTCTAGTCCATCTCATGGTTGGACTCAAACCTAAGAATGCACCCATAGACACTCCCGATGGCCTATGTCACATTTTCAACTGTCATGTGTATCCTTGGATTCCAATGCCCGTTCATCGTGATTCAATTCGGCTGGCTAGTTTCCTATGTATGGCTGCGCTTCTACAAGAAGAACGCAGTGGACTTGAATGGAGGGCCGCTGTATGGCGATCGTAGCGAGACCTTCGCATTCGTCACCTGGTTCCCTCCGTTGATCCAGTAAGCACCTTGTATTCCCCCTGCCTGCTTTCCTAATCTTGGCCGGTGTCTTCGGCGACGTTCTTGCAGCGTCCCGATTACTTGGCTCGGCAACACCGTGCATAAATATGCATCGAAGCTCCATCTCATCCCATCATCTGGAAACGACGTAGAGTCTGGAGGATATGCGCCGCTGCCCGGCGGCGCTCGTGCTGAGGCTGAGAGAAGGAGGTGCGGATCTCAATGATTCCTTATTTCTAAATTGTATTCTGAAGAAGACCTCACCAGAGCAATGGCTTTGAAGGCACTAGACCAACGACTAGCTGGTGGTACTTCATCTTCATCTCCCCCGCAACGAACTGCCACTGGATCGCCGGGTCCGTCACGGCCGGCAGCAAATGGCGTTAGTAATTCCGAGCCGTCAGCGTCCAGGAAAGCTGGTGCAGAAAGTGAGGATCCGCAGGCGGGCGAATCATCAGAGAATGCAGATGGCGAAGAAAAGTAATGTTTCCAGAGCCTCTCGGCTCGTGGTTTATTTCAGCAAGAGTACGATAACCTATGGCGTAGGCGTATCTGGGAACGAGGTTGCTCACGAAGTACTGTAGTTCACGTCATTTCTAGTCAACCATATTTGTGGACACCATGCATTGCCTTGTACATTAGGGAACTCTGCGATTGATAGATGATAGGTTATGAGTAGGCTCGTATACACCGCCGCGCAAATGAGCTGCCTCGACGGCCGGCGCTTATGGGATAGCCGCCGACTCTGTATAACACTACGTACTGGATGCCTCGCCGTTATCCAGCTCGAACAACATGGCTTCACGCTCATCTCATGCAGCTGATGCCTCTCAGTCAAAATCGGGCTCTCTTGAGAACCCCAGTCCAAACATCCAGCCGAGGCCTAATTATGGACAAGCTGGATCCTTGACACGCTCACCGTCCACGTTTCCGGTCGCGATCTCTGCGCTAGACGCTGTTACAGTCATGGACGACTATGACCCAGACGACCTACTCACTAAACACACTGTATCAGAGGTCAGGACAGTACAGCAACGCCTGAGGTACGTACTACGCTAAGATCTGCTATGCAGAACTCGATCCATGTCACTCCTACAGGGCCAATGCCGAGGCAAAACAGGAAGAATTACGTCTTATGGTTGGGTGCGTCCGAAAAGACCCAATGTGTTAAAGAACGTCCCTCCAACTGTACCATGAAAGCGCAGGGAACGGTACCGCGATCTACTCCAGGCTTCGACATCCATAATATCCATCGCAGAATCCTCGAAGCGTGTGCTAGAGGTGTTCCATGAGATGTGTGATATTGTTGGCGCAGCAAAGTTGCCTTGTACCCCCAAACGCTCTTCGACGAGCGCAGAAGGTGCATTTTCAGTGACACTCAGATAACATCATTAAGGCCTGACAAACATACTCAGACGAGCACCTCGAAGCACTACAGTCGCTCTCTGCCCATCTCAAACTTTTGTTGGATGCCCCAGAACATCTATGGCGCTTTATGGAACGTAAACTATACCTGCACGCTGCGTGGCTCTTCATGACTGCTCGTGCTGTCCATCGGACATTGCTACGAGGAGGTGGAGATGCGGATCAAAAATGGCAGGTGTATGCCATCGATGTTTCCGTAAGCTCAGAGAACTGTAGTGTCAGAGCTGCAATGAATTTCTTCTGCAGGAGCAAATGCCAATAGTACATCGTCAATGGGAGGCAATTTCACAATTCCGTGTACAAATCACCCAAAAAGCTACCGTCTCCCTTCGAGAGCACATGATATCACCTGAGGTAACTCTCTCCAATCGTTGAGAAGCCGTTCGGCTAAATACTAGTTGCAGGAAGTCTGCGCTACTCTACTGACTCTGCATTTGCTGGAGTCGCGACCACTGTCAGAGACATTGACGATCTACCTAACCCAAAGATCAAAGGCTCTGTCTTTCACATTATCGCACCTCTACGAACACCACATGAATGGTGATGCTCACGCATCTGTAGGCAACGGGAAGACCTCCAGCAGAGCGCACAAAGCCAATGTGCGGGAAATCAAGCAGAGATTGCAGACTGTACTTGAAATCATCTGCGGAACATTAGGCACTGCACGAGAGATTTTTGCGGACAATGCCCGGGCCAACAAGCTATCTATGATGAAGCAAACACTGCAATATATTCAAACTGGGTCGATGCCTGCGGCCCATCTCCCGGCCGAGCTTGAAATAACGACGAGATCTTTATTGAACTCACTACCGGCTTCTACCCACTTTCTCCTTCTTCCAGAAAGCATCAGATCATACAAACCATACGTCGACGGCACATCTCTGTCATCTTCAATTCCGCAAGCACAACTTGATGAGAAGCTGGACGCTTGGTTCACCCAGTCTATGTCAGATCTTGGCGTTGTTCTGCGGAGGTGGTTTTCAGCTCTAGAAGGCGTTCGCGAGGTCTGGGAGATCCGAACATCGTCCTTCGATTTGATTGAAACACTTGATGGGATACAAGCTGAAGAAAAATCACGGATGCGGTCGTTCCTAGACGATCATTCACGGCGACAGGCGGTCGTTGTGTGGAAATCGGCTCTGGAAACGCTGGAAATGGAGTTGAGAAAGCATCTCTCACATGCGATCGAGACTGTAAGACAGAAGCCTGACGAGGCTTTATCAGGTATGTTGAAATTATCGATATATCGCTTGTCCGACACACGTGCTCATATTTTATTAGACATGCAGTCCATCGAGTTTCTCTTCGAGGTTCCTTCGCCCCAACACTCCTTTGAAGTGAATATGGGTTCGCTGACGACAGCTTCATCGTTTCGACGATATAAGGCCTCGATTGAGCGACGCATGCAAGGACGAACCTCTCTTTTGGACGAAGTACTGGGCTCGGTTGAGTCCCAAGCGCGTTCGCTAAAGGAGGATTTAGAGGGAATGCAAGCGGTGGACGCTGAGTCTTGGTACGTCGATTAAATAGCTTCTGCGGTCCTATATGTGCTGATAGATTATCTATAATGAAAGCGCACTAGCGCAAGAGCTGAGAGAACTATATAAATCAGATGCTGAGGCTCTCTGCACCGGACTCGTCACTATTTTAGAGCATGCTACAGATACCAATACCACCGATGAGACAGGTCTGTAATCATATTTCGCGCGGCCGAGCTATGCTCATTGAGGGCTCGAAGACGCCTGTAGAAGGACATCTCTGTTCGTGGGACAGGCCGCATACAAACTCGCATCAACATCTTCCTTCATTACGACTATTGGTTGTGATGAACTAGAGACTAGCAGTGAGTGCCATTCCATCAACCGTCTGGCGGTTAACCTTCAAGCCCGACAACGCATAGAATTCCGCAAGCTGATGCATGCAATATGCGACAGCGTGATGCAACGATGGATGAATCACGTCCTCAAACAGATCATCGCCACATACGCATCAACTTTTACGTCTTCCGATATCAGTCGTCAGCAAGGCAGTACGTCCTCGTCTCCACTCAGTTCCGTGTTGCTCACAGGTTGACATTTTCGGCTAGTTGCTTCTTCGTCGGTCACATCAGTCTCGCCGGCTCTCGTGCACGTCCTATTCCTGCTGTCAAGTTCACTTCATGATATATCAGTATACCTCGAGCCCGCAGAACGGACGGATCTGATCGCCAATAGTCTTCGAGATTTCTTCCAAGCTGTGCGGGACAGTATCCAGAATGCAGAACAGAAGGGGACCACCAATCAAACAGACGTGCAGCATTTCTACGACATGATATTTCTGCGAAAATTGGCGTGTGAATGGAAAAGCAGATTACCCGACGTTCTGGAGACGTTGGACCATCACTTAGCTGCAACACAGAAGAAGGTTCTGTTCCTCCTATGGATGAATTCAGACACTGACCCCGTAATCCGTCAGCTTTCCCAGGCAAACGTTGTGCACTTGCAGCTCGACGTTGACGGCAGCATTGCGGAATATTTATCCAGAACACAAACGCTATTGTCCCTCTTATTGCCGCCTCACGATATACGAGTAGAAATGGGCGGCAAGACACAAACTCACGACCAGTCGAATAGCCTCTTGCCATGTGGCATTCCAGCCGTGGGACAGCACTTGCAGCCCGCGATGGAACTTGTTAAACCTTCTGCACGGTTTGGTTTGCTACTCGTAGGCGGTGCTGCACTTCGATAGATGTATGATCTGTCTATCATCTTCCTCCAAACGTTCAACGTTTCAGTCGCCCTGAACGAATGAATCTCGTGCACCTAAAACATAAGTGTCTCTTCGACGTAGGTCAGGTTAGACTGCAAACTCCAAAGGAAAACATGACATCTCAGTTGAGCGACTGTAAGCGTCATGGCGTATTGTTCCCCACGGGAGTATTTTCGTTACATGCGGTGGAGCATCACCATACAGGATGGCTGTATAATGATCATCATCGTTTCCTGATGGTGCTAGATCTTCACCACAGGTTTTCGGCTGGGATTCAATAGAGCTGCCACATATACTCGCGGGTCGTGGAAACCACGACTCTCAGAGTTCTCCTTCTGTAAAGGGCCGATTGTCTCATTTTTACAGCTAGCGTACTCACATTCAGTCGTGTGGAACCATCGGGACTAAGAGAGAAGGTGTGAGGGTCGTACGTATTCTCTCTGATCTATGTTTCTGATGACACTCCAAAGAGGCCCTTGGATGGCTGAAGGCTGCATCGGTTGCCTCAATAAATCCGCTACTTGAACGTGCATGCTCTAATCAGTCAATCTACACTACTCTTTCCCGACTCCTTGTACATCTGTACAAGCTAAGAACGGGCATCCTTCTACGCATCCATTGCGGTCGCTTGTGCGGCCTGTAATCAATGGAAGGTAAGCATATGTCATGGTTGTCCCTCCTGTGTACTGACTCTGTATCCGACAGATCTGAAAGCCGAACTGCTGAAGTTGGTTCCGCTCTTTTTCACTTTGCATATTGTGGGGGGACACGTCGGGCTGCCGATGCTGGTCTGCACGTTCTTCGCGTCAAAGACAACTCGAAGCAACCCAATTATCATCAACTTCTGTGTAACCTGGGTCATCTACTCTATCTCATTCTGCTTACTGTGAGTGACTGCATTTCTTGGATGACAGCAATAGCAACACTCATAGAGTAACCAGTTTCTACGGGAACTACACCCGAGCAGACCATGTGCCAGCCGGGTTGTGTGCAATCCAAGCATCTCTTGTGTACGGTTCAACGGCAATGTGCGACTATTCTTGCTACTTATAATGGAATATACTCATTCCTTCACAGGACTGCGGTCGCTGGTCTGATTATGGTCGTCCAGGTAGGATGTGGGGCGATGTACGTCTGACTCGCTGTTGATTTCTTGTTAGATCTGGAGTACGTTCTGTGCCCCGTGGGGCTTGCCGTATGTCTCTTCGTTGTCTAGAGCGGTCAAATTGACGATTGTATGCATTCGTTTCTCGAGTCACAAGCGTTCGATCGCATTTTTCAAAACAAATGCTCATTTAGGTGCTCTCGGTCCCATACATGACTCTCCTACTCTGCTCTGCAGCATCCGGCTATGTGCGTTCGGTGTGCCTATCCTATGTTAGTTGCGCTTGACCGGACGGCGGTATAGGTCGCAGTCACACATCCAGACAACGTCATAGCACTCAGCGGTATCTATTGCTCAATCGAGACCGGTTTTTTTGTAAGAACATTTCCTACGTCGGATGCAAAACAAGCTCATGGCATGTTTTTATAGTCCACGTCAGATCGTTCCGTTGTTCTGCGCAATGATTCTGCTGATAGCCTCCGCATTTGAAGGTAGATCAGCATTCCTATACGTCTGAAGCCGAGCAAAACTCACCTTGCAGCTGCAGCTTCTGTCACTATCCGTTGCTATCACCTCTGGCGGCTCGTCAAGGATGTTTGCCCAGATGCAGATGTCCAAAGACCGTCTCTTTCTCCCTATCTTCGGGTGGGTTCCGATATTTTTGCCTGTCAATTTGCCAACGCAAGTTATCTTACAGGCTACGATATTTCTCCTGTGGTCGTGGATAGCTTTAGCGTGAGTGTCCTGCTTTTCAAATCATCCTGCTGTACGCAGCTTGACTGGATGCGCAAAAGGACTTGCATCTCGTTCAGTTCACCACGCACAGCACTAGTCACCGGTACATTTCCGTACATAGCGCAGGCCGCCAGTATGTCTTCTTCGACGTGGAAAGGGGTACAGCTCACGGTCGTTCGGATAGTGCCACTGATCGCATTCGTTGTCTTCGGAACGCAACAAGTAAGGGGTCGTCCAATGCCAACCACAGGCCGCAATGCTGACGCCTTTTTCATCAGAATGTAGCTTGTGTCTGGTTTCCCTGCCTAAGAAGACGCAAGGATGCAGTGCTGTGCTCCGCATCAACCGTCAGGAATCACTAGAGCTCGCGCCCTTCAATACGGCCGCCCACGTCCTTGGCGTCCAGCATGATCGAGCCATATAACATATCAGTGTCTCATACGTTTCATGAGGCGGACGAGGGCGGCACGTTTCCTTCACAAGCGTAACATCGTAGTCATATGATGAACTTCCTGCCTGAGAAATCAGTTGGGAACGCACGAATCCTGTACGGAGTGCTAGACACATCGCACTATATCCTCCCTCCTCTCCTCCCCCAGTGTAGAACGCGTGCGACCCTATACTGATCGCTGCCTTAACTCGGCCAAAAAATGTGGACAATGAAAATTGCCCGTGGTATGATCCAGAAAATGACGACAACCTGTAGTACTAGCAGCAAAATTCAAGAACTGAGATCCGTCATGCCCCTCCCCTATCCAATGAATCAATATCAAGGTAGCCTGAGTGAAGGAAATACTTACACAAGGATGTTATTGCTAGAAAAAAAGGTCTATGAACATACCGCAGAATTGTGAAACATATATGGCGTACATTGGGATATGGATCAGCTTCACAAAATATCCAATGAACCCCATAACTGCGAATCCAATGGCCACAGCTTTGCAAATCTGGAGGAACTCTACATAACCCATGTCAGCCACCAGAGCGGCAGAGGCATGTCTCAACCATACCTTTCTGTGAAGGCTTCGTGCAGCGAGTCAAGAACTGTTGTTGCACAGCGCGTGAATTCTGAGTCGGGTAACATGAGGAGCAGTGGCTGCACCTGTCTCCCATCTTTGACAAACTCCTGCGGTATCTCCACGAACTCTTTGAGCTTCTCAGACATCGTATAGTGTGGTAGTCAGGTGAAGTTCTGGATGAGCGACGTGGTCCAACGTTGCCAACACCTGCAGCCACAGCAGTGTTGTCCACGTGGCTGTGACCGTTTCTAGTCGATCAGACTCATCCGCTAAAGATACGATTGCCCGCCAAGTTCCAACCTGAGCACGCAGCGATACGCGGCGGACTCGGAGTACTTCCACACATTCGCGAACAGTTACATTCTCTCCTCCGCGCGGCTCAGGTGCGCGATGTATTTGAAGAATAATTCAGACCTTATATGCTTCTACTTCCGCTACAGGACCCGTATGAATGTTCTCGAGGACTTGTGTCAAGACCGGCCGAGCCGTCTGTACGAGTCATTTCCACGGCTCAAGACTCCTCGCATCCGCAAACCGCGACGCCATGCATAGCATTACATCCGGTGGTGCTAGAGAGTCATCTCATCTTCACGTCTCTCGGCAACTGTTCCGAAGCCCAGGATCGTCCATGGATGCCGTGACCCTCGGTGTGGTTAACGAGTTCCACAAGTCTGTTGCGGATGGTGACATCAATGCGATTCGTAGGGACTTCAGTGCTCTGAGGTTACTGGTCAACCCAGTGCTGAATAAGATGCTTGCCGGGGCCGTCAGGATAGAGGACTTCCAAACTGCTCTCGAGATTTTCGCAGATTCAGCAACCGTTCGCGACATCAGCCTGATGAAGGACATCTTCTCCTTCGTTCGCGACTTGTCCGACACAGATGACAGGTCTCAGCTTCATGACGCAATTTATCGGAGACTAGTTGGGCATGGCTTTCTCCGTGCTGCCTTCAACTGGCTTGCAGAAGAACCTGTACAATGCACACCTACTCATTCTCAATGGGACTCTCTCATCGACTTGTGCATTCAGCATTGGAATCTCCAAGTCTTGTTCTCAGCGTTGGAGATGATGAGCAGATTGGGTTGTCCCCCGGTGCATGCCACTTACGAGAACATTTTAACGACTTTGACCGGCCATGGTATCACCCTTCAATTTCGAACCTTGTCCTTGCTCTTTAGGGACATGAAGAGAGCGGGTTTGAAATATAATCCCAACATGCGCAGCATTCTACAAAACCACTATCGCAGGTTCGGTTCGCATGGGCTTGCTGCAGAGGCAGAGCAAGTCTATGGGAACATCTGTGGCATTCAGGATTGTTCGCCGCTGCCTACGTCTTCATCGTCGGGTTCAGGGTCATCTGAAGGACCGAAGACGGACACGGACAGGAACATGCAGTTGGGCAGTATCGCGGGGGAGAAGGGGAAGTGGTCCGCTGTAGGGCTTTACGAAAACTACAAGAAGGCTAAGTTTCTTCCCTCTCAAGAAACACTGCAGTGCGTGTTGGGTAGAAGCGACAGCATCCAGGATCTCAGGCGTTGGGAGAACGTATTTCTTCTTCGGGCAGAAGCTCCTGCTTGGGCGCAACTCATCCGCAACTCAAGTGCAAAAGGCAATGTCAAACAAACCATCGCAATTTACAAAGAAGCCCTTTCCACATTGGTTCATCCAACCGCTGCAATGCTGCATCCGGTTCTCCGAGTGCTTTGTTCAAATCGGCTCAGCACACCTACTGATTCCGAAATCCGTCATGCTCTCGACTTGTACGCACAGTTCAAGGATCGTAACAAGGAATTCGTGACAAAAGCGATGGAGAAATATGCTGGCCGAGGAGGAGAGGCCGAAGGAGAACTCAATACGGGTGCAGATGAGGACGCAGGATCCAAGAAAGGCTCTTCCCGAAATTCTTTGACACCAGACGCTCCCATCTTTAATACCCTCTTGCGCGCGCTTTCATCTTCCTCTAACATGCAGGAATTTTTCCCAGTAGCATCATCGTTGCTTGAAGAGATGGAATCGCTCAATGTCACCATGGATGCGATGACGACCACATCCCTCATTGTACTCCTCATGCGGTGTTCTCCCTCTTACCTTGAGGCCTTCGAAATGTATCGTCGCATTTCCCGTCCCGGCGAGGGCCTTTCGATACTCGACGAAGAAGGGTTCGTTGCTGTTTTAGCTGCGTTCTGCAAGTTGTCTGTCATCATCGGGGGGATCCCTCCGACGGACCTGTACTTCAGCATCGTCAAGGATATGCGAAAGGCAGGTTATTTGATGAATGCAAAAGTCTACACCATTATGCTCCAACAGCTGGCTACCTTGGCGACGAAGATTTTACGTGAAAAGGACAGTGATGATCAAGCCAGGAACTATAGACTCTTGATCGACACTATTCAGCGAGTCCATGACTTCTTGGTCCTTGATCCATCCATAAACCCCGATGTCGCCCTGTGGAATCAGTTGATGGACACTTACCAGCGTGCACGGTGCTACACCGACGCGTTCCGCGTGTGGGACATGTTAACGCGTTCGAAACAGATAGACAACGCTAGTGTCAGCATCATCCTCGACGCTTGCGCATATTCCGGCTCGTACGGCCTCGTCATGAGGTTATGGGACAGCTTGACCAGCGAACGGTTCCCGCTCAATCAAGACAACTGGTACAATTGGCTGGAGTGCCTTTGTCGCCTCGGCAAGCTCAATGACGCACTCAGGACTATGTGTCTCGAGATGCCGAATGTAGGACCTGGTATCAAGCCGGACGAGAAATGTGCCAAACTAGTCATCAATTTCGCTTCTCGTACGAACCAAGAGGAAGAGATTCGTATGCGTATCAAGACCTATCTGCCAGATCTGTGGATGACGTTGCTGAAAAGCGAACAGTCGTGAATCTACCCAAAAGCCATGTCTATGCTATTATTACGGTACATGGAGTCGATGAATCCTACAGATGTTGCGTGCGGTTGAACGTCACGCGTCTACGGGTCCGTTGAGGGGTATCATGTCCCCCGACACGTGGGACGTTCAGATGACTCAAACGGACGATGCCGACTCTTCGACGGAAGGGCAGTCGCACTGTGGACGAAGTTAGCACCACATTCAAGGGACGGAACAGCAGACACTCACAATCAGATGGAGGTCACCGTAGGCTGGAGGGACGTTGAGAATACTATCTAAGCGTCACGAGGGAAGAATGATGCTTACCGTCGTCTACTCTTGAGACCGTAGGCCAGAACTTCTTCTCCAGAAGTGATGGCACGGGGAACGCTGCAATATACCGGCTGTATGGACTAGGGGGAGGGCATCAGCCCTATTGCTGAAGTAATTACTTGTGAAGATTGCTTACCGGTCCCATTTTGAGTCTTCGAAAGCGATGACAGATATTGGGTGAGGAGCGTTCTTCAGAACGTTGTTCTCTTTGGGTTGCTTGCCCGTAATGATATCTTCCACTTCCTGGCGGATCTGAATCATCGCATCGCAGAACCTGAGCAGAGGGATCAGCTGTGTTGACACAACGACTGTCATCTCCCAAACCTGTCAATCTCCGCCAAGGGCTCAGACTCAGTAGGCTCAATAAGCATGCACGTTGAGATGGGCCAAGAACATGTCGGCGGGTGGAAGCCGTAATCCTACAAGGAGCTGTCTATCAGTCCAGAAATCAAACTCTTAGAATAATCCTACGCACTTGCAGCCGCTTAGCAAAGTCGGTCACCTGGATCCTAGCAGCCTTGTCGAATTCGGCAAGGTCGATTAGCAACTCGTGCGCCACTCGACCGTTGCCGTTCTTGAATCGCAGGTTGTAGTGCTCGGACAGACGGTGCGCCATGTAATTTGCGTTCAGCAGGGCGATCTTAGAGGCGGACGAGAGACCGCTGCCGCCGAGCATCTTGATGTACGCCCACGAGATGAGCAGGATGGAGGCACTTCCGTATTGCGCGGCTGACACGGCATTGATGGCTTTGCTGCCGCCGGTAGGGACGACTGGGTGGCCTGGGAGGAATGGCGCGAGGTGCTCTGAGACGCAGATGGGTCTGTGAAAAGGTTAGCACCCGGTTGTCTTTTGGAGGCGACCGACGTACCCGACGCCGGGTCCACCTCCACCATGAGGGCTGTTACGCAGTCATGTAAGCCGGTGAATTTTGAGCCAGAGAATGTGCGTACATAGCGAATGTCTTGTGGAGATTCAGGTGGCAGACATCACCACCACAAGTGGCAGGGTTCGTGAGGCCGATTTGCGCATTGAGGTTGGCACCTATAAGCGAATTGTGAGTAAAATCACCGTGCCGATCGACTGGCGAAATTATACGAACCATCGAGGTAGACCTGACCGCCATTTTCGTGGATGATCTTGCAAGCCTGCACCAACGATTTTCAGAAAAACTCTTCGTAAAGGAACCGTGTACAATACTGACGTCTTGCACGCCATCCTCGAATACACCGTAAGTAGACGGATACGTAATCTGACGCACGCATTAGCAGCCTGACAATAGATGAATAGCCTATCAGTTTAAGCGCACCATGAATGCAGCTAGGTTGTCCTTGTGCTTCTCAGCCTTGGCCTTGAGATCCTCGAGATCGAGACTACCATCATGCAGCGTTTTGATTGGAACGACTTTGAGGCCGGCCATCATAGCGGACTAGCAAATACACAATCCTCAGCTTCCGCCCGATCAAATTAATAAGAAAACAGCCCACCGCAGGGTTTGTGCCGTGCGCACTGACGGGGATCAAACATATGTCACGGTGACCCTCTCCACGCGACTCATGGTAGGCCCGAATAACGGACAAACCAGTGTACTCTCCCGCTGCGCCGGAGTTGGGCTGCACCGAGCACGCATGGAAGCCCGTAATCTTGCACAGGTCCGATTCCAATTCCTATCAAGACAGCAAGTCGTCGTATCTTCTCCCCTCTAAAATGGCCAAAGTGACTAACCTTGATGAGCTGCAAGTATCCTTTAACCTGATCCAATGGCGCGAACGGATGCACGTTCCCAAATTCGGGCCACGTCAGCGGGATCATGCTACTCGTACTGTTCAGCTTCATCGTGCAACTCCCGAGCGGGATCATCGCGTGCTCGAGGCCGAGGTCCTTCGACTGCAGGTGATAGATGTACCGCAACATCTCCGTCTCCGAATGGTGCGCGTTGAACACGGGGTGTGGGAGGAATGCCGACGTGCGTTGGAGCGCCTGCGGGATCGCACTGGTGGACGGCTCAGCGAGCACAGAGGGGGAGACGGGTGATGAGGAGGTAGCGGAGGCGAAGACGTTGATGAGCGCGAGGACATCCTCGGATGAGACGCTCTCGTCGAGGGTCACGCCGACGTGCTTCTCGTCCACCCGGCGGAGGTTGACTCCTGCGACGAGGGAGGCGGCGTGGACGGTCTCTGCAGACTTGGCCGCCCCAGTGACATCGAATGTGAGCGTGTCGAAGAACTCCGTGTTGATAGCTTTATAACCGAACTGCTCGACCTGCGACTTGAGAATCTGCGCGAGCGCGTGAACCTTCTGTGCGATGCGCTTGAGACCGTCAGGGCCGTGGTAGACAGCGTACATCGCAGCCATGTTGGCGAGCAGAGCCTGGCTGGTGCAGATGTTGCTGGTGGCCTTCTCACGACGGATGTGTTGTTCACGGGCTGAACGGCAAGGTTTAATCATACATCTGTAGCTCTGGCAGCTTGCTTACTCTGAAGAGCAAGACGGTACGCAGGGTTGCCGTACTTGTCCTTGCTCCTGCCAATCAGCCTCCCGGGCATCTTGCGCTTGAGCTTGTCCGTGCACGCGAAGAACGCGCCGTGTGGGCCGCCGTAACCAGCAGGAACACCGAAGCGACCCGAATTGCCGAGGACAATGTCCGCGCCCCACTCGCCTGGCGGTTTAAGCATAGTGAGCGCGAGCAGGTCGCTCGCACACACCAATAGCGCGCCTGAACTGTGTACAGAATCCGCGATGCTGCCGAAATCCTTGATGCTACCGTTCACGTCCGGGTACTGCACGAGCACGCCGCAGAGGTCCGAAACGAGCGATTCATTCTTGAGAGACGCGGAGACGTCGCCGATGACGAGATGGATGCCAAAACCTTTCGCGCGAGTCCGGAGTACCGAGATAGTCTGAGGGAGGACACCATTGTCAACCAGGAATGTGTGCTTCTTGTGGTTCGTGTTGACATATGCCATTGCCATGCCTTCTGCCGCTGCCGTTGCCTCATCCAGGAGAGACGCGTTAGCGATATCCATGAATGTTAGCGACATGACCATTGTTTGGAAGTTCACGAGCGACTCCAGACGACCTGGTACGAAGACAGTTAATATCAACGCGCATTTATACAGTCAATATCAATATCGCACCTTGAGAAATCTCCGGCTGGTAGGGAGTATAAGGCGTGTACCAAGCAGGACTTTCCATAACCTGCGCGGTTCAAGAATTCAGACATTTTATTTGGCGTGCAACAACCAACGACGTAGCGCATACATTACGCAGAATTACCGGGGGAACGACCGCGTTGTGATAGCCCATACCAATGTAGCTCTTGAAGGGCTTGTTCGCTGTGGCGAGCTCACGCGCCCTCCGATACAGCTCGGACTCGCTAAGAGACGGAATGGACGCATCGCTGACCGAGTCTGACGCGACTCTGATCTTGGATGGGACAGTCTCCGCAACGAACGCGTCCATAGAATCATACCCCAGTTGCGAGAGCATGTGCGAGACCTCACTCTCACCAGGACCAATGTGACGATCGGCGAACGTGTCCAACGACGAGAGCAGAGACGTGGGTGTGTTCGCCGTTGCAAGACACCGCCGCGCAAACGTCCAGTTGAAGGTGCAACCATGTCGAGGCGCAGAGGCTGCCTGCACCTTTGCGAGGCGCGCAGCATATCGCAGGGCCGCCATTGTGGACGGCGACCGCGTACGTACGGAGAAATAGCGGGCGCGATGGGGAAGGGAACAAGGAGGAGCTCACGCGAGTGGGAAGATATGAAAATCGTGTATTCACCGAGCCATTCACCGAGTAAGAGGTTACAGTCAACTCTTATCGTATCCCCGCCTCGGTTCAGCCACTTTCTTAGTGACGCGACCGCGTCCTCCCCGATCTACAGTAGGCGCCCGTCCGTGCCCCGAGTTCGCTCAAAAGTCTAAAGCCTAACAACCGCCCATATTCGGTGCTGTGCACAGTAAAGAAGACAAAAAATGCAGCGCGTTATCTTCGAGGCATGCGCGAGGTAGCTGCGCATGTGCACTAAGCGGATATATGACAAACAAGGGACCAACTCACAGCGGAAGCTAACGGAGGTAGGCGGGCGCCTCAGACGAAAATAATTTTTTCACGTTGCCCTGACTCGGTTCCAGCCGTTCCCCGCGTTTCCGTCCAATTATGGTGCGGGACGATCCTTTTATGTCCGAGGTTATGTTCGTGGCATCGGGCGTTCCATCGCTGGATGTCTGATTATGTTTAGAATTCGGCGCACACACGCTGCTTGCATGCCTCCGCTTGCTCGCTGAAGCTTTTTGACAGAAACGGTAACAGTTCTAATTAACACTTTCCCCTGTACAGATTCATAGCCTTCGCGTGGTTAAGACCGAGAGAACACCCCATGGACGAAAATAAGGCGGCAGAATCGCGGGAATAGCAAGCCCAGAGAATGGCACAAACATCGTCGGTAATTGGTGATCACGAGACCACACCTTATGGCATCAGCGCCAGCCCATCCATGTAAGCATACCGAATGAACCCAACAACATCCTCAGACTGTTTGCTGCTCATCGCCCGCTCATTAGCGACCGACCGCTTCACACAGAACACACACTCACATAGGCTCCTCTTTGTGCAAGTCCGTCCGATAAATTAACCCATCTTTCTCAATCTCCTTCGCGACGACCCTCAACGCACTCCTCGCTGACGCCGCGCCAGCCATAGTGACTTTGCCTTCGTAATGGTCCGTCACAGATAGGATGTTGGTGAGGGCTTCAGTCGCGGGGCTCTCAGCGGCGAGCCTGGCTCGTGTTATGGACTTGGGGAGGGCGAGCTTGTCCAAGAGCGTCTGTTGTTTGCGGAAGGTGGGAGCGGAGTGAACGACTTCGTACTGCGCAGCGTTCACACGGTGCAGAGACACTCATATACGGACGCGGACTCACCACTAGCTCGTGGATCGCTGCAGGTGTTGGCAAATATCCACTCGAACGGCAAAGAGCGAGGTCGATCAGCAGCAATGTCTGTCGTCACAACTCAACACATGCTGTCAAATGCATCGGCAAATGATTCGGTACCTCGTGCACAAGCTGCTCGATGCCTCCGGTTGTTATCAGGCTGTCCAGCTTGTTCGCCAAGAAGTCCAGCAGCCCGACGAGGGCCTTCCACAGCTCCTGCCAGTGATACTCTGCGGCAGACAACTCCCTCAGTCAGCTTGCAGTCGGATGGGCTTATTGACATACCAAGTCGGGTGCGCTGGTTCTGCAGATACCATAGTACACGATGGCATATTCTGACGCACTTGCTATGTGCTATATGTCAGATATGGACGGACGTGACAGCTACCAAGGGCACACCTACACGTAGGCATACACTTCCAGCCGTTTATGCAGGTTATGTCGAAGCCAAAGCACACAACAATCCAGCAAGGCACAAATGGGCGCTCGAGGGGGCGTGGCCGGTAATAGCGGTAATCTCTGTAAGAACTGCATCAGATCAATATCATCCTCGATCTGTTGAGGAATATACCTGCTGACACAACCTGACATCGGCCTCCTTCGCCTCGCAAAGTGTCTGCAATACCACCCGGCTCTCCGCCATAACGAGTAAGATGCTCAACGCGAGATTTGCATAGGCAATGGCGCGAGAAGAGTGTGTCGACGATGCATGTGTCAGCAAATACGAGAACAGAGTGAGCAGCGTGTACGGCAGGGGAGCGACCTTCGTGCCAGCGCTGGAATGCTCTTCCAGAGATTCGTTCCGGAGTGGCTCGGTGAAGACAGTGTGGAAGGTGCTGTTGACGCTCAAGAACTCGAAGATGGGGAGGAGGATGACGCATGCTTCGATCGGTCTTCCATAATGTACCCGTTCAGTGAATGTGGACGTGATGTGAGGCGGTGCGGTTGCTTACTGGTCCTTGAACAGCTCCTTGGGAGGATCGACTGGTGTAGCTGCCAGTGCCCTGTCTGGTCGTAACGCATATAGCCACGAGCCAAACGTCGACTGTAACGTAGGAGGCGAATCGTCTGAAATTGACTGGTATGTCCTGTCCCGTTGCATTTCATCAGCGACCATGTTAAGATAGGATAAGGCAGACGCACTTCACCACAGCATCAGCCGCAAAGTTGGACGCCCAGCAGATCTTGTGCATCAGCTCGTGGTTGTCGGTCTCTCTGATGCATCGCAGGTACGGGTTGAGTTTCGCCGCGTCCGACTTGTGGAAGTTGGCGAGGAGAGAGAGGAGCAGCGCTGCCTCGAAGGTGTACTGCTCGGTTTCTTGGGAGGTTATGATCTGCGTGGAAGATATGAGAGGTCATCATGACCTGTAGGAAAAGGGAGGCGCACAGTTACGATGCAGGGGAAGAGGTCGCGTCGAAGGAAGTAAGCTCCTGGGCTGAGCTGGCTGATTCCAGACACGAATATGACAGCCAGCTGTAAAACCTGATGTTTGAGACTGACTGGCACGAATATAGATGAGTGCGTGCCAAAGTAAAGTTTAGGTAGCCTTCGTACCCGGAGCAAAGCCATCTCCCATAATCTCGTCAATCATAGACGTCAGCTCCTACAGGTCCTTAATTGGTCCTCTGCTGATGCAAACATCACATAGCACCTACGTCGAACACTTTGTCACTCTCGTTCACCCCACCCGCAAATATCTCCATGACCTCCCACCCCGCGAGGTTCTTCCTCAATATGCATCGGCTCAATATCGAAAGCGTCTCCACCGCGTGCGTCTTTTTCGCGTCATTGTCTGCACCTGTCCGCGCATGTCTTATGCAGGCGAGGACAAGACGATTCAGGATCGGCTACTGGAGCGGCGGGTGAGGTCGAGTGGAGGGAGGGAGAGTGACACGAACCTTCAGAGCTCCTAGACAGTCCTCCTTGTTGACCTCGTTCAGCTTAAGGATGAGAAAGTCCGCATCCACGCCTAGCTCGAGGAGGCTGGACCAAAACTTCGCATCATCCTGGTTCGGAGCGATTTGCTCTGGCGTGAGGCCCTGTGTTCGTGCGGTTCAAGTGTGAGTATATCATTACGCCACGAGCGGAACGCGAGCCTTGAGTGAGAAGAGCTCACGCTGAATAGCTTTGTGTATGTTGAGATGAACTTCGAGGTTAAAGACGCGTCCCGCTGGAGCGATAGGAGTGACATGAAGCAAAAGCACAGGGTACGTGCTCAATGTTGCGTGGGTAAACTCGGGACGCCATCATAGTAACACGATCGACGCGAGATCGTAAACGGTACACACGTTAAGTCTAGACTACATACATGGGTATCATACTCGCTCATAGTCGTGTACTTAAAGCGCAGGGCTCATAACAGTATGCTTTTGACCGATCTCCACAGACAACGCGCGTTGCTCGCCCGCAATTCGGTATGATGATGTCCGAAACCATTCCCCACTATGACTATGTCGTCCCATCAATCCCCGCGTCCACCATCTCGGTGATCCAACCCATCAATGCTTCGTCCCGTATCCTCACCCCCTCCATCAAGTGCCTCACTCCAATGAACGCCTTGCGTCCCCTTCGCTCGCCTTCCCTCTCCCTATCATTTCCCGCACTCCTTGCCACCGCTCCCTCATGGTCCTCCGACTCCTCCACAATCCCCGGAAAGCCAAAATGATCCTCGTCCGCCCTTGGTGCAGCATCTGAAGAGGCAAACGACGCGCGAAACAACACCCGGATGCAGAGCAGCGCCGTGAGCGAGGTGTTTGGCGGGTCGACAACGGGGCGCTTGTACGTGATTTTGGCTGAGCGGAGAGGAGGGACTGGCCGGACGGTGGGGTCGGGCACGGGGTGTGGATAGTCAGGGGATGGAAGGGTGATCAATTCTGATTGGGAAGGATCTCGGGGGGTTGGCTGAGTGCTTGGTAGGTGAGTGAGGACGTGTCCACGAATGTGCACTCTTGAGGCCGAGTGCTGACACGTCGCCCAGATGCATTCCACGCGATCACTATCGGCAGCATTGATATGCTCATTGAGGACGTGCTCGTAGAGCTCACTTGCATTGTTGAACGGTGGAAATTCACACTGCGAACGATTCCAGCGGCACTTGAAACGCTCATTCGCTGATGTATCTTTCCGCCGGTCGACGCCCCGTACGACAAAGCGCTGCGGAGGCCCTGGGAGAACCATCGCCTGAGCCTGTGGGAAAACAACATTGACGTTCTTGATGACATCCGAGGCTACCAGCAGCTGATAGCGCTCCTGATGAGGAGCAAAGACATCCTTGTACAGGTTCCAAAAGTCCACCTGTGTCAGCTCCCCGTCAGCCTTCGCTACGAACATCGCCTTCATCCTATGGAGAAGATGCTCAGCATGTCATGCACTTCCAGCAATAAAGAGAGGGCATTACCATTCAAAGCATCGCGTCGGTTCGGGTAGCGGCAACAGTCTGTCCAGCTCCTCCTTCGTCAATTCATGGTTCCGCTCAGCCGTAGTCTCAGCAGGGACGGTGTGAACCGGCCCACCAATATCGATGGAATGTATCTCCTCCACCTGTTCCGAGATCAGGAGAGATACTAATAGCCTGAGGGTGCCTGGCATCTTCGGGTGAAGCAGGAAGGCCTTAGACATCGGCGGATATGAAAAGTGCGCGTAGAGGTAGTTCAGAGAGGCATCCAGCAGGTCCTTGTCCACCATCAGCGGGAGGTACTTCACAGCAGCTTCCAGCGCAGGCGCGTCCTCTTGTAGATAGCACGCATTCGCGGGGTGGGACATCAGAATGTACAATGTGGTCATGGAAGCCAGGATGAGCGAGCGGTTCGACGACTCCTGTATGACGTTCTGCAATGGCTGCACCGGGATCGCCAGGGGAGGCGAGTCGGGCGGAGGGAGCATCAGCCCGGGCGAGATCGCCTGCATGAGCTCGATAATGTACAGCATAAATTCTACGTTCGTGTCGCAGTCCGTGCGGATGTTGTGCAGTGCGAACAGGATGACTGCCCGCGTGCTCGTGTGGTTCGTGAGCATCTGCGCGTTTGGCTCGTTCATCGCCGCGTTCCTGAGAATGAAGATCGACTCGAGCGCATGCCTACGTCTGCGCTCGTACTCGGTTGGCAGTGCGAACAGACGCGCCATGGCGGCGCACTGCTTCGCACCTACTTCGACGTACCACACAGGCCATTCGAAGAGCGCGTCGGCGAGACCTGGGATGGCTCGCAGGAGGAACTGCTCGTTGTTGCATAGTCGACAAAGACGGTCGAGAGCCCACGAAATCTCAGTATCTATACCAGAACGCAGGGAGAGGAGCATGCGATTGTTTGGGGTGGATTCGGTGTACCATCCTGGATCAAAAGAGTTAGATTCAACCTATGATCGATGCATTACGATTAACACTTACGCTCATAATCATCGGTGATGGTAGGTCTTGAGGGGGTGGCAGCTGTTTGAGGTGTGTAAGTCGATCTGTACGGTGCCGCGGAGCCTGTCCGCTGGATGGAGGAGCCGGTAGCATACACCGATGTGGCCATCGTCAAAAGCTCGCGCATTGCTTGCAAGACTGCATTTCAGCGCTTAGCAAGGCGTAGCGCGTGACATCTCGCATCACGGCACGCATCACGGCACGACACGACGAGCGTCTGAGGTTACTGGTTGCCAACGCAGCCAATGCTATCGACGATGACGACCTCAATTGGAGTGCGCATATACTCCCTCCTTCGATTGACAGCTTATCCCAATGCAGGCCAGTACTTTGGAACTGCTTCTGCGCATTTTCCTGCGCAATGAAACGCAAATGACGCTTTATATTCCTCGACCAGCACACAGCGTGATAAATATTACAGGTGCGAGAAGTATGCACATATATCGCCTTGGATGTACGGACTAACACTGAGACAGCTATAGCGTAGGCCCAGGGATAGGCAGTAAACGAACGCGGGAATCGCTACGCATCCCGCAGATATGAACGTAGCATAAAGTCCAAACGCTACAACAGGGTCCCTTCAATCTCAGTTTAGCCAGGGTCCATCTTGTTCAACCGGGGTCCATCATGAAGGTCGACAGCAGAAAGTCCAGATAGTTCAACAATTATCCCAAGAACTCCTCAACACACCTTACCAGCTCCTTCCAGAAGCCGTCCACCACGCCTTCCTCGAACCCATTCTCATCGTACCCCAAGCTCACCCACAGCTTCCCCGCGAAGGTGTATCCGAAGAGCAGCATCGCACCGTGCCGTTGTCGCGAACCCGTCGTCAGGGTATGCAGCTTGATCCCCGGGAAGGTTGCATGAGCATACATCCCGTCCAGGTTTCCAAGGAGCGACAGGCCCATTAGGGCCGCAGACGATGCAGGCGCACGCGCAGGAAGGATCTTCTTCACAGATGGCGCATCATCAGATGTCTTCGGAGGGGGCACCCATGTCCCATTCTCCTTCTCGTCATCCTCCCTTCCCCACGCTCTTGCACGCACCCCGCGTTCCTTGGCCATCTCTCGTGTGCGCGAAACGATCATCTTGTTTTTCACCGCCTTCGCGCTCTGCGTCTTCGCCTCCCGTGCGCGATGCCAGAACATGCGCTCCTGCGCCTCGGCTCCCGTCGGAAGAAGGCTCGGCAGCACGACATTGAAATACGCGATCGCGAGGAACCAGTACGAGTCCCACAGCAGCTTCTCCTTCTCTTCTTCTAGGCTCTTGGATTTCGTGAAGTACGGCCGGAGGTTGAGCGCGGAATACATCATCATGGGCAGCTCGCTACTTGTGCGGCCAAGACGCGCCCATGCGACGTTGCACACAGCAAAAAGTGCCGCGCTGATGCTCACACCGTGCTCCTTGCACTTGCGTAGCATCGCTTTGGTCAACTCTGGAGGGTACGACACGGTGGGGACGATAGTATGCCGCTCTGGATGCTTGCACCTGGGGAACGCCTGGCCTCCGACCAAAGATGCCTGAGACAGGTGGAAGTCCACTTGTTCTGCGGCGCGCTTGAAACGCGAATCCGAAGATGAGGGCAAATTGTCCTCCAGCGACCTCGGGATCACGTTGGTTGCAGGGGAGACAGACGTCGAAGAGAACGTGAGCTTCCAGCGATCCTGCCATTCCTCCGCGAGCTGCGCAGTGAGCTCGTCATCTGTCTTGGAGCCGCCGAGTAGCTGGAAGAAATGGTTGGCTGTTTGGTGAAGTGCCATACCATCGCCGAGGAAATGCATCGCGCAGAGCATCAGCTCATACTGACGTTCGAGAGAGGAAGGGGTGATATCGTCGGCAGTATCGAACTGGGAGTTTTTTCGGGAGGGGGAGGGTGTAGGGGGAGGTGTTGGCATCGACGCATTCGCCGGTTGGGATACGACGAGATATGAAAGACGGGTATTGGAGAGAGTGCGTGGCCCATTAAGGTATGTGTCAATTAATTCTACGAGTTGGATGAGCTGACTGTCTCGTAGCTAAATCAAATGACTGATACGGACCGTCTTTGCCCTGTACGCGGAAGTCGAGATTCTCATCTGCACCTGAGAAAGCATTCTCCGGAGATGACGGTGCGTCGTACCTGTGGGAAGTTAGATAGTGGCTCATCTGAGCGCCGAAAGTCATCGAACACTCACACGAAGCGGACATCATCATAGTCGTGCATCTCCGCTCTAGCCGCGAGAAGAGGATGACGGAGCCTGAGAATGGCCCACACTGTGCACACACGTGCACGTCGCACAAGGTGTTCTGGGGCGTTGAAACCAATGTGAAGATACCTGCAGAGCAATTGGCGGTCTGTTCAGCATGCAAGTATGGACGATGCGATGCAAGGATAACTCAACATGTCATTCACGCCGGCTTGCCGCGAGGGAAGATAGTAGGAGAGCTCGGTGTCTCCCATCTTCCGCTCGTACCGTATGGTCTCCGGACAGCAGACAGGTTCGCCAGCAACCAGCGGTACGATGCTGTCGATATATTCCTTGCGCTCTTCATCGCCGATAGGCGGAGGGGTCGGGAGACCAGGACGTGGAGACATGGTACGATGGGCAGAGCAAGAGCAGCGCGAGTAGTGCCGGCTCAACAGGAGGGGTATTCGGGAGAAGGAAACGCCCGCGGGGAGATTTGGAGAAGATTAATGAACGGGGATGAGCGCCTGAGGGGCCACTAGAATATTGGAGACCGTGGTCAGACGAGACTTTGGGACGCACCTGAGCGGGCCCGTAAGCGGGGCCGAACCGGACGAAGGCTCATATGGAAGGCCCCCTACGTTGATTTGACTTCGGGTCTACAGGAGGCGTACCCCAGGGAGGTTTTTTTTTGCTTGGGACGGCATGGGCAGCCCGGAGGACGCAGGTTCGCTCAAAGTGCAGTCTTTCGTCACAAGTCTAGCCTCGGGTTAGGGTCAGGCCTCGACCGTCATCCAAATGAGCCCCTTCGATCCTTAACGTGCCTGGCCTCGGCTTTCCCATTTTCAGTGCAACTCTCCTCGGCAGAGCTGGCACAAATTTGACTTCTACCAGTAGTGAATGAAGTCGCCACTTTTCTTGGTGCTCTTCGCGATTTAGGAGAGCAACACGTGCAATTGCGCTAAATGTCGACGCCTTTCAAGGTTCAACACGGTCGCGGTCAGAAATAGGAACAACTTCCCCCGCATTGGATGCGCTGGAGCGCTGGAGTGCGGTCTCGACGGTGCGCCGACTGTTGCCGAAAGAGAGCAAGATCATCTTCACCAAGCTTTGGACGATGAGCACTGCGAAGCCGCGACCGGCAAATTGTGATGGTGGTGTGGCGCCCACAGCGCTGCGCTGATATCACTTCATGTCCACGACACCAATTACCTTGTTTGATCGGTCTCGAGGGTAAAAATCTATCTGTAACCATAGGATCGCGCGCAGTAAGGCGGATCGATCGCACTGCGTGGAAGCCAATAAGCAGTTCAAAAATTCACTGCCTGAGCGTTCTGTTCGCGTCCAGACTCTCGAGCGATAGCAGCGGTCACAACTCGCTTTGTAGTCCATCATTGTCGGCTGTCTCAGATGCCCCACAGCGCATCTTTCCTCCTAAATTTTAAAAACGAGCCCGAGTTCGCAGGTGGACGACGTCATCAACGGGTACATGGTTCCAGATGTGCATGGATTTGAGGAAGAAAACAAACGAGAGCCGTTTGCGGGCGCACGATAGGCACAGCATCGACTCTAGATAGGCCAACAACGCCGCATCGACGGCCGCTACTCGCCGCACACATGCATAACGTTCAACAGGGGAGTAGCGTCAAAATGGACGCCATCCGCTACTCTGGGTCGCTCGCTCTGCCGCCGGGGTGCCATCGGCCAAACGCATACAGCCTGGCTACCCTCTTATGGAAGATGGAAGTCGCCCGTCGTTACGGCATGGCTACGACTTCTCCACTACGAGAAGCCCGAACGCCATCGACCGCAGCAGTAAGATGCTCCGCAATTGAGTGACAGCAGCGCGCACGTTGTTGTTCTTTGGACAGATAGCAAAATCCAGATAAACGTATGAAAGCAGCTGAGTTGATCATGGTATTCTGGCCACAGCAGCAAGGTCCATCTAATACGCACAAGTTCATCATGAGCGTACACTAAAGCGTCCACAGTCCGTCAAAGCGCGCTCTAATCAACAGGTATCAGCGTCGCCATCGGAAGCAGGACAGGAACCGAGGTGAAAAGGACCGTTATCGTCCAGAGTACATCCGTACAAGCATAGCGAGTTCCGTCAGTCATCAAGATCAGTCAAGTCGCCCGTCATATCGTGAGCGGCCCTGCCATCGGACAGCCAACCGCCCAACTAGCAAGCCTCATTGCAGCCGGCGAGCCGCCAACACCATGCTAACCATGCCGTGACACCCTCCATCAAGCCGCTCTTCAATCGCGCGCCTTTTTCTCTTTCTCGTCGCCCTGCAGGTCGAACATGATTTCCTGCATGCCTTCCTGTTCTTTCGCAAGGCCACGAGAAGCCTCGAGGTCGGAGTCCCGGGGAGCAATCGGCCGGGGCGCGTTTTCCATAGCCTTTGCCCAGGTGTAGTAAACCGTACCCAACATGATGACGAGGATCGATGCGGCCCGGTTCCTGTAGGATGACACAATGCAATCAGCATTTAATTTCGAGCGTCAAGCGTCAACAACATCAGTGAAGCGCGGGAATGAGGAGGCCAAAGCGATGAATAAGGTCGAGCGTAAGCAGCATTTAGACGCGGTTCGCAACCCAATGGGGACTGTCAGATACATCTGCCGCGTATGCTCCGCATCACGGGAATAAAGAAGAAGACTGGGAATGAGAAAACGGAAGGCAGATGTTCGGGTCCGCAACAGGCTAGAAGGGGTACGTACGTTGTGAGGAGATCACCAAAGAGCCAGACGCCAAGCAGAGTCTGAATGACAGAGCGTGCAGCCTGTTATCGAGGACATTCGCCAATGGGCCGGGATTGGCATCACAATGCGGCAAAGCATCCGGTGATGTGAGAGAGAGCAAATGTCAGTACCTCGTCTCGAAGGTGATACGGGCATATGGGACCCGCGGAAAGAGGGAGGACAACACGTACGCTAGAGAACATATGCGTGATCGGGCTCGTCACCTTAATGCTCAGCAAGCCCGCGACGCAGAGCAAGAACCCAAACACGCCGGTGACGATGCTTCCCCAGACGAACACCTCGCAGTTCCACGAGGGCGTGTGTACCAGTTGCGCCAGCTTCTCGAATTCGCCCTGAAGGATAATGACGGGGAACAGGAACAATGCAGAGCCCAGATTCTGCCAGTACGCAAGCTGAATGGTCGAGTTGCCCGCGTGCGGCAAGGAGAGCTTGATGAGTACGGAGTGTACGGCGATGAAAAGAGAGGACAGCACGCCATAGAGAATGGAGAGTCCGCTTGTGCGCACGGGCACGGAGGGAAGAGACTGCAGAGATTGCAGAGAGAGCGAAAAGAACGAGGAAGGCGCGACTCCAAGGAAGAATCCCATGGTGACCGCGAACGCGGCAAGGACGACGCGTGCACTCGGACGGGTATGCGTATGGACAGAGGACACCATGATCGTGAGTGGGAGGACAAGACCACGCGCAATCTGTCAGCATGTCAGTGTCGGTGCGACAGACGAGCAGCACGAACATACCTGGAAAAACGATGCTTCGACGCCGCGAAGGCAGAGAATGTTGAAGACAAGGCCGATGACATTAACCAGGGTGACTGGCATAAGTTTCTTCGCGGTTTCGAGCTTCAGCTTCGGGATCTCAACCTTCGGCGTGATCAGTGCAGAGGCATGCAAGAGCACCACTGCAAGGATCAGCTGGATGAGAAGGAAGACGAGAGGAAGGTCAGGTGAAGAGTTGAGCACGGCCTTGTTCCTGCAGCGCGGAGATAAATGAGGTCATGGTGCGTCCAGATATCGGAAGGCTTACACAAAGACCATCTGGTGTAGGGCCGCCGCCACAATATACGACACACATTGAGAAAGGGAGCATTATGATCGGCGGGTGAACTTACCACCAGGGCGGCGCACATGTAGAAGGACACAACGGCGGCAACTTTCCATGGCTGGAAACGGTCTGCGTTCTTGCTGTCCATGACGGTCGTCTACAAACACTCGCGAGAGATGGTCGGGAAAGCGGGAGAGCAAGATGTGCTGCAGGCGATGTTGGAGCGAGCTGCAAGACGCCAAAAAAGTTCAAATATGGACGGGAGATAGGAGAAGGTTACTGGCTTGACATGAGGATGAGGGGCGGGCGGCGAGGGACGCCGAAGAAGCGACACGATGTCATTTGCGAGCCAAGCGAAAAGAACGCGGCGTCCACATTCCTGGGGGACTGGAGTGCTGCAATGAGCGCTCTGAATTTTCATACGAAATTCATTCCGCCTGACGGGGAAACTGAGCGGGCCGGTTTCAGCAATCGATATGCCTACGGGTCGCGCCAAAACTAATCCTACCTGTCCTCCCGGCGCTGATGAAGATGCCATTAGCCATGAAGCTCTCTGGAAGAGTGCTCCTGTGCTCCTGTGCCGGCGAGGACATGGAGGGGCAGCAGGAGCGTCGATGTGACAGTGGGTGATCGAGTGTGACCGGAGTAGCAATTGGCAATTGGGCGTCACGCGTAGGGAGCGGGAGATTGGATCGGGGGAATCGCATTTCGACTCGAGGGAGCGCTGGACCTGCGACTCGGCCGGCGGGTGGGAGAGGAGGCCCCATATCATTACCTCCGCCTCTCCCACCCCCCTCCTTCCTACCCCCCCTCATGGCGGCGAAGTTCGACGTTGAGAGTCGGCGCGACGACTGGGGCCACCACCGCTCAGAGTCCAGTGTGCCCCTCCTCAAGGAATACCCCGACTCGCCCCAAACGCCTACCTTCTATATAGCAAGACCGCGCTCCCTGCTCGTCGGCACCCGCCGCCGCGTCCTTGTCGCTTTCGCGTCGCTCTCTGCCTTGTCGCTCATTGTTTTCGGGATCACAGCGATCCTCAGGCAGCAGTTACATCCCTTACAGGCCGTTGCCGAGCCAGATACCTACACTAATTTGGGCGAGAATGACTACGTTACGTCAAGTCCTCTCGACGTCGAGGTGGACGTTCCTGAGCCAGAATCGGAGAACGCATATTCACCATACGTGTTGGGCCCTCCGACGTCTCGCTTCCGCGACAACTTACGCAACGACACCAAGTACATCACATCCTGGGTATCAGCCGGATGGAGTGCGTATCTACGCTTTCTCGTCTGTGACTATCACTAACCTGACTCCGTTGCCTCTCTATCCTTCCTCATAACCAAAACTATTGACGATCGTAGCGAACGACGTCATAACGTACGCTAACCTGATCTACCTCGGCGTAATCACTGGCCGAGTGCCGCTCTTGCCCATGTTCACACCGTCGCACATTGGCGGTGACGCAGGGACGATCGCGTGGGGTGACGTGTTTGACGTTCCGCGGTTCATCCGCGAGTCAGGGATCGACATCGTCGAATGGCGCGACGTGAAGGACCTGTCCGAGCCCGAGGTGGAGGATATCGGCTGCTGGAACGTGTGGGAGTCCGTTCAGTACCGTGAGCACTTCCCCAGGGGCAGCGCGGTACCGGGCTGGCTTGCGCTTGGTGAGCTCATAGTTCGTTCCTCCGATGTGTAATCGGCCTGACAGTGCTGGGCAGACGTCTCGTATACCAAAACTCCGGATTGGGTGAAGCTCATATCGAACTATGAGCATGATCAGCATACTACGTTCTGGACGCTTGCGCGGCTATCTTTTCCCGAAGAGCGTGAGAGGAACTTGGGCGTGCCGCTTCCCTCGCCCCAGCACCAAGTGAGCCTGCCCCCGGATGAGCAGCTGCTCTGCTTCGACTATCTGTATTATCTATGCGCGACGCAGGTATGGATGTCATTCTTCGGATGATGGGGACTGTAATGATGGAATATGACGTGCTACCGTAGACATACGAGTACGAATACGACTACTCTCCGGCATGGAGGTTCGTAGGCACGCATATGCACTGGACCCAAGACATGCAGAATCTCGCGGACGCATACGTTCTCTATGCATTTGGCCTGCCTGAGGATGCGGAAGTGCCACCTGTAAGTTCCATCGACGTTGCCGCAGCGCGGCCGCCTGTATTGACCGATCTTCCGCCGCAGTACATTGCCATCCACCAGCGGCACGGCGACTTCAAGAACTACTGCTATGAAGGTGATCCGGATTGTTTCGCGTCGATCGAGGTGATCACGCGGCGCGTACGGGAGGTGCAGGATGAGTTGCGGGTGCGAAAGGGCATAGAGATTCCGGACACGAGGGTCATCATGACGAGCGATGAGTCTGACCCGGCGTGGTGGGAAGAGGTGGCGGCGATGGGGTGGGTGAGGATTGATCATGATGCGTGGGAGACTGCTAGTCAGTATGGGAAGTGGTAAGTGTTTGCACTCGTGCATTTTGCCTGCATCTTGATGCATTGGATGCTGATTCATTTGTGACCGTAGGTACCCCGTCATTCTAGATGCTGTGATCCAGTCTAGCGCCATGGGCTTTGTGGCCAACGACAGATCGACATACTCGACATTGTCACGTCGGCGTGTGGCCGATTGGCAAGATGGTGCGACGCGGATTGTCAAGTGGGGATTAAAGGATGCAGATGCACATTGATAGTGCATCTTCGTGGCCTCGGGAAGCGGTGTTTGGACTGTCTGACGAATACCCTGAACGCGATGGTGATGAATCTCAATGGACATTGTCTCATTCACAATTACCCCCTCGATGTGTGCGTATGTCGCACGGAGGGAATCGAATTACCCTTCTATGGACTGGCACTCGACAAAGTTGCTTCGACTGGTGTTACTCAGATTATGGCTTGCTCCGGCACATGACATGGACCATTGGTAGCTATTAGAATTCTGTTGTCTAGGAGCTGCAACGATACCTAGCATTGCTATGTATGCTTCGCTTTCCTATGTATTTATAGGGCATTCATCTCCATTTCCACTGAGCTTGACATGGCGAATTCCCACTCTCGCCGCGTGCCATGTTTGGCGCACGAGCCTCTGATCGTGCTCGACCACGACGTCGCTTGCGCACGATCGAACTTTGCAAACGCGGATACCAGCAAGATGTCGAAGACAAGAACACAATGCAGCCGCCTAGGCAGCCCGGGAAGCTCGGCGGCCTCATGAAGAAGAGTCCAAGCCCAACTGACGGCGTTCATCATGCTCTGATTCCCCACCGCCTGCTGCACAAGCCAACCCACTTCCCGCTTTGCGTCTGGCGCGTATTTCCGCACTCGCATGGGGACAGTCGACTCCCCCGCTTCCATACTCCCCGAGCCCCAGGCATGACCGCCTAGCGCGCGGCGCACGACAGCGTACGTGCAAACGGGCCAGCTGCCGCCCTTATCATAGCCCGGCTACTTGCCTCTAGTCCTCCCATGTTCCCCCGTTCGGTTTCGTTTGCTGTGCCAGATCTCTGCGGCGACGACCTGCCAGAGCCTCGCCCACAGTTTCAGTCTAGGATGAGCTCTGCCGAGGGTAGGGCCAGCGGTATGAGCCGGCCCTGGCTCCCCACCGAGGTCTACGCCCACATTCTCAGTTTTCTCCCAGCGGCAAAGGATCTCGCCGATGAGAGCGTGAAGACGCTCGTTGCATGCCTTTCTGCCAATTCTGCCCTGCGAGATGCCGCGCTCCATCCGGGACTTTGGGAACCGCACTATCGCACACGTTACACCGAATGCGTCGAAGAGCACGAGGCCAAACGGCGCGTTGCGGTGGGTGACAACTGGCAAAAGCTCTACGTCATGAGGAGAGAGATCGACCGCCGGGCACTCGCGCTGGTGGACGAGATCAGGTTGCAGCTGCAAGGCCGGCACGTGAAGGCAAGAGAGTTTGTGAGAAAGTACTCGTTTGATGCATGGGATGCGCTGGAGGTTGAGGCAGAGTTGCCACTGCCGGCATATTTCCGTCCAGCAAGCGATGCGGACATCGAGGCCGACATGAACTGGGAGGTGCCACATGCGTTGCCAAGACGATACTGGGCGAGGGCGGTAATGGGTGTCATCGCTCGGCATCACACCCTGCAGCTGTGGACACGGCTCTTTTGTTATAGTGAAGATGAAGATGCGATTCCGTTCGAGGACGCTTTGGCGGGCCTTTCTGCGTTCTTCGATAAGTCCCCAAGAAGGGTGAGTGTTTGCGCGATTATGGTGCATGCGATTTGTCTTAAAAAGAGCACATACAGATACCTGTGTGGCTCTGTCAGCTGGCGAATCGTTGTCGGAGAGTGCTGTCTGACGAAGGATTTGAATTAAACTCACAGAGCCCCGCATATGACCTGAGCGGCCTGTGTGTCCGAATACGTGGTATCCTTTGGGATCTAGGTTGTGGCAACGCTGAAGGCAGGTTAGAGCCCTTCATTTCATCCTGGGAAACTGATCGTTAACTTGCAGGACATGACTTCTACAATTTGATCAACCAATTTCCTCATTCTCTGATGGGTGAGGGTCCACGGAGAACTATTCCAATGTCTTTGATGTACATCTTCGTGTCAATCTGTCAAAGACTCGGCATTCGAGCCGCGCCGACAGACTGCCCTGGCAAGGTCCTATGTCACATCACCCCTCCCGACTCACGAATGGGCGAGCTGCTCTTTGACCTCTGTAACAATACTTCTCCGTACGTTTTTCATAGCTGGGACCCGCCAAGCATGCTGCTCGAAGTCGGACTCCCTGCCGACGCGTCCCCGGACCTCGTCCGTCCATGTCGAGTGGGTGCAACTTTGCGCCGCGCTGCGATGAATATCATGTCGGTGCACCGGAACCAGCTGGATTCGACAAGTCCTTTTAGCGAGCGCTTGGCGTGGTGCAGCTACGGGGCGTCCTGTATCTTCCTGCTGCACTCGCGTGGCAATGAAATCTGGCCGTATACGCTGGATTCGAAACCATTGGACGCACTGGTGGTACTGACGGACGTGGTATGCCCCGCGCTGGTGCCTGAGAAGCAGGCGTACTTGGAAAAGCGCTGCACGGAGCTCGTGAGGTCGGATGACGAGTTTGCGAAGACGTTGTGGCCGCGCTCGCAGTATTCAAACGTGACGTTCTTCGTTGGTTTGGTCGTGCAGCACGTGCGGTATAAGTATGTGGGGTGTATCATTGGGTGGCACGTAAGTGACGTCCTTGTAATCTTGTTGTTCCCTCAAATGACCATTCCACTCACTAGCCTATGTATCTCGCCAAAGAAGATCTTACTTCTGCAATGGAGGTACAACGCTTCGGCAATAACTGGGAACAGCCCTTCTACTGGATTATCACCATCAATGGAGCCAAAGGATGTCAGCAGCTCACTTTTGTCTTCCTTCTCTTTGCTAATATTTGTGTCATCTAGATGTAGCTGAGAGCGATCTGACGCCTGTACGACTCGACAGAAGCATCGCGCGGTGCATGTTCGAAAGCCGGACGATATTCGGGCGGTTTTTCGAGGACGTCGAAATGAATGAGTCGCAGCACCGCGGGAGGTTGCTACCTAGCGAGGAGCTGCAGACACTCTTTCCCGAAGATGACAGCGCGGGAGCGTTGTGGATTGCAACGGGCATGGCGGACAAGGGAAAGCCGGTGATTAGGCCGCTGCGATATTATTAGTTGACAAAATCCCACGTGGGTTCATCACTCTTGCTCCTTTTTTCTGGTTTCTTGGTGGACAATGCTTGCAAATGTCTCGGGCTGCTAGATGATAGCTTCCTTTCACTCATCTTTTCGCGAACGCTTGTATAAATGTTATGTCGATATATATCGTTCTCGAAGCTAATAGCTTGTGTACGACGTGCGTAGAACGTCACTCCTGCCCATCTACGACGTGGTAAGAGGTCCTGGAGAGGACGTGCACATAAATTCTCCTCCGTACGAGATCCGGCGGAGGACGAGATGAAAGCAGTAAGTAGTAGAACTGAGTAGAACTGCATTTGCTACGGCACGTGAGACGCGCACCAAGTGGCCGCCGCATCATGGGCGCCTGCGACACGTCCACTGCGCTGTTACCCGCCGCACCGCGACTTACAACCGCCACCTAACTCTAACTTTCCCTCCATTCCTTTGCATCCTTTGCGTGCACTTCGTGCAACCGGCGATACCAATAATTTAACTGTATCCTTATTTCTGCCCGTCAATGCCAGTGCAAGACCGCACGAACGAATTTCGAGCATGCGTGGAGTCTATACGAAATCGCTCATCACTCCCGCAACGCGGTGTGGAAGCGAAACAAAGGTTGCTTCTGCAGCAGAGAAGTGCGGAGAGCAAGTCCGAATTTAGTCGGACAGCGGCTGCTATTGCGAAGGATATCAGTAATATGACCGTCAAGCTGGGGAAGCTGGCACAGCGTAAGTAAGGTCCTCGCCACACCCACCATCATGTTGCTCAACGGGCACCAGTGGCGAAAAGGAAGACACTTTTTGACGACAGACCTGTGGAAATTAGCGTATGTCGCTTCTCGAAGATTCACCTTATCTCGTCCGCAATGCCTCAGTTCGTTTTCAGGAGCTCACGTATATAATCAAACAAGACATTGCGAACATCAACAAGCAGATTGCATCCTTACAGTCACAGCTGAAGCAGCGCGATGCCCAAGGCGCGTCAAAGTCTCCGGAAGGAAAGCAGCTGGAGGAGCACAACCACAATGTGGTGATGCTGCTGCAGAGCAAGCTCGCAGACACGAGTATCACATTCAAGGACGTGCTCGAGATCAGGACACAGGTGTGTTGAGTCGTTCTAGGGTGCTCGCCGAGACGCTCATGGATCCGTCAGAACATGAAGGAGTCCAAGGACCGAACAGAACAGTTTATGCACTCCACAACTGCTGCTGCGAGCCAAGCGCCTTCAAGTTGGCCTTATTGCATTGCCCCTTCGACCATTGTATTCACATCTCTTTCGTCCAGATTCTCTCCTGTTTGGCAACGCGCAACGACAGGATCCGATGGGTGACGGCTCAGCCGTGGCATCCCGCTACGATGTCAAGGGTAAAGGACGCGCAACTCCCCAACCCAATGGCGACATATTGGCATTGGATCTTGGAGCAGCTGAGGAGGGAAGCACGGCTAAGGGGGACGCGTTCATGCAAATGCAGCTGGTTGAGCAGCAGGTGCATCGCATATGTTTCTATTCTGTTGTCGGCGAAGGCTGATTCTGTCTTATTTTTCAGGACAATTACATTCAATCCCGGTCCACAGCAATCGAGTCCATCGAGGCCACCATCGCCGAACTCGGGCAAATATTCACACAACTGGCACAGATGGTAGCGGAGCAGCGAGAGACAGTGCAGCGGATAGACGCGGATACAGTGGACATCGCGTCCAACGTGAGCGGTGCGCAGCGGGAACTGCTCAAATACTATGCCAGCATATCAAGTAATCGGTGGCTAATGCTGAAGGTTTTTGGAGTACTCATTGTCTTTGTAAGTTTTTGCGTCGCACTTCGTAGCTTGGAGAATTTGCTGATGGATGATACAGTTCCTCGTTTTCATCTTGGTTTCATGATATATGGACCTATCGCATATGGATGTAGGTAGATGTAGGACCGTGGCTTCTATTCACTCCCGGTACGACCGGACAAGTCGATTTACGCTAACCATTCGGACCAGGCTACAACCTGCATCCTCCCATCGGCAATCCGCCAGTAGCCGGCGGGTGCAGCACCGAGCAAGCGTCTTGGTCCGCATCCCCCGTCCCCTTTACAACATTCACGCTTGCAGCCGCGAATATTTCCTTACCGACAGCACTTGGACGTAATCAATTGTAACCTTGGAGGACGCATTCCAAGTGTTGCTCAACAGAAGTAGACAGTCGCTCCTCTGATCAACGCGAGCTCAGAAGTAGCGATGTACTTTGAGCCGAATTTGAGTAGCGCATGGGGAATTGCACTTCGTGGTTAATGCTGTAGGCGTTGCAAACTTTGAGAGCTCGTCATGTTGAAGTCTTGTCCTGACGGGCGGATTGTGTTGAGCGGATGGCGGGCGTTTCTCCATTTCCCATGCAATTCATACGATGGAGCTATGGCCCGGTGCATGCGGGTGCATATGCCCGGTACATGATTTGATGATAGAATTTCGGTCGAGTCTTCTGAACTGGCGCGATGTGCGAGAGGATCTTGATGCGCTTGCGCTCGGAAGGTACCAGACCACGATGAAGGCAGTACTTGCTCGATATCCTCAACTTTCTCTGCTTCGTCTACAAATGACTCATTGCCGTGGACAACGCAGAATGGCGCAATAGTCGCAAACCCTGACTCAACCGTGACCCACGCATATATGAAGCCTAAGAGCGGGCCGAGATATTCGGTCTTGCTCTTATCGTCTCCACGATAATCTTGTGAGGGCGAAGGGGTAAGCACATTCAATGGTTGCCTCCTTACTCTGTTCTCGACGTGCTATTTAGTGCTGGTCTTCATCCTGGTACACTGCAAAAAATGACTGTAGCGGTCGATGAAGAGACCCCTTTGCTACGTGACGGCCCCCAAGAGACTTCATGTGCGAACGATGAAGCGGATGCAGTGACACAGAGGAGCCAGGACGAGGACGTGAAGCCTCAGGTATCGGTTATTGCTGTGGTGCGTACTTTAACTCCAGTAGTAGCCGCATTATGAGCAGGACAGGCAAGTTGTATACTTGAGATAACCTCAGGTCATCGCAGCCGTTCTGCTCTCCTGCGCTGCAGCTTGCTTGTGATAGAACGTCTCATGTATATTTCCCTTCGTTTTCAGATTGTACCAATGATGCTGGGCATATTTCTTATCGCAATGGATACCACTATCGTTGCGTCAACCTATGCGGCTATTGGCAGCCAGTTCGAACGTTTGGAGAATACGAGCTGGATTGCTACAGGATACATGCTCACGATGACAAGCTTTCAGTATGTTGTTGGACCGGCCTTCCAGTCACTTGATGATTGTATGTCTAATTACCTCCAACAGGCCATTGTACGGCAAGGTGAAATATTCGTGGCGCACCTTTAACAGTGTGCTAATTGCCTTGTAGTTGAGCGACATCTTCGGCAGGAAGTCGTGCTTAATATTCGCACTCTGCGTCTTTGCGATCGGCAGCTTTCTCTGTGGTGTCGCGATTGATATGAACTCGCTCATAGCGGCACGCGCACTGGCAGGAATGGGTGGTGGAGGTATAAACACGTAAGTCAAACGTGTACCTAATGCTTATCTCGTCGCTCACATTGCTCCTCAGCGTAGGCGTGATCATCATGTCCGATGTGGTACCGTTGCGGAGCCGGGGTACTTGGCAAGGTGTGGCAAACATCGTCTTTGCATCTGGACAAGCTGTTGGCGCTCCACTTGGTGGCATATTGGCGGACACTATCGGCTGGAGATGGTGAGCCTTGAATGCACGACTTTGACACCAAGTACTGAGAAAATTGTACAAGGGCGTTTCTTATTCAAGTGCCCATGACGGTCTTCGCCATCAGCTCCGTCGCGTTTGGTCTGCACCTTCCTAAAGTCGACAACAGCGACTTTATCGGGAAACTCAAACGCGTCGATTTTGCAGGAGCAATCACGCTCGTCTTCTCCGTCTTTGCTCTGCTCCTTGGTCTTGACCGAGGTGGCAATGTCGCCTGGAAGGATCGATTAACCATTGCATGCTTCGCAGCATTCTCCTTGCTATTTGGTGCATTTCTCGTCATTGAATGGTTCATCGCGCGCGAACCGTTCGCACCGAAGCACATCATTCTCAATCGCACACTGATCGCGAGTTATCTATGCAACTTCTTCTTGATTGGTGCAAATATGACGATCATATTCCATGTGTCTTTGTACCTCCAAGCGGTACAGGGGCTGAAACCCGCGCAGGTGGGCTTGGCCCTTCTGCCGAACGTGCTCGGAGGAGCGATTGGGAGTATCACAAGCGGCTTGATCATGAAGGCTACCGGAAAGTACTACTGGCTGACAGTACTCGTTTATACCCTATCGTTCTGTGGCATCGCAATCATTGCGGACGTCACCGGACCACTGATGTTCACTATGGCCGGGCTTGGTATTGGTGAGATTTTCTTCAGTGGGCAGTCGTGCATTCCAATAATTGTTGCATGTCAGGTTTGGCATTGATGTCCCTGGGAGGATGTGAGCTTCTAAATACTTCTGCCTTGGCCAATCCGCTAAGACGCATCAAATCTTCAGGGGCGGGTCTTACTACGACTCTCATCGCTCTTATTGCCAATGCTGGGCCTGAGAATCAGGCTATTGCGACCGCTGGTGAGCATTCTCATAAATGCTCAAGCTATCACCGTATATCGAGTCTGACGTATACGGTAGTGTCGTATCTGTTCCGCACACTTGGTTCAGTAGTTGTCCTATCGGTTGGTACAACGCTCTTCCAGGATACGCTCCGTGTGCGTCTACACGAGCGGCTAACGGGAGCAGATGTAGAGGAGGTACGCTCGCTAAGGCGTCATATTCCGTGCCCACCTGACTTGTACATTCCTCGTTGTCTATGCAGATCATTAGACGAGTGAGGGAATCACTTAGCTATATCGACGAGCTCGGACCCGCTGCCCGTGCAGCAGTCGTGCGCTCCTATAAGGACGGCGTACAAGCAGCGCTGTGGTTTTCCGTCGTTCTCGCAGGCATCACGGTGTTGTGCTCGGTGTTTATCAAGGAAAAGCCTCTATCTCACTGATAGAAGCGGGACGCGTAAATTTTCCTTTGCTGTTCATATCATGGGAATCTGTGTATTTATCGAACCCTAGAATTGACAACATATATATCACAGTCTTATCCAAGAAAATGTGGCACAGCTTGATACAATGTGACGCCTCGAGGAATAGCTCAACTGATATGTTCATCTGGTAGATCAGCTGTAAAAACACCGTTCACCCGCGCTTACTCTCACCGCCTTTCATGCGCTGACAGGAATGTGTGAATGCCAGACGCAGTTGACAGTGAGCGCCAAACGATGAACCCATATTCTTTGGCAGGTCTGACACCAGCTGCCTACTGTATAGAACTTCTTGACGTCTGCTTGGCGTCCTCCACGACGACTGAGTCGGGCTTCGTCACAGTACTCAGGCTCTCAGATCTCACTGCTGACGTATATAAGCCATTCTGCAGTGTCTTTGCTGGCATTGCGGTAATCGTGCTATGATGGCCTCCGTACAATCCGGGAATTACTTTGGCTGTTGATGCCGTCGTGTTGCTTGACCATCAAGAGATGCATGGCCAGAACTGCTCTATCGTTCCCACGAAATGTAGATTGGCCCAGGTCCCAGTGGACTAGAGCTGACAATGGCGATGCAACTAGCACCTGAGGATGACATGGGTAGGTCAATAACACATTTCATGTCAGTAATTGACGCATATTGTGATCTCATTTCAGTCTGGATGATTGTGAACAAATTGCCGGTTCTTACAAACAGCCGTCAATGAGCAGTGCTAATGGGTTTTGCGCTGACGATTCCCACAACGGTGAAGCAGAACCGCGGAAATAATGCCTTATTGTACGAGCTGAATGGATCGAGGCTGGACCTAGAGGGGAGCGAGAACGAACGGAGAAATCATTGCAATCTTCGCCATTTCTCCTGGCCGCCATACGCGCTGTCATAGATGACTGAATGCCGAGGAAGGTGATGCATCAGAGCGCTCGGGAGAACCTGCCTTAACCGCTACACGAGGAAGTTCGATTGAAGACCATCAATGCTGCCGGTGCAGACTAGACCTCCAAACATGCATAAAAGGCTTCATCGACATCCCACCTCCTCTCAGTACCGGTTGCGCATCGGAACATCATTGCATACGCAGCAATGCAATTGTCGTGGCTTTCCAGCATGATCCTTACGGTTCTTGCCGTATTCCATGCTGTCGGTTAGTCTCCGACCGTTACCACAATCGTGACTATGATTGTTGACCAAACTCTCCCTCTCTCAGGTACCGTTAACGCAAAAGCGACCTGTGGCACTGACGGGGAGGTCATCAGCAACGACACGTTCGTCTACAACGATAAAACATACAGGATGGTCACACGGACCTGCCCTGGGATTGCTGCACGGCGTTCGCTCGAGTCTCGTTCCCGACTGATCCGGCCACGCCAGTACGACATTTGCAGCTATGACGGTGGCTTCATTTTCGATGCACAACCAACAGATAGCTGACGTCTGCTCAAACAGCTTCCATAGAATGCGCAGATCTGACTTCGGATCTGTCGGTAGCCAGTTGCATTGATTTAGCCGATGCTCTGGAGGATCAGGGAAGTGAGTGCCCCACAATTTCCTGCTGTGCCTAAATTGCAACCTCAAGACCTGATAGGCGCGAACTTCGCTTTGCAATCTGAGACATCCATTACGTTCTACACTGACTACGGAGACTGTAACTACGAGATTGTGAACTACTCGGAAGATGATCTCGCCGTCTGTTACTATATAGTGGTGAGTATATTATTGATGGTCAATCTGGTCTTGGCTTGGACGCTCGATCGATCGACTCATATTCATGATTTGTCTTGTAGGGTGAGCTCGGCCTCACGATTGACGATGATTGCGGGCAAATTGGTGGAGGGTATGGATATGATGACAGCGACTTGTGGTATTTGGAGTGAGTACGACATTTCCGTGCATAACGATTGGAGCTCATGAATAATGGCACAGGGTTTACTAAGCGAGGAAGTCTGCACACGAGTACACTGAGCCCGTCACAGGCTGTTATGTCGATATTGTTTTTCTCCTGCAACATACCGTTGAGCATGTGTGCTATCATGCTTTCCGTGTGCTTGGAGGCCCGCCTTCTGTCGTGATGCTACTGCTTTGATGCAATTCTCGTCGCCCTCGATGTACAATACTTGTAGACAGCTGTTGATGTCGAGACATCAACGTCCCCTCATAAAACCGTTGGATTCCTTGACGAGAAACTCGCTGCAGACGTCTTGCGATACTCTCATCACCCCGAAAGCTTATGCACGCATTAGTGTGCTGGCGATGCCCTCACAGGTGTAGGCCTCGCAGTAAGGGGCGCATACCTTGATCGCTGCGGTAGGCAGGTAAAGATGTGGGATCCCTCAGACCGACGTGGTCAACCAGCAAACCATGAATTGAGCTTTGCCTTGACTGCGATTGTCAGCTTAACGGCGTGTCCTTACGATCTTACAAGATTGGTGTATAGACAGCGCCTTGAAAGGATCATTCGAACGTCATGGAACCGGCCCGTATTGGCTCCGATTGAAGATAGGTATGAACATTTGGCGTGATAAAGCATGTCGATATGATAACCTTCCGTGTAAAAGCAGCTGGCGGAGCTTTGACACGACCCTGAAACGCACTCCCAACTGACGCGGTCCACTCTACTTCCGCTCATTTCTCCATCGATGGATCGATAGGTCGACCACACCGGTATGCAACAGTGGCAATGTTCGTCTCTGCGGCAGAAGCAGAAGCCAGCTACACGTGGAACGTTCATGGGGTGTCCGCTATGGAACGGGGCCCATCTTCCGGAAGACGCTCGACTATAGGCGGCGGCCGCTGTAGACACGTTCCTTGACCTTCCACGGGGTCTATGTCTACCGCAGAGAGACGCCGCCGCGGGATCAGGGTGTCTGCTGGTGAGAAAGGCATTCCTGGATGCCGTAAGATTGGGGGTCTGAGAACTGCCGGTGTTGATGTCTGCATCCACACCATCGGCTGCTATACTTGTCAGCCGTTGGTGTTATGAGGAAATATTATCGACATCCAGTGAGCAGTTGAGCCTGACAAGGAGACCACACAGCTGGACTCCGACGGCTTCGAGGACCCCGCGTTAGGCAATGGCCATGAGCATCGGATATACCGAAATTAAGAAGCTGACACTCACCGATACACACCTGACGTGATCCTTTTTTCTTTACAGCACTGAGTTCAGCGGCAATGGCTTATCGATGGGGAGCTTGCTTCGCAAGCGCATGAGGTCAAGGATCGCCGCCGTCACGGGTATGGGCACTTTGTACCGCTGCGCCATCCTGAATAGGTAGCCGCTAATATACTCAATCTCGGTTTGTCGCCCTCTGCGGACATCGACGAGCATTGATGAGACATTGTCGCTCGTGAGTTTGGCCACGCGCTCGCACTCCAGCATGAGTCTTTCCGCTGAAAGCTCCCGCGGGAAGTCCTGCGAGTTCGGCTTGTCCGCGTCCTCGTGCGCATCGCCGGCATCCCTGGGACGCTTCGCCCACACTTCCTGCTCCCATTGCGCCCAAAAGACTATCGACGCCTCTGCACAGAGCCGCTTGGACAGCCTAAGAGCCTCAGGATGCTCGAAGAGCTCGCCATTCTTGCAGTTGAGCAAGGCGGTGAGCGGGTTCACGACAGCATTTACGGCGAGTTTGCAGCGCATTGCAACTTGGACGTCGTATATGGGCTGCCAGGACGCGTTCAGCTGCTCGGCGCTCGTGAGCGCGGTGATGGTGTTGCGTAAGGAGACGTATCGCTGGGCGAGAGGGTCGCCACTGAGCGGCGTGATGTCGTCGAGGCTGAGCTTCTGGTCCTCCTTCGGAAGGGAAGTGTCAAGGCTCACTTCGAAGTCGCGCCCCTTGGGGTCGGGGACGATGCCGAGCTTGATGTCGCCCACACCGGTGTGCACAACGTGCCCCTCTTGCTTAAGGAATGCACCGTGATTGTTAACGGAGACGACGATGTTGGGGCGCTGCTCGCGGTTGCGGAAGACGGCCTTGATGAGATTCTCGTACACGCCCATACCGTTGTGCAGGAGGACGATTGTGCTGTTCGAGGATATTCGCGGGAGGAGACTCATGATGCCTTGGATGGCTGATTGGGCCTTTACAGCGACTATGAGAGACTCGATGGGTGACGGCTTAGGATTCTTTAGGATGCCGGCGAGCTGCTGCCGCTGGTCTTTGGCAGACAGTTTCGTGACACGACGGTGAAGGCGCTCCTGCTCGAGGACCTTGAAGACGTAGTCATCGTACGGATCGGGGCTCTCGTGAAGAATGTGCTTCTGAAACTGAACGACGCCGTCGCGCTCGACTTTGATGCCGCCTGCCTCGCTGGCCTGGTACGCGAGAGCAGGCGTCTTATGGATGACGGAGACGAGGTGCTTGAGAGGAAGGGTGGCGCGGAGGTGGTGTGCGACGAGGGTACCGATGGCACCGTACCCGAGGACGTGGATGTGCATGTACCGACGCCGAGAGAGTCGACGTCGACGGTGCTGGAGGCGACGAGCGTGGCAGACGCAAAATCTGCGATCGGACGCGTCGGTGGCGGATCGGGGGATGCCGCAGACTCAAAAGAGCCGAAGAAAGACCGGGGAGCAGAACGATTCGTCAAGTTATGACGAAGAATCGATGTCGCGAGAGAGTATTCCCTGTGCACGGTCCGTCCTCCCGTCGCCCTCATAAACCGCAAACGCGCCAGCTCCCCTCCTTCACCCGCCCTCCATCTCCCTCCCACCGCACAACCCACTGGACAAACTGGCAACCATGGTCAGGCACGCTACCGTCGCGCTCAAGAGGACCGGGCAGCAGGTATGCCTCAATGCTTCTCTCTCCCGACATCAGTCGCTCATTTCTGCATGATTATGTGTCAGATGCCCCTTGTCGGGTAAGTGCATCCTCGAGCACATAATATGATCGGACCCATGTCTCATTGCCCCTCTGCTCTCGCACAGCTTTGGTCTCTGGAAGGTCCGTCGCGTGCTCAGAAGGAGCTCGCACTGCGCTAACGTCGATCCATTCAGGTCACTAGGGCGACTTGTGCGGATGTATGCGTGCTCAATGTGCTACTTCAGAGACCGCATCTGATGTGCATCATGTAGACCGTCTACAACGCCCTCAAGGCGGGCTACCGTCTCCTCGACGGTGCCGGTGATTATGGTAACGAAAAGGAGGCTGGTGAGGGTCTCCGTCGTGCCATCGCCGACGGCGTTGTGAAGCGCGAGGAAGTCTGTGAGTGATAGCGCGCTCCTTTGTATTCTTCTAGCAGCTCAAATAGTAGCTCCCATCGCGCAGGGGTCACATCCAAGGTAAGTCGGATCTTCCGGAAGCGCATCCGCCTTTCAGCGCCTGATTAAAGTTGTACCGCACTAGCTGTGGAACACTTTCCACAAGCGTGAGCACGTACGCTGATTTTCTTCGAAATTCATTATGCACGGCATGTTCATTGGCGCTTCGTAGGTACATGCCGTGGCCAAGAAGCAGCTTGGCCTCTGGGGCATCGACTACTTCGATCTCTTCCTCGTTCACTTTCCCATCGCCCTCGAGTATGTCGACCCTGCGCACCGCTACCCTCCTGAATGGTGGGGCGATGACAAGAAGGTTCACCTCGGTAAGTAACATGTCTCGCACTTGCTGTGGTCGAGTGCTGATTTGTTCTTAGCGAAAGTCCCACTGCAGGAGACGTGGCAGACCATGGAGGAGCTCGTCGACGCGGGTCTTGCCAAAAACATTGGTGTCTCGTGAGTCAAATATGCTGCGCTGAGGACAAGCAACGTGGCCTTATGGCATCTGCACAGTAACTGCCAGGGTTCCATTCTTCTCGACGTCCTGCGCTACGCTCGCTACGAGCCGGCAGTTAATCAGGTTGAACTTCACCCCTACCTGACGCAGGAGCCGCTCATCAAGCTGTGCAAAACCCTCGGGATTGCCATTACTGCGTACTCGTCGCTTGGCCCTCAGAGCTATGTGGAACTCGGCGGTGACAAGGGTGCAAAGAACTTGCTGGAACATGACATTGTTCTGTCTGTTGCATCGAAGCACGGAAAGAGTGAGTCAACTCCCGGTGGGCGCAGCTGGTGTCTGTACTGAAGAAAATTGTACGCAGCAACTGCGCAGGTGCTGCTCCGCTGGGCTGTGCAGCAAGGTTTGGCTGTCATCCCGAAGAGCAACAACCACGAGCGTCTGCTGCAGAACTTCGAGGTCGACCAGTTCACGTTGACGGAAGATGAGGAGAAGGCGATCAGCTCCCTCAACATAAATCTCCGCGTAAGTGCCGTGTTTACCGTAGAGACTTGACGGCACGCTGAAGAGTCTTGCAGCTCAACGACCCTGCCGACATCGACCCCCGCATTGCCATCTTCGCGTGAGTGAGAAGAAAATGGTCAGATAATTGTTGTATAAGTACGGCGTGAACGCTTCTAGATTGCTGCAAATACATCACAGTGGTTCGTCCTGTGTCATGCGTGCATTAACCGTTGACACTGCAAACGGTCGCGAGTCACAGCCACTGCGGCCGAGTTGTGAGCGTAGAGTCGGCTGAGCCCGCAGCGCGGAAGCGCGCAGTCAAGTGACCTGCCTATTATGGCAGGAGCTGCTATACGCGTCCTCGATCATAAACACCGCGCAGCGTGAGAGTCTCGATCCGCCGAGGGTGGCTCTGGGTATATAAGCTTGACGCATGCAAAACCGCCATCCTCATCCATCATGTCTCTTCCGCAGTTGCAAATCAAGCTGCACAGGCCCTCCGACGGCCTCATACGCAAAATTACCTTCGACACCCCACCTTCATGGACGACACTCGCTGCGAAGATCGAGGCGCTGTATCACATTACGCAGGCTGACGTCGCCGTCTCCTATCTGGATGCGGACGGCGATGAGATCACGCTCTCCTCTGAAAGCGAATTGCAGGAATATTACCGCACGCTTCCGCCTGGCGCACCTGGCGAGAGCAAGGTCGCCAAGCTCACTGTGCGCGACCTCGGCGCAGAGAGGAACAAGCCATTGCCTTCGACCCCGCCCACGGGCAGCTCGAACCTGCACGGCGGCTTCAGGAACACGTTTGGCGTGCCGATGATGTTCGACGTCGAGGAGGAAGAGGAATGGCAGCGCGTCCCGCAGGCACTGTCGTCACTCTTTGGCGTCGGCCGTGACGAGTCGGTCGGCAGCGGCCCGCATGCATTCGTCGAGACGATTGATAGCGAAATCGGCGGGTCCCAGGCGCAAGAACAGGACAGAGATGACATCGTCGATGCGATAACCATCCCGGACTCTGAGCTTACGGAAACGACACCTGCACCGACCCAAGACAAAGACAAAGGCAAAGCCCGCGCGAACTCCTCCCAGGAGTCCGTCATCGGATCCCAGACTCCGGACAAATATCCTATCCACGTCGTGGATCTCAATGCCATGGACATCGACGACATCCTCGAGAAAGGCAGAACGTCTCCCATCTCTCGTAGCGAGCCGGTACCCGGTCAGGCACCGAGGGCCAGCACGGCGTCGTCGTCTACAGTCTCCGACTCAGAGGCGCCCGAGCCTCCGCTGCCCGACCTTGAGAACCTCGGGAACCCTATGTCTAGTGCAACCAGCCGTGCCCCGAGTGCCACTGTATCACTTACGAACGATGTCGCGAACCTTTTCAGCACGCTGTCGGCCGTTATCGCATCCCACCCAGAGCTTTCCGAAGGCGTGCGCAACCTCGTGCGAAACGCGGCCAACGGAACGTACTGGCAGGCACACCGCCAGGCAGTGTCCCGCGCTACGGACGACCTTCGGCGTACTGCTGAAGCGAGCTCGGCTGATGCTGTGCGCATTGCGTCAGAGGCGCGCCGTGCGGCTGAGGAGGCCGCTGGGCGGCGCGTCGCAGAGGCCATTGCGAACGTCGTGCGCGCGATAGGTGATGTCGCTGGCACGACCGCGAACCCTTCAGACGCTGCGCCCTCCACGTCCACGGCTCATGGCGCGCAGCGCTCCTTCAGTGAGCGCCGTCCTGCAACCTTCCCATTCCCGCCGGACTTCCAGATGGCAATGGAGTCTCTCAGTGATCTTGCAGACCCGCGTGCCTGGATGTCAGAGCGGGGCGGCCGGCGCGGCCACGGGTTCCGTCACCGCCACGGACGATATAGCATGCACCAGACTGCGTCGGCTCCGGGGTCTGCATACGTCCCTCCGTCTCCACCTTCGCCGCCTTCGCCACCGCCACCGCCTCAGCAGCCTACTCGTCCCAGCTCGCCTCCAGGCCCGGCCGCTCCACCTCCCCCGCCGGTTGCCCACGAAGGTCATGCGGTGCCTCCTCCACCAGGCCCTCCTCCATCTATACCGATGCCGCCTCCACCTCCCGCTCCCGGTATGTTTGGCGGCCCATTGAATATTCCCCTATCCCCTTTCCCTTCTTTGGATGGAATCCCTCCGCCGCCGAATGTCCATGACTTCTATGCTGATGCGAACTCACCCTCTTGGGGTGGCCGTTGGTGGCAGCACCCTCATCCTCCGCCGCCTCCCTTCTACAGCACAGGTCCCCACGCTCATACGTTCCCGCACAGGCGCGGATTCTCGTACGGTCGCGACATGGCCGAGACGTTTATGCCTCCGTATCCTTACCCAGCACGTTCGCGCAATCCTTGGAGAGGAGATGAGCGAGGCGCTGAGCGCGACAGTGACTCTCCCGATGATGTCGAGCATGAGGAGGTCAGCATGTTCGGTGTTGCGCCCGGCCCCACCCGACAGTCAACTGATGAAGCGAAGCGGGCTCTCCTTGAGGCGAAGCAGAGATACAAGGCGGAGAAGGCAAGGTACCGCCGCGAGAGGGAGGAGCGTCATAGATCGAAGGAGCATGCCAAGAAGATATCTCGTGAGAGGTACGGGCCTTACGTGCAATCTCGTCGAAGCATGTTCGCTCATCGCGTCCATCTATCCAGCGCGGAGGCTTCTAAGAAACAGACGGATAAGGACAAGGGCAAAGGCAAGGCGCCCGCCCAGACTGAAGCTGTCCCCGAACCCCCTGCTCAGATCATCAGCGCCGCGCGAGGGCCGTACCCACAGCTCGAAATGCTCAGCGTCTCCCCTCCCCGTCGACACCACACCATGCACGGCACCGGGACCGGGACCCATCGTGCCCAGGAGGCCAGCAAGTCGAAGGAAAACCCTGCAGTGAGCTCCATCACCAGGAGGCTTGGTGATGTCCGTTGTCCGCTTCTTCATGTCAGTGATCTGTTTCTCATGCCAACCACAAATGTAGATGGGCTTCACCGAGGACAAGTTTCCGAGCATCTACGCGCAGGTCTTGGCGCGCGTCCCCAGTCAGGGCGAGCTGTCCCGCGAGGCGGAGGATTCGGTCGTGAGCGACGTGCTTGAGGATCTGCTCTTGATGTCGCCGGTCCAGTCTCCGCAGCCGTCTGGCTCGGGTGCTCATGCGAATCAGGCGGAGGACGGTATTCCTGGTGCTTTCCCTTGAGCGTGACCGGCGATATATGGCTATTTTTCTTTCAATCTAGTGTCATCACTATGCTGTATGAATATGCTGCGAAGGTGGGCTCGATATTCGTGTAAGCTTGTGTATTATTTTCATCGAGCAGACCTGCCTATACGTTATCATATGAAACATGATTCGTTGATTTTTCTGATCTTGGTAGATAATTGTAGTTATAGGCTTGATATATAGCATTGCTGTCAGAAGTGTGATCATGTAGTCAATTTGTCGGTGGATTGGAATGCGTGAACTTCATATGATTCTGAGCTACGACCCTCAGTTAGATTGACTCGAAAGTTTGTTCCTTGAACGTTTTCATGCATGACAGGCGCAGTCACTGTCTGAACCGCGTAGCTACTCAGCCAACGACCTCACCCGACAGTCACTGTAGATAGCGCGCACTGTTGCGAAATTTACGCTCAAATTCAAGGTGGTCATCCATCGCACATTAGAGGTAATAGTAGCATGTACTGACAATGACATGGACCGTGACCTTCTGCCAGGGTGGGGGGTGGCCACAACACGGCTCCGGCCCCGGTTGGAAATAGGCACGCGGTCGCGTGATCAGAGACACCCACGTGGAGCCGCGTTGTTTGGCCCTGTAGACGCGACGTGGCATGAACACTGTTCATTCGCAAAGCGCAGGCTCTCGACCGTCATAACCTCCATCAAGCTTCAAGATGTTGACTGGATTGTCACCGGCTCTCGATTTATCTTCCTTTTCCAACAATATTCCCGACAAAAACGTTACGACCCAGCCGAAGGGCGAAATTCCCTTCGCACGAAGACGCTTACAACATGACCAGACCATCGCCCTTTTGGCGGTATTCGAAGAGAAGACACACCCAACTAAGGAGGAACGCACTGCACTTGCAGAGGAGCTTGGTATGTAAGTGAGCTGACAGTCACGAACACATCGCACATTATATTGACATTCCCTCCATGACAGCGAGTTGAAGACAGTCAGCGCCTGGTTCCAAAATAGACGTCGTACTATCAAGAAACGAGCTGCCGCATGGAAACGCTGTATGCAAGAGAATCTCCCAGATAGCAAAGGAAACATGTCACGCCAAGGGTCCAGGCTGTCTTTGGACTGTATCGTTTCCTCTCGAGAACGGCCCACTGCTCCGGATATCCCGTCTCTACCACAACCTCCTCTTACGCCGCACAGAATTAATTTGCGGATGATGAGAAGACCGATAACACCACTCAAACAGCCGAAGAAGCTGTGGGAGTACATCCCCTCTTCCCCTCCTGCTCCCCCATCATCCCCCACTGCAGACAGCCAGCGGCTAGCAGCTCTTCCAAAGAGTTCGAGGACACTAAGGTCCCTCGAATGGGCATGTGCGAAGGCGAGGGCTGAGAAAAAGGTGGAAGGAGATGCCGATGAAGATTTGGATGTGCCGCAGTTAGTCCTTGATGGCGAAACCAGAGGTGGTCAGCACGACGGCAATGATACGGAGGTGGAGGATCACGAGGCAATAACACCGGATAACAGCATCTGTGAGATGGTGACATACCAGTCTCCCTTTGGAGCTCTGGGTGAAGGGACGGATGAGAAAGCACCCTCGGTTGACATGGAGGCGGCGATGGCACTGCTCGGATTCATGGGAAAGCGCAGTGTCGAACAGAGCGGACAGACACTATGGGGTATGTGAGTATTCGAGGAACTTGCATGTCAATACTAGGAGTATGTCCAGGTTTGTGAGTATGCAACTATGGCAATATGAAGTCTTTCAAGAACTACCACATATTTCAACGGTTCAGCGGTCCCGCCTTGTGAACTTGTCGTAAGGATCGAACCACCACAACATTTCCGCACAAGCTTTTGGATACTCCATCCCTGGTTCTATTTTTACGTCAGCGACGCGTCTGTGCAGAAAGTACGTGGCCACGCGTCGCTGGACCATTGACATGATCGACGCGTCGACACAGGTCACGGGAACGCGATGCGTCGGTGGCGGCTGGCAGGCGGAGGCTGGCTTGACAAGAACATATAAGTGTCGATGATGGCTAGGACAATTCCGTGCTCTTGCATTCTGTTGCTATTTATATCTATGCAACATGCAGAAGACAAGTCGTTCAGCATCCAAGAAAGTGACGGCGCGTGGCGACAGTAGGCTTGAGACTATTGCTCGGCCCCCTTCGGACACGCACCAAGTACAGGAGATACTCGGCGATCCACAGCCGGGACGGGACGTCGCAATGGTTGTCAAGAAGAAGAAGCCTCGACACCGCATGACCGACCTACAGCTCGAGCAACTGGAAGCATTGTTCAGAGAGAGCTCGCATCCTAGCAAGGAGGCGAAGCAGAAGCTCGCAGATGAGGCCCACATGTAAGTCATTGAAATTTCAGAGCATCGTATTCTAGTTTATTACAACGCTGAATATGTACAACATAAGGACCTTGAAGACTGTTACGATATGGTTCCAGAACAGACGTCAGACGACAAGGAGACGGAGCGCAAGAGCCGCCGCCCACGATCCAGTTCCGGCTCTAGGGGACAGTACGGCCAACGAGAACGAGAACGAGGAAAATCGTCCTCCACTTGCCGCCATCTTCCAGGATCTCACGAACATGGCACATCAGGATACCCACCTGCACGATTACCAACGCCTCTTGTCAAGCATCGAACCTGCCTGCAACGCCGATGCCTTCAACTCGCTGCCTGGTCCCGGGTTCAGTGCCATGGCTCCGCTTTCCCGCCCCGCAGTGCCTCCTCACGACCTTTGGAAGTATCTCCAGTCTTCTCCTTCCAGTCCAGCCAGGGCATGCTCTCCAGGAACTCCGAGCCCTCCGAGCAAGATGCAGTGGAAGGACGGCGATGTCTTTGGTTCCTTCGGTAGAAATGCGGTTGGCAGCCCTGAAAAGCACAAATGGAGCCTGGATTGGGCCTGCACGCGGATGGAGGAACGGAGAAGGGTGAAGGATGCTTTTCATTCCGACATTTCAGAGAAGCAGCTCGAAGAGGACCGGATAGGCTCTCCACTGCCTGGATACCGTTCAGTCGGACACACAGCCATGGAGCAAGTTCAGGCCGTTCAGGTTCTACAGGGTTCTTGTGCGAGAAACTTGGCAGGCAATGTCCAGATGAACATACCCACGCAGTTTTTCGACGTTTACCCTCCTGATATTGTACTTGGCGCCTCTCTTCTGCTCGATTTCAAGTATTCTTCAGAGCCTGCTTAACTTCTCTCTCGCGCTGATTTGGATCCTGACATATCGCCCATCGTGGTCACTATCGGGATCTTCTCTTCATGTAACGGAGATAATATGCAAACTGATATATATCGAGTATGGGCCACACACTCAGCAAGCTTGACGTTGATACGTGAATGATACATAACTCACGCGCCACACTGTCATCCTTGCACCGAATGCATAAAGAGAGAATAATGCTACCGGTACCGAAGCGTACGTATGACTAGAAGGTATGCATGCAGTGAGATTGGGGAATGGGCGGTTAACAATGCAGATATGAGGAGATCGTACGACTGCGTGAGATATCTAAGTAACAATCCGCTAACCTAGCGACTTTTTCCGCTTTTTACCAGTTATTACTGGGGATGTCTCCACAAGCGATGCATCGGCAGGATCAGGCGCTGGAGCCTGTGATTTTTTGGTGGTATCATTCACTTGTATGTGGGCAGGAGTGACTGCAGGAATCGCATGGGATGCATGGGATGTGCCGTTGGTGTGTGGCTTGCTAATGCCATCCGTTTTGTGCACACCATTAGTCCTGGGTTGCGTCTGCTGTGAAGGTATTGGAGCTGAAAAGACATGTCAAACAATGCAGTTTTGGAGTGCGATGAATTAGGCGTACCTTGGACGGCGTAGTGCTTGAAGAGTTCCACGAACGTGTCCATCTCCTTTTGGTCTACTTCCCGATCGATACGGGTGTCGACAGTAATGAGATTACTGGTAGCGTTTTCAACTACATCCATCTCAGCATCCTCGTCCTCGTCGTCACGCTCATGTTCCTCAGACTCGCTGGAAATAGCATTCGCTGGCCTGGCGGTCAGGAAGCTATCTAACAACGAATCGAATATTGAACCGAGTGGTGGCATGAGATGTGCAGGCGCATCGAAGACCTCAGCAATCTCCTTCCCTCTCCATGGCTGCAGATATAAAGCACTTGCAGCAGATGTTGCGTTCTCTGCATTGAGGTTTACGAAGGCAGACTTGCCAAATATATCCTGGAAAAGAGTTCTCTTGCCTGCGCTTGGATCCTCATCAATCGCGCGGGCAGTAGAGCCCTGTTCTTCGGGAAGACGGACGTCGTCACCAAACAGGACCACATGCCAGGAGTCGGTCACGCCTACTAGAGTGAAAGATGACATGGTCGACGGACCACTGAGAGATGGGAACATTATGGCAGCCCGAAGACGGAACGGCAATGTACGCGAGACAGATGGATATGGCCACGCCGGTCGGAAGAGGAGGACTTTTGTAGATGGTGGTTCGGTGCTAATGGAAGGTAGCTGTTCGAAGACGGCAAACGACTCATTCGTTGTGTGAGCAACCAGACGTTCGATGATGGAGGGGCTACGATAATGCCAGCACGCTGTGGCACGGTATGTCAGCAAGGAACGTATTTGCAGATGCATACAACTCACATGTGGACAATACCACATCCCAGAGCATCAAGTCCCGAGGGCCGACAGCCGCAATGTAACGACCATTAGGGCCGATGAAATGTGCTGACGAGATTTGGCCGCATTCCGTACACGTCACGACCTGCTCCAGGGAATTTGTCACTTCGTCATATAAGCATATATGAGTCCCCATCGCGACGGCAAAGAGCGAGCCATCCGGTGACCATGAGACATGTCTTGGTATCTCTGAGCGGAAGCGAAGTGTCGATCTGGCCACCCAAAACTCTACAGTGTATCACATGAGCGCGATTCCATGCCGGTGGACGCTGAAGGCCGTACCTTCGATTGCGCCGGATTTGGACTTCGCAGACCGTATTCTCCATGTCTTCACATTCCCGTCTTCACCAGTCGTCACTAGCAATAACGAATCTGCGCTTCTGGCCCCTGGACGGAATGCCACCGCCGTTACCTTATCGGCGCCATGAGGTCTATGGATCCTTGTGTTCAAGAGCCACGATTGCGACTTCGGATCCCACGACCATACCTTCAAGTGCATCTCGGCATGAAAGGCATCACCACGTTCTCGGCGATCCACCGTCACCATCCACTCTCCCGAATCAGATATTGCAGCCTGTTCCACTCGTGGGGGCTCCAACGGCTTCTCGTCTGTCCGCGATACTCGGTTTGAAGGCGAAACCTCGATCTCAGACAGCAGCTTCGACGACGACGGTGAGAATATTTGGAGAACTGACGGGTGAGACGAAGGTAGCAATAGACTTGATGTCGGGTGATGTAGTGCAAGAGGGACGGGATCATGTATAGATGGCCGTGCATGGCCAGTGGCAGGATCTATAACAGTGTCAGAAGAGCTGTCGAAGGAGAGATGACCACCAGGCACAGACCTAATTTGATCCGCGCTATTGACCGCGATATCCGGAGGTTGGAAGAACGAACGAAGACGAATGATGCATCAGCGAGGCTAAGTAGGTACTCTTCCTCCCTATCCCCCGACTTGGACGATGTAACGTGGACAATAGGTGCACCAACCCTTGGCACAATCTCCTTCTGGCCCGAATGCAACACCCATATGACCAATGCGGCCTCCTCACCTCCACTCAGGAGATATGCGCCATTGGGGGTGAAGGCAATGGAAGAGACGGCATGCGCGTGCCAGTGCATCATGGTCGTCTGAGGTGTCCTCTTTACGCCAGTGGCCTTGACCATAGCACCTGCGTTGAGGCAATACCACAGACGAACGCAGCCTATAGCGTCGCCCGTGGCAAAGTATTCCTCAGAGGGATGAAATGTGAAGCATGTCAAATGCTCTGGCGAGACGAACTTGGTGAATCCACCCTTGAGATTTGACGTCGCGCAGACGTAGACTGTATGTCCACCAGTCGCTACAAGCCATGCACCGCTGTGCGACAGAGCTAAGCCCGTCGCCTGGCGGCGCATGACTCCCACTTGCAATATTTTAGAAGAAGTCTGCACTGATAAGCCAGCAGTCTCATCCGTCGGTTGCAGAGAAACGCGGAGGACCTCGGAATAGTGCTCCTCTGTTTCGCGTCCACCTGAAGGGAATACGAGATGGTTAATAGAGCAATCTTTTGGGGGGGGGGAGGGTCTGTGCAACAGACATACCTTTCGTCTTCTTTATGCCCTGCCGCTCAACGGCCACAAAGACATGCTCCTTGAAATTCTGATGCGCCGCGACATACAAGATAGGACGCTTGACATTGATGGTCTGCAAAAGAACAGCATCCAAGAAATCCCATATCCGCAGACATCCGTCGTGAGAGCCCGTAAGCAGTTGGAAGGGATTGTGCGGATTGATGATCGCAGCAGTCACCGCATGAGAAGCTGAGGAGCTACCCATTGCAGCAGATTCGCCGATATAGGAGGCATCGAGCGTGGATACTACCTGGCTGGTAGCGACAGAGAATATCTTGACGGAGGAGCCACAAACGGCGAAGAAATAACTGCTGAGGCTTTAGACAGTGACCCCGAGAAATGGTCAGACAACGTACCTTCCATCCTCAGTGAAGACTGGTGGTATTTTACTCGCGGAAGATTCTGTCAGGGATTTCCATGACCAAGGTTCTGCTTCAACGGTATCTGGAAGTTCTGCAACCTGTTCTGCTCCCTTGGCTTTCCACTTGCGCTTGCGAGTTTTGCCCGGAGTTGGAGAACTGTTGGTGAGCGCATCGTCCCTTACGATGTCTGCAAGATCTATTTTGGCCTTGGACACCGGCGCAGGGCGCACTGCGTCCACAGGAACGGGCATGGTGGTGGAGGGAAGGAGCGGTGAGCGAGAAAAAAAAGCCACGTGCCCGAAATGGCAATAGTAGTGGCGTCCATTTAGCGTGTCTTCGATTGTTCACAGCGGGAGCACTTAACGTTGTATATTGTACCTACGCTACTTTCGAAACAGGTAAAGATACAACATGTAAGATGAGAGGGCATATCCAAGCACCAGACTGCATCCATCGCGCCGAAAGAATGCGAGTAAAGGTGTAATGTAACTGCCGTTTACTCGCGATCCAAGTATCAGCAAACAACGGGATGCACGGACAACAAATGAAGACAAAGATAAGTAGCAATACAGAGAAGATATCACCAAATCTGCGGAACAGGGGGCAGATAGTCCGTTGGTAAGAGGAAAGCGTCCATCCCATTTTGCATGACGGACCCCCCGCCAAGGGTCTGGTCCGAGAGCCATACGGGCAATTGCTCGTTCGCGGTGCTATCAAAGCCGCGCCAGATCTGATCTATGTTCGTGGTATATTGCGCCATGGGCTGGGAGAAGCTCATCGGCATATGGTTCACCGCGTCCTGAGGGAATGATGCATCGTAGCTTGGCGATACTGGCTGTTGACTGATCTGATGATTCACTGGATCAGCAACGTAACTGGCGTTGCTCATAGAGCGTTGTCGGGCTGTCCGCGGTGAACGAGAAATAGAAGCCGATCGTTTTCGAAAACGCTTCAACATTAGTTGAAGAGTCAGCGCGTATCGTTTTCCAGGAACTGAACGGTCGCTATGAGAGGATATCCCATGCATTATCACAACCAACATACCTTCTGCCAGAAGAGCGGCCAAATTCTCTACCATGATCCGCACCTCTTCCATGTTACACTGGTCAGGGCTTCGATTCCATGAGAACATTGTATGAGCATGATCATGAAAGACTGACGTACAACAGACGTGCTAGTCGCAGCAAGAACGAAGCGCAGAACGTGGCCGTTGCATGCGTATAATGGACAGCTAGAACGAAAACTGAGTAGCAGCACTTTCAACGCGACGAATACACATACCGTACTTCATCCCCTCTCTATATGCTGGCGAGTTCACCGTGATGTCGAGGATCTGTCGCCCAATCTGTATCGATCTAATGGCCAGTTCGCGTTGAGCCGCGGGCATTCTCTGCACATTATCCGGACCGTCGACACCTCTCAATGCTGTCGCATTATGATACAACTCGGCATGTAGGTGCTGTATCTGCAGACTTTGCCGATAGAACGCTTCATCATAGATGAGTCCAAGTCGATGCCGCATCACATGAAGGACTCGACTCACCAGCATCTTCGTATTTCTGCGAAAAAGCCTGATCCCACGTCGCGTACCAGTTGCGGAACTCCATGTCCGCTTCACGGAGGACGTTGAATGTGATGTCATCGACAGGCTTGTCAAAGAGGGGGGACAGGTTGTTATTGACCCTCTCCCGGATAGCCATCAGCTCGACGGTCGACACGAGTCGCATGTCATCCTCGATAGCAAGAGGGTGTTGCAACAACAGCCTGCATTGCCAAATGCTCTCATCGTCCTTCAAAATGGAAGGCCGGCCCGTGCCGTATGACATTCTACATCACGACTCAGCGTCCACTTATCTAAGCACGAAAGGGTTGACGCACTGGTGCTCAAAAAGATATAGACAGAACCATGTCCGCGCACCGATCACCAACTCTCGATCTTTACTTGAGGTGGAAGCCTTGTTCGCTTTCATCCGCTTCAGCAACTCCGGCCAGGCTTTGTGCATCGCTGAAGTAATCGATGGCATCAGTAATGCGGCAACACTGTCAGAAAACCGACACTCACACAACTCCATGGCCATCCGTACAGCATGACCTCCACTTAACCAGCCGTTATCAGACCATCCCGACACAAGAACTAGGACGTGCAGTCAGACCCCCACTGAACTCTGCGGATAACACAGCAAAGCACTCACTCATTGCTTGCACAGCTTCCTGCCGCGTAACAGGCGAAAACAAGGTAGCACAGGAGATGGTCTGCACCTCCTCTTGACACTTCAAAAATGCTTCGCTTGGTTTTCCTACATGTCGTCAAAACCGGACGCAAGAGATGCGAGAGATGCATTCGTACCTCCTCCGTCCCTAACTTGGGCAGCAACCATACATATACAGTCGACAGCGAAGGGGGATCGTTCGTGGAGGGCATCATAGGTATCCACGTTTGCGTCGAATATGGGTAAGAACGTTGAGCAGCCGTGATAGAATCTATACGCATTTCTGTAAGGAAACGCATGGCCAATAAATCGAAGTGCTTACATTCGAAAAAGCTCGCGTGCTTCAGACTCGGCCAAAAATGTTTTAGTGACGACTGGAAACCCAGTGAGTTGTGCTCACAACACGTTGAAGTACCGGACATACCATCCGGGAACGTCATGAACCGTGCTTGCTTGTGGCTCATCTTTCTCCGCTTCACCGGCCGAGGCTGACGAGGATCTGGAGAAACCGTCCTTGCACGACTGGGAGGTCCACTCGCTTCACCATTTTCCTGTGGAAGCGATCGGATCAGGCCACACGCGAAACACGTCAAAGAGCAACGTAATCGAATACCTTGGCCGCCCGCTCAATAGCAACGTCAGCCAACCCTCGCAGAACCTCCCACGGCGCTACAAGACCGGACGCAGGCAGCTCACCATCCTCCTCCTCGACGTCAGATGAGTTTGCGCTAGTGGCATTGGAAACCGGCGGGGCGGCTCTCTTGGGCCCCAATGAACTGTCCTGGCCGTTTGGCTGCCTCGGGTATTGACGAGAAGACTGGGGATTCTCAACTGGGTTGAACCGCATGGAGGACACGTTTGTTGGCTGAGTTCTCGGCGGACCCATCGAATCAATAGCTGAGAACGGTGGCAATGTCGTAGAGGGCGATGGACCTCCGCGGCTTCCAGAAGCGCTGCCTGGAGGAAGGGGGGGATACATCATGTTTGCCGTCGGAACATGTGTTGTAGGGATATCCGTCGGACCCGCTGCATGGTGCCCTGTCGCGCTTAAAGAAGGGCTTCTGTATGCGCCAACGAGTTGGTCCCGATGCTGGCGAGTGGCATGCATAGCGGCGGCAGACATTGGCCCGTGAGGCTGCGGCATCGTACCATTCGGGGTGGAAGATTGCCCGCCATGGCTAGTGTCCACCATGAGGTGAGGCGGGTGGGCCATGGTAGCGGAGGGTGTAGACGCGGCCGGAGAGCCAAGGGAGAGAGCGCTTGGAGAGTGATTCGCGAAGGCAGGAAAAGCAGACGGCGACCGAGAATGCAACGGTCCTCCTCCGCGAAGGTGACCGACGATCTCTAGCAAGGTATTTTGAATAGCTGTCTGCGTCTGACGGATATCTGCAACGTGCGCCTCGAGGCTGCGAATGCGTCTGGCAGATGCGCGTGTTGATAAGGAATACTGAATGGAACCACGAGCTACTTACTCTAATCCAGCTTCGCCGGTGAGGCTGGCCTCCCTCGTAGGTTTTTCAAACAGACATTCCAAACCGGCGTGTCTGCATCGTCGACATGGAGGATTTTCCGCCCCCTCGCACCTCATCTTCTGCTTGCGACACGCGTTCTGGGAGAAAGCAATGTGAGGGAGTAGCACGAACGCTCAACACTGTTGGTGACGTACGCATGCTCCTGCATGGGCGGAACGGATTCGAATAAGCTACGGCGCGCGATAGCAATGTAGAATACGCACGGGGAACTCGATTGAGAGTCCTGACTGAGGGCTTGGAATCGGCCTTGCCAATGCCCTTAGAGTCGATCCCCTCGGTGTCATCTTGCTTCTTGATGGACCCACTGGCGGCGTTGTTGCTGGGATCCATGTCCGCGGTCGGGAACAGTCGAGCAGGAGAAGACAGTCGGATGCCGCCCAGGAGGACGCGGGGGGCAGCGAGAGGATTGAGAGCAAGAGCGGCAGAAGTGATTGGATGAGAACGGGGGAAGTGATCATTCCGCCCTTCTGCAGCGGGCAAAACATGTACAAGCGAACACATTTGGATGCGGGACGCCAGTCTCGTTGCGTGATTCTTCCACGTTCCTCTCACTTGACCTCCGCACTCATCTCTCTGGCGCCCTCCTAGCCCCTTCGGTCCCTCCGCGGATGCGCTCGGGTGGCTCTGGAAGATGGTCATTTCCGCATCCAGTTCATTATTACCAGCTCAACCATTTCACTGTGCCTGGTAACACTTTGCGTGCGGAACAATTCATGCCGTAAGACAATCATTAGCAACGGATCGGACTGGGGCAGGGTGAAATATACCGAGCGCAATTGGGGCTTGTCGAATTCTCATTCAAGCTCTAACGACACGCGCTCGCGACATGAGTCTGCGTCGCTTCAGACATTCATCGTTCTGGAAGTTGTTTCACGGAGGCTGTTTCAAACTATTCACACAACTTGGACTTGACAATCACCTACGTGCCACCGTGCCGAACACTCGCCAACTAGCACGTCTCGCGAATCTCCCGCACTGCTACCGCTCTTGTCGCTGCTTGCTCAATGAACTTATGAAGATTGCAATATCGACCATTTAGATACAGATATCGCATGGCGCAATGTCTTCCCATCAGTGGAAACCGATCAAGTTTGATGTGGCACTATCTTCCTGATGCGCAAACCGGCTGTGCACGTACTCGCATCCCTTCTTTTCTCTACCACGTAGCAGGCTTGCAAGTTTCACGCTCGATATCCTCTAGTTGTCTCTGTCGATACCTGCACAGCGGTGACATGTTCACCATGATATCTAACCTGACATGGTGAGAAAAGCCTGTGGGACGATGTCCTTCGCAACTCAGTGACTGTATCGCAGCGCCTGGTTTGCTTTCATGCTGCCCTGCTACAGCACCTGGAAGTCGCTGTCCCACAGGCCAGTTTCTGAGCCGGAGCTCGAACGATGGATGATGTATTGGTCAGTCATGGGGGCCTTCGTCGCGTTCGAGTACGTCGTGGAATGGCTCGTAGATTGGTCAGTGCAATCCATCACTCTGCCAGCGCTCGCTCTTATCGTGCGATGTCCAGGCTCCCCTTCTACTATGAAGCCAAGACCGTCTTCTTGCTATTCTTGTCACTCCCCCAGACGCAGGTATGTGCAACAGACACAATGCGTTACGGTAAGAGCTAAATATGACACAGGGCTCCACCTGGGTTTACACCGCCTTCATGCATCCCTTCTTCACCGTGAAGGAAGCGGACATCGATGCAGGAATAGATGCTGCCCAATCCAACCTTCTCACCTATTCTCAAGAACGTCTGACCGCCCTCGTGCAGTATGGTTTGAAGCTTGCTGGACAGGCTCGGGCGGAGAAGGAGCAGAGCGGGGTTGCTTCCTCGAGCGCACTAGACATGGCGAAGGGCCTTCTGAGCGCATTTAATCCTTCTGTCATCCAAACCGCAGTTGCGACAGTGGACCAGCGCCCTGCCCCATCCCACGCTTCATCCACCACTTCGGTCAATTCAATGGAATCGACGACTTCTTCTGACTCTTCATCCACTTCTGATTCCCTGTAATAGAAAACGCGTGGAACCCGCCCTGTTCTTCTTAAGTAGAAGTAGTGTGTATGCATGGTATTGACAAAATGAATATCTCTGCTTCCCAATAACGTAACCAAGATATCTGATTACGCTCAGCAGAATGAACAACCTAGCTCACTCACTTGTAAAAGCCTGGTATTCATCGTCTCCAACGCGCGTCTTTCTTCGTCAAATAAATGCAACTAAGAACGCGAACCTTGCTACGTAACCACGGCAAAATCTCTGCGTCCACAGCGGGACATCCATCGATGATCAGAGTATCGATAGCCAAAGCCTTCCATGATTGGCTTGCAGACTCTGTCTCGCCGACTGAAGTCACATTCAAGCGCATCTTCACCAAGCGCACCAGCGGCCCGCCCTTGACGTCCGGGCAGTAGGAGAAGTCCACGTGCCGCAACGAAGGGCATAGGACGCGGGACGTACTGTCCGCCTCACCTGTGCCGTCCCCGCTTGTCTCTACTCGCTCAAGTGCTTGCAGGATGTGATTCGCCTGGTTTCCTCCCATTTGCTGCAGTTGGAGAACTTCGAGAGCATCCGTGGTGCGAAGCAGCTGGACGAGGGTATGCGCATTAAGAACACACTGCTGGATTCTCAGCTCAGTCAGAGAAGCCGCGGCACCACAGGTGAAGAGGTGACACATTGTCCTATCGAGAGAACATGTACCCCGCAAGACGCGGAATGAACGCAATGCCGGAAATGAAAGGATGGGGATGATATGGCTCATAGCGAAGTCGTGGTATTCGATATCGAGTTGGGTGAGGCGTGGCAGGTCGACTGGCTCGTCGTCTTCTTCGGAAGGCCGTTGGAAGGGAAAGTCCATCATGCTAAGAGAAAGTCTTTGGAGGTTGGAATTCTCGCGCAGGAGAGTGAGCACGTCGGATATCGGCGTGTCTACCAAGGGGCCCCTGAACGTGAAGTCCTTGAGCCGCTTGAAATGCCGCGCAACGGTAGCCCATTGGAAGACGGTGGAGTGCACGGAGAGTGTCCGTACTTGCATCTCCGGCTCGCTCCACAACCATGCGGCGGGACGCGCTTCCGTGCATTTCTCTATCTCCATCACTTCCAGTCTTCGCAAGACATCTTCTGTTAGTAAGGGCAGTCGTGCACGCACTTCGCTCAGGGGGAAGGATACCACCCTGAATCTGCGTAGGGAGACAAGAGGCATGTCTTGGAGCAGGTCGAGGGCCCAAGGTGTCTGCGCCAGACTAGCTTTGAGATGGAGCTCGACGAGCCTGCCTTTCGAACGAGTCTTCCAAACCTTCGCCTTCTTGACGGGATTCTTGTTAAGAAGGACCAGTGTATTCCATAGTGCGGGGGCGGCGAGGATAGTAGCACGCCAGCTCTTACAGACCTGTGCGAGTACCACCACTCTGGCATGATCGTCCGATAGTGCCAGAGCGAATATGGCCATGGCTATTTCCGCGGGTAGTTTGCCAAAGTGGCAGAACATGCTCGACGCGTGCTTCCGCAATTGGTCGATGCTTTGGGTGATCTGCTCACGGAGAGCATCTAGTTCGCTCTTCCGTTTGGAATCGTCGGGTGCGACGCGTTCAAGTGCAAGATTTGCCATCTGTAATGCATGGTCGTACTTGGTGATCTTGTAGAATAGACGTGCAGACCTAGCATACCCCTTCATGCACGGTCATATGTATCAGCACGCAATGTCATAAAGGACGAGAGGCGTACCTGCCATCGCTGAGGAGCAAGGTCAATAACTTTCTTCGAGTCCCGCAAGGCATCCTTCGTCTTCCCCTGCCTCTCATATATCGCAGCACGCGAGTCGTACAAAGTATACTCATTCGGTTCCAGAATGATGGCCTGGATACGTGAGGTTGGCGCACGGAGTCAAAACGGTCGGAACTGGGCTGTACATGCCTTATAGAACAGATCTAGCGCGTCGTCTAGCTTGCCTTCACGGAAGCAGCTGATACCGCGCTGGAATGGTTGCTTCCAGCCCGACATGTTCCAAGGTCAACAAGACGAAGGTCTGAGGCTCGAGTGTAGTGTGAGGCTCGAGTGACGCGGGTTCCAGACTGGGCCACCGTGACTGTCGCCCGAGTCCGAAGGCCGAAACGCGGCGTGACGGACGTGACGGAACGCGACTCGGCCACAGGCGCCCGCACAGTAAGCCTTCAAGCTTCAGGCCTCTACTGCCATGGTATCTGATGGCTACGGAATGCTGAAAGTGATCCTGGCTTGCACGGGCGTCGCCTGGTACACGTTTATATTTTCCTTGTGCCTGCTGGGATGCGTCGCCGCGTAAGGTCACGCTCAATCACTTCATTCATGCCTTGCTCATCCTTTTCTTTACAGCCGCAAGCGGTACAGAAATCGCCCGCTTTCGGCCCTTTCAACAACTGAAACCTCTTCTGTTCCTGGAGTGTCCATACTGCGACCTTTGAAAGGCCTTGATACAAACCTCTACGAGAACTTGGAGTCCACATTCACGCAGGAGTACCCAAATTTTGAAATCTTCCTGTGTCTGGAGGATGAGCAGGACCAGGCATTCTCGGTAGTGCGGGACTTGATCGAGAAGTATCCGAACGTGAATGCGCACATCATCATAGGCACGTTATTGCTTTATGCTAAATTCTCAGCCTGAAACGCGAGCTGGCATATGAACAGGGGAGGAGGTTGTGGGAGTCAACCCAAAAATCAACAACCTCGTCCGCGCGTACCGTGAGGCTGCAAACGATATACTATGGGTTCTCGACTCCAACGTTATGGTTGCGCCAGGCACCTTGACGCGATCCGTCGAGGCCCTTGACGGTCCCGCTGACTTCGCGACTCCCTCTTCTCGTCGCCGCATTGCGCTCGTGCATCACGTCCCCTTCGCCTGGTCAAGCGAATTCTCGCTTGGTTCTCGCATCGAGGAAGCATTCCTCAATACTAATCATGCGAAGATGTACATTGCCATCAACACGGTGGCGATTGACTCTTGTGTGATGGGAAAATCAAATCTATACCGCCGCTCCGATATCGACCGGGTGGACGGCTCTCTCAAACCGATCGCGAACGCAGCGGAAGGTGGCAGCCACGGCAGCCGGGGAGGCACGAGAGGACTAGCAGCATTCGGGCGCTTCCTAGCGGAAGACAACATGATTGGTGGTGCTCTCTGGCATGAGCTCGGCGTGCGCCACGATCTCTCATGCGATGTCGCTCGAAATGCTGTAGGAAACATGACCGTAGCCGACTACTTCTGGCGACGCGTGAGATGGGTGCGCGTGCGCAAGCATATGGTCCTCGCTGCGACGCTTATCGAACCATTCACGGAGTCTGTCGTGGTCGGAATCTTGACTTCTATCTGCTTGCGATACTTGTTCGGAATACCCATTTGGTTGTTCCTGCCGATTCACTTCCTGCTGTGGCTCACTATTGATTTGGACGTATGCGCTTCGATTGCGAACCACGCCGTACCCGCTGCAAACCGCTGGCTGTTTATTGGAGCTTGGGCTGCCAGGGAGCTTTTGGCCTTTCCCATTTGGTTGTATGCGATTGTGGGGGACGAAGTGACTTGGAGGGGGAAAAGATACCAGGTGCTTCGAAACGGTGAGGTGCGGAGATTGGGACAAGGGGAGGGTGGATTTTGGACACATTTCATGTGGAAGCGTGGAAATGCTACAAGTAGTTACGAGCCATTGGGACTTAACGAATGAACCTGGAGAGGGACTGTATGTGCTGGATTCACTGCAATCTATTTATTTAATATGTCCGTGGGCGTCAAAGCGTTCGGTCGCCAAGGATTAGACGCTGAACCCTGATCAAGTACCTGTGCAATACCATCTCCTTCTCGCTACGGTGGCCACCTCGCTGTTGAGTTGCTGAGATCCTACTTGCGTCACCATTCTGGTATATGGCAGACTATGAGTCCGAACGACAGCGGATCATTTCGTCTGTGTTCACGAAGCTGAATGCCACAGGTCATGATGAACAGTACGTTGCGCATGTCAAGATCTGGGAGGAAGCTTCGCAAGAAGAAGGTGGCAGGAAGCCGAGATACATCTTGCTTTCCAGTATGTGTGACTTTCGGATCCACTATTCCAGGAACGAGCTATGAACCCGGCATGTAGTGGCCAACAATGGATCTGGATTCATACATAAGTCCAAGTTGAATTCCAATGGCCTGTTCTCCGTGGGGAAGACATGGAAGATTACTGAGCTTCGTGGTATTGAAGTTACCAGTGTAGGTGTCCTCATATGTAGGCTGAGACAATACGACTGAACCTGTACGTAGCCGACGTCTTTCAATGTTACGATGGCCAGAACCTACCGCTGGCAGACAGAGGATCCAAGGAATCAGACGAGCTTCGTTGCGTCACTCATCCAGCTTTTCCACACTGTCACGTCAGGATCTGCACCTCTGCAACTAAAGGGAGTGAGGGTCCCTGATGCTCCTTCATGTATGTGTTATGCACCGATACGTGACGCGATAAATTCATTGACACGGTGTTCCTCAGCATCTCGACCCCCTGCTTTGGACTTTACGACAACCACTGGCAGGAGAATGGACCGAGCGCCCACACCTACCAACGGTGCACCTCTACCGCCAGCATCACCGAGACGGCCGGTAATGAAGGAACCCCATGAAACGCATCAACACAAGCATAGCGAACAGTTTGACGAGTTCCCCCTACCCAAGCCTCATGCGCTCGGCTCGACAAGGCAGAGGGCAGGAACATTAACTCGCACCGACTCTTCTGATACTACGGCCTCCCGCACTGCTACTGTCGCGCCGGACCGCTCTGGGACGCCATCCCGCGGTCGACCAAGCACGCCTTCTTCTCAACCCGCTATACCACTCGCGTTACGGCCCGGGCATACTCGTCGAGTCTCCAACGTTTCCCAAATTAACGGTACCTCTTCCACGGTGATCTCTCCAACCACTTCCACGCCACCGCGAGTCGTGCTACAGACCCCGCCGACAAATGCTTCCCAACCACTACCGCGGGTTACCCCACAGCCCCCGCCTGTCAGCATAACCACCCGTCTAAACGGCGCAGGCGCAAACCTCGAGGTGCCGTCCACATCGCCGATCAACCGCCATTCACCACTGTCTACATACTCCTCCGTCCCGGAACCTGTTCAGCTGCTTGTGCCAACTCCACGGCAGCCCTTATCTGCACGGAGATCGCCCTCAAGGGCACCCACCATGGAACCTGGTGAATCGGGCCAGCCGCGCCGGGAGCAGAACGCGCGCATCTCGTTCTATGACCCCACGAATCAGGCTACCATCAATCGCTTGCTGTCAGGCGATGTTATCATCCACGATGATGTCGACGGCGAGGGCGAGGACACTGCCACTCAAGAGGACGAGAATGCACTGGACACGCTGGAGAGCATGGAAGAGATGCTGGAGGATTCTGAATGGGGAAACGATGATATTCTTGGAAGAAGGTCTGTGACCGGCGCCGCGGATCGGATGGAGGCAAGATTGTTGGACGAGTTGACAGCCTTAGAGAAGGTTCGGCAACTAATGTGTTTGCGAGTGTCGTGCTGAGTTTCCGCGATCTGAACAGGCTAATATCTACTCCTTCATTGAGTCAGACGACAGAGTCAACGTCGTGCTCAAGTATATCGATGAAGCCATCATGGAACTCGAAGGGATGGACAGCGTACTGTCATCGTACAAGATCCATCTGAATGTTCGAGTGCCCCAATTCGCTCATAGGAGTAACGCTGACAGACGTCTCTTCAGGCCGTCAGCGATGATATTGCCTATATCCAGTCGCAGAATCGTGGACTGCAAGTGCAGATTCAGAACCAACACGCCCTTATGGCAGAGCTGGAGGAACTGCTGGTACGGGGTTTGCTATTTTACAGCAGTTTGTCATCACTGTTAATACATCTTTCTTAGCAAACTGTACATGTCGAGGAAGAAACGCTCCTCACCCTCACGCAGGAGTCGCTCGAGAAACCTGCCAGCATACAGAGGATCGAGGGCGCAGCTACAGAGCTCTATAAGGCCCTGCAGGCTGGTAGGGACCGAGGTTCGTGTTGCACTATGTCATACGTGGATTCATTCCTGAGCCCCATTGACTGCAGACATGGCGGCTACCATGGAAAGACTTGATGAGTACCGTACTCACAACGCTCACTTCTGCAAGCGCATATTAGATTTCCTGTCAATTATGTTCACTGCGCAGGTACGTTGATGGCCCTTTCTCCGCAGCACACCTCATAACGCTCTGCATATTGTCATTATAGTCGAAAATACTGTTGGGTGACAATGACGGTGTGATTAAATCTCCGCAGGGAAAACCATCGTTGGCAGACCATAAAGTGTTGGAGAACTATCTTGGCCGGTATAGTGGATTGATATTGTATCTGAAGGAGATGGAGGAATCCATATACGGCAAGCTCTGTGCCGTAAGCTATGCTCTTTTGGTTCTCTCCATCCTTGAGCTGACTGTTACACCCAGGCGTACTTTTCCGTGGCGAGCACTCTCCATGGTACACAAGTTAGAGCACTGATGATCATATGCGGCAATATGATCAAGAAGGTCACAGAGGACGATTCGGAAGGTGGGTTTCGGCTCTTTGGAAGGGGTTGATTTTTACGTGTAGTGTAGGTTTCGGCGGGGCGACACCGACCGCCGCATCTTCGAAGGCCGCGTCTGGAATGCGTCGCGCCGGCACTATCGTGCGTTCACCGCTGGAGGGTCGCAAGGAAAGGAAAGAGCGGTCAGACGGCGATAGCACTGCTTCCGAAGCGAGTCTTAACATTCGCTGGCAGTGCGGGTGAATATTGACCGATTTTTTTCTCAGGCATTCGGGCTTGTCCTTGAGCAGCTCGCCCGTGCAGTTTACCATGAGGAGGAATTCATAGCCGATTTCCTTCAAATCAACGATGCTGGGCTGACCTTCGCGGACTACATGGGCCTGGAGAATTACTTCCGGAGACAAGCCTCAAGGGCTGCTGGGCTGAGTTCGGCGACTATGAAGCTTGTGCGGGGAGCGATGGATCTGATTTTTGGCTTCATCGCTACCGAGCTCAAAGGATGGCTCGATAATGCGCTGGCCAAAGACCAATTGTGAGTATTCGTTGGTCTCCCGCAGAGCCATAAGCTGAGGGTTTTGTGCACAAGACACATTGTCGGTATCATTGCGACCCTCGAGCGGTTCCTGGGGGATGCAGAAGAACATGGGAATGCTTTCTTGCAAAACATGCTGGAGAAACAACATGGGCGATTAAAGGGGCTTTGGGAACGTCGCGTCGTAAGCAGCAGCAGCGTGAGTACGGTGACGCGACCCTGATCATGGATCAATCGTGTGTTACAGGATGAGCACATCAAATCCATTGAGGATACAAAGCTGACCAGCAAGAAGCGCAACGGAGTTGCGCCATTCATCAAGTACTTCCCTGTCTACGTCGGCCGCGTGGAGACGCAGCTGGTGGGGGCGGATACACTGGAGGTACGGCATACAGTGGACCAGTCCTACGGCAAGGTTGTGCAGTCCATGTTTGGTGCGCTCAAGCATATGGCAAAGATGGAAGGCGAAGGCGAAGACAAGGGGCAACTTAACTACCACGTTATTCTGATAGGCAAGCTTGTTTGCTAAGTTCGGCGGGATCATGGCTTAGAACTATCACAGAAAATATGCACTATTTCGTGGCTGAGATTTCTCAGCTGCAGATAGGCTCCATCGTTAACTTCCTCAAAAGTGCGGAAGGTATTTACGAGGAAAACCTCAACGCGTATGTCAGGATCGTGTTGCGGCGGCCATTCTACAAGATCATTGTGGGTCTCTCCGCCACTCAATTCATCACAGCTTGTTCATTCACTTCCAGGAGTATTTCGAGGGAGTCGAACGCCTTCTCAAAACCACTGCGCCGACGGAGGTGTCATCCAACGGTGCTTATTCAAAGGCAGCGCTGAAGAAGGTTGTCAAGGAGTACAATGCCAAGGATGTCCGGAAGCATGTCGACACCCTGTTCAAGAGGGTGGAGAAACACTTCACCGAGGCATCCGAGAAGGCCACCACGGAAGATGTCAGCACTGGCATTGCGTCCGGTACAGTGATGGTCGGTGTTTGGAAGGCATGCGAGGAGGAGCTGCTCAGGATCACAGAGTTGTTTGCGAAGCGGATCAACCAGTGCTACAAAGACACTGGTATCGCGCTCGAATACTCTGCTGCTGATGTCGAGGCCGCTTTCAAGCGGCATCGCGTTGCAGCGTAGAGGATACCTGTACTATATTTGGATTCTGTACTCGAAAGATTTATTGTGCTTGGTCACCATCAGTCTTGTTCAACGACCTCTGGCAATCATTCATACTTTCATAAAAGGAGTTGATTATTGCCAATAGTATTGATATCAAGTCTTGGTGGCAGCGCGCCACTGAGGAGGCGCACACCATATTTGGAAAGAGACCTCCGCATCTAGATTCAGCGCGGAGTTGCACAGAAGCGCCCGCTCGATCGCGTCTCGATCGCGAATGCAACCGTCCACGAGTCGTGCGTGCCGTGTCTTCATTCTACTCGCATGGCCTCGCCTACCGCCTCTCAGACTGGTCCACAGGACAGCGACGACGAGGACGAGCAGTTTTGGTCTGTGATAGAAATCCTTGGAGAGCGTGGCGAAAGATACAAGGTCAAATGGGAAGGAGATGATCCTCGAACAGGCAAACCCTGGCCTCCGAGCTGGGTGTCAAAGAAAGATTGCACAGGCGGCTTGGTACAGGCATGGGAAGACAAGAAAGCTGGGAAGAAAGGGCAGGTAGGGAAGAGGAAGACTATCAGTGTGTCTAGAATATCGCGTCTAACGCGTCGAGTCTAAGCTAATCCAGTGTTGTTTCCAGGCACAGCTCGTGCTCTCACGACGTCTCCAGAGACAACAAAACGATCGACACGTACCGTCTCTAAGACATACAAAAAGCATCGACCAATCGCCGGACCTTACCAACTCGCGATCCTCCTCTCTCTCCCAGTCTCGCGAACTCGTCAAGGACACGACCTAAAACTGGGAGTAGCGCTCATGCAGCAGTGCATGATGGGAAGCATTATGACATTGACAAAATTGTGCTGACAACGAAGAAGGGCAGGAAACGTGTCGAGGTCGCAGTGCCTCCACTTCCATATCCTGTAATGAAGGAGAAGATTCCGGACAGAAACGAGAGTCCTGCAGAGCTCTTTGATGCTGTCTCAACCATCAAAATCGGTCCTCCCCGCGGTGTCAAACGAAAGAGGCCATCCTCGGGTGCTGCCGCGAGAAAGAGTGCCCGCACATCTATTGTAATCACCGATTTTGGAGTAGAGGAGCCAATGCACATCGACGCAGTGGACCAGGTGAGTGAATGTGACAGAGAAGATGTGAAGAATGCTCATATTCAATGTTGTCCACTGACAAGTATGAATCTCATGGTCTCGATGAAAACGACACACTCTATACCCACAACGGAGACCAGTTTGCCCCAGAGGTTCAATCTCCTTCCCTCACCCCACCACCCAGTCCCTCCTCGCGTACCCGGCCTAGCGCATGGCTAGATAGCCCGCCCAAGGTTACCCCGATACCCAGCACCCCTCGTCCTCCAGTAGCATCTGTTCTGCACACCCCCATGAAATTGAGAGTGAGACCCCGCAGCCCACAGAATGTAGAGAAGCCAATCGGATATGTGGAGTCGCCGATTGCCGATGAGGACCGACACACAGATGTCATTCTCCCATCGGTGGCCGACGAAACAGAAATAGAGGGGACTGCCAGCCAGAGACCCATAAAACCATTGCCGCTCTACTCTCGATCGTCTCCTACTGTCCTACGCACGTATCGTACGGCGCGGAAGTTGAATGAGCTGGCCAGCTTTACTGGGCGATTCCGCTCTCAAGAGGAAGGCCGCCAAGTCGCATCCACGCTCGCCATCCTGAAGGAGAAAGCCAGGGGCAAGGGCAAAGCGCGATACGTCGAGTCTAGAGAGGTTGACGAGATCTCGGACTTCGGCGAGAATGGCCTCGCATACCAGAGTGCTGCGAGACGTCGTGGGAGCGTTATCACTGAGGATGATGATGTCGGTGGGGACAGCCAGTTCGATGACGCTCCTACGCTTTATTCACCCGAGGAGAACGCCGAGCGCGACATCACAGAGGAGGCTGATGGGAATGACTGGCTTTTTCAATCATCTACAGAGTCTATCCCAGCCAGCGTTGCCGGCGGCCTGGTCCCAGATGGTCAGGAGTCCTTCTATTCTTCCGAAATATTGGGCATTCAAGACGCGCATGATCCCAACGCGGACGCTCTCGTGCAGGAATTGGTAGACACATATGTCGACTTCAGCGGCGGACAAGGCGAGAGACAGCAGCAGTCCCCTGCTGAAGAGCCCGCTGAGCTCTCGCTAGGTCCCGAACTCCCTAGTTCGAAGCGAAAAGCTGGGCTCCTACAGGAGGCGAGAGAGGTGCGGCGGAAGGTGAGTTTGTAACTGCCTCAGTGATGCAGACGCAATGAACTCACAGTTATGTAGCATTGGCTCAGGAAGAGCGCGCCTCTTCACAGGCTGGCACCTATCTCAGAAGAGCTGCCGTTCACCGCGTCTCCGCAGCAGGCGGGTGTAGACAGTCAAATTCCGGGAACATCAGCATTCCGACACCAGCCGAGAGACCTCTCGATCAACCTTGAAGAAAAGGACGCTCAGATTGCGCAACTCACGGAGCAGGTCGCCGAGTTGAACTTGAAGTTGGAAACGCTGCAGGAGGAGAACGTAGACCTTAGCACCGTGCGCAAGGAATTGGGCTTGAAGTACTTTGAACACGAGCGAGCACAGTTGGAGATGAATGCTATGCGTTTCGAGCTGCACGAGCGGCAGATATTGATTGACGATCTCAAACGGGACAAGGCGAGCGCCAAGGACGACTTATCTGCTTTGGAGAACAGACTACAGGAACAACAAGGTCTACTTACGGAGACACAGAAAACCAAAGAGGAAGCGGAGACGGATCGCCAGCAGCTCCGGGAGCGCTACAATCAAGCATCGGCGCACGCTTCCGACCTCCTCAAGGAAAGAGATGAGTTGCAGAAACAGCTCGACCTCGCCGCGGGCCAGCTGAAGGACGGGTTGCCCATGTTGAAGGGGGTGTATGAGGATCGCATCAAGAAAATGCAAGAAGACTTGGACAAATGGAAGGCACTCTGCAGGATGCTCATGGACAAGGACGTGCGATCGACCGACGACGTGCGCACGCGCGCCGCGATGGAACCGCTCCTCAGAGAGGAGAACGAGAACTTGAGGCAGGAGATAGCGGTGTTGAGGACCCTCTACGGGGACGGCGGCTCCGCCTCTGAGGAACCGAGACGCAACAGCGAGTCGGAGGTTGACAACTTTGTGTGCCAGTATACGGGCGCGTCGGGCTCCGCCTCTGGCGTGACGCCGTGCAATGCTGTGTTCTCGTCGCCTGAGGTAGACTAACTTCCGCGTTCCGCACTTCTGTCACCCTAACATGCCGTCCTGCACAGGAAGTAAAAAAGCATGCCATATGCACGCATTATCCGGATTTGCAAAACCATTTCTATGCCGTCTCGTAACTTTCGTGCTCTATAGCGTTGCTGCAGCTCATGATATCTAGGACATATGTAAATATTGTATCTGACAGTGTACATGAAATATATCAACACGGATGGAATCACGAGGATTCACATGTACTCTGGCGTTATGCAGCACTGCCGTCTGTCCTCATTGCAACGCCTGCGAATACTGGGGAGGTGCACTACCCTGTCCGTGTGCTGTGCAATGCATCCATTGAACGTATCAGCCGGCAATCATCATGCAGTGAGCGCGAGGCAAAACGCGATGGGGTCACGTGGACGCGTTCAATGAACGACGCGACGCGTCCTCTGTTGTCGACGCGGTAACCGGTAATCGCGCAAACCCTAGGGAATCATCGTAGAGCATGGCACAGCGAACTGTAACACGGTGCACGGCGGAACCCGCGAAGGATTTTATAAAAAAATATCCAATCGCGACCTTTAGATTTTCCCCGCAGATAAAAGAGTCTCAGCCAACAGCAGGAGCACCGGAAATTGACTACATACAACGATCATCCGTCCGCCAGCTCATGCAACCCGAACACCGCCACCGTGTTCTTCCACGCCTTCTCCGTCACCTTCTCGAACGGCACGCCCTCGTTCAGCCGGTGAATCACCCACGCGACGCCGCCGATGGCGCACGGCTCGTTGCGGCCCTTGACAGGCTTTCCGTACACGAACGCCTCTGGTCTGTTGGCGGGAGGGAAGTAGAGAGCGTTGAGAGATGCTGGGAGTGAGACGAGGTGGGCCTTTGATGCGTGTGTTGAGGTCAGAGTGCACCACGGGGAATCTGGATGTGGAGAGTAAGCAAAGGAGAGAGGGCGAGGGAAAGCGGGAATACCTGTCTCGAACATGATCTTGTCAGGGCGTATTGCTTTCGCCGCGGAGAGGTTATCTTCCGTTTTGAGCGAACATCCATTCACGCTGAGTAAATGCCATTTAGCGCGTTTGAACGATGGAGATCACAGAGCTATACCTGATGTGGAAACCCATATCCATCTACAAGGACGGAAGTTTAAGTACTTTGTATGCGAATAAGAGTACTCACGAGCTCCGTCGCCTCTTCTGCCGTCCCCGTGAAACTATGCACGGCACCGCCATTCCCGCCGACAGCCTTTCCGCCATCTTTATCGAATCCTTCCTCTCTCAGTATTCGAACGAAGTCTGCGTGCGCGGCGCGTAAATGCAAGAACAGAGGAAGATGGTACTTCTTCGCAAGTGCCAGTTGAGATTCTGAAGTTCACGGTAAGCGAGTGATACAAGAGTGGAAGCAACGCTACTGACTGAAGTGTCTTCTCTGCACCTCAGGCGAAGCGAAATGCGTCCTATCGTAATCTTGAGAAGAATGTGAACATTAGATGGGGATGATTCTTCGGTACGGCACACACCTAATCCACACTCTCCTACTGCAACAACTCTTCCTTTCCCCTTCAGATTGCTCTCGATCAGGATATCGAGTTCGGTAAGGTAGGCCTCCGGACCACCCTTGAACTGATCAAACTGTTTCGAGCGCGTCGGGTGGCAGCCGACCGTCGCGTAGAATCCGTACTGCTTCGCGATCTCTAGTGCTTCTCTTGACTCGTGCAGGCTGCCGCCGGTGACGATCATGGACTGCACGCCTGCAGCGCGGGCGCGCTCGAGCACGGCCTCGAGATCATCTACGTGGATACAAGGTGATGAACGCAGAAGACGAAGGGAAAAACGGGACGCACCATCGTGCTTCTTTCTTCCGTGGTAATATCCTCTGAATATGGAGTCTGTCAGATTCACTATTCGTTGACAAACGGTCAGTGTTGCGATTCGTGCGATCGCAGCGGATGATGCTTGCCTCCGATATCTAAACGCGGTCCTCTCAGGCTATCTGCAACAGGATAAAGAACCGGAGCAACCACGCACCGATATATCTAAGCTTTCCCTTGACATCCTCAGTCGTTTTAGCGGGAACGACTATGACAGGCATGCCTGATAGGGATGTTGACGAAGTGCGTTCCTGGATTGAGTGCAGAAACCGATTGGTCGGTCTGAGTGCTGGTAATGCTAACAGCGAGCCCGAGCTCAGAGGTACGCGCGGTAGTGAGCGAAGCTGTAGCTGTGCGAACGCAGTCATAAACGCTTCGCGCGCGGTGCCGCCGAGTCACGCATGGGCGAGTCCTTTGGGTAAGTCGATAGCTGTGAACGGTCGTGGTCATTGGTACGAGCGATACCCGCAAGAATGAATTTCGCATTGAACGCTGTGAGTTGTGGCCCGCCGGTGCACCGCGCTGTGTATTTTACAAGCGATCATTCTGCAGCTGTAAGCGCTTGAGCGCTTTAACTTCCAAGCTGCTTCCTGCTATTCCCGCTACTGCATGTTCGAGTGCTACCACTCTGAGCCAGTGGCCTCTGCTTTGCAGAGCGCATCATGAATTGCCTGCATCCCCGCCTACCCCACCCCCACATATGGCCCGCAAGGAACGGAGGGTGCCAAGCTGTGCCTGCTGGGATCGTCTGATCCGGAGATATCACATGAGGGACCCGTGCCCGAGTGACTTTCTCATACCCGCTCCCGCACGTTCACCCGTCCGACCTCCTCTTCTCGCTCTCTTCCATTCAGCCTCAACCCGCACAGCACATAAGGCGCGTCTTGCCCTCCTCAGCACTCTCCCCTCGTTCTCACCTTAGCGCTCCAGACGTCTTTTTCTCTGTGTGCCAGGCAACTGCGACGATGGCGATGGAACGTGTGAAGCAGCTAGTGTCGCACATGACGCCGGGCTCGTCAAAGGGCGTCGCGGCGCTGGAGCGCAAGAGCCCAGATGACGTGGTTATCACGATGGCGATTCGCTCGCCGCTCTGCAGAGCAAAGGGCGGAGGATTCATGCACACCCGGAGCGACGAGCTGCTGGCAGAAATGTTCAAAGCGCGTGTTTTTTCCCTCTCAAAGTTCACTAGCATCGAACTCATCGAATCCGTACAGCAAGCGATTGCAAAGTCGGGCGTGGATCCCGCACACGTCGGCGACATCACCGTGGGCACAGTGCTCGCACCAGGCGCGACGTACGAGGCTCGTGCGGCCGCCCTCGCGGCAGGCTTCCCCGAGTCTGTGCCTGTAGTGACGATCAACCGATTCTGCTCGTCAGGTCTCATGGCCGTGACGGACATCTCGAACAAGATTCGGGCGGGACAGATCGAAATTGGTCTGGCAGTCGGCGTTGAGAGCATGTCCAATAAGTATGTCATTCGTTGCTCTGGCCCTGCCCAAGCTCACTAACATGTAAAATCCAGCCCAGACAACGGCGCGCCGCCACTCAGCGAGAGCATTAAAGCTCACCAGGTTGCATGCGACTGTTCCATGCCGATGGGCCGGACGTCGGAGAACGTCGCTGGAGATTTCAACATCTCGCGCGAGGACATGGACGACTGGTCCGCCAAGTCCTTCCAGCGCGCCGAGCGCGCAGACAAAGCTGGCTGGTTCGCCAACGAGATCGTCCCCTTCACCGCATACGAGAAACCCGACGAGACCGGCAAGCGCGCGACGAAAGTCGTCGCGAAGGACGATGGGATCCGGTATGGCACGACGAAGGAGGGGCTGCTGAGGATTAGGTCGGCCTTCCCCCATTGGCAGCCCGCGCAGACCACCGGCGGCAATGCGAGCCAGATCACGGATGGTGCGGCGGCGGTGTTGCTGATGACGAGGCGCAAGGCGGAGGAGCTGGGACTAAGGATCTTGGCGAAACATATCACGACGGCGGTTGCTGGCGTGCCCCCGCGCGTGATGGGCATCGGGCCGACACATGCAATTCCCAAGGCTCTTGAGCTAGCTGGGATCACTCAGGAGGATGTGGATCTCTTTGAGGTAAGTACAGTCGAGGGTCTTAATGGGTGTGACCAGTATTTACACAATGGCGACGCGACAGATTAACGAGGCATTTGCGTCAATGATGGTCTACAGCCTACGAACGCTAGGACTCGACCCCGAGAAGGTAAACGTGAACGGCGGTGCGATCGCGCTGGGACATCCTTTAGATACGTACCATCTTCTCTGCTCATGACGTCCTTGACTTACACTCACAGCCACTTTACGCGCCACAGGTGCCCGACAGCTTGCAACCGGGCTGAACGAGCTGCACAGAAGGAAGGGCAAGGTAAGCTTCTCGCTCTGACCCTCATTAGCACCGCGTCTGACGTGACTTTGTAGATTCTGGTTACTTCGATGTGTATTGGTACCGGCATGGGTGCTGCGGGGGTGTTTGTCGGTGAATATTGAGCGTTTCTGAGGGAGTTAGGCGGCTGCGCAGCACTCAGAACTCTGCATGATTCCTCGCGAGGTCACCTGTGATTATATACTTAGCTGGGCTGTTTTCGTGACGACCTTATCGGCAACGAATGACTAAGTGCAGGCGGAGGCCGCGACCGCAATGTGGTTCGCGACCTGCTTCCGCGTCTGAGACTCACGTTGACCGCTGACATGAACAGCTTCATCCCTACCGCAGCGCGGCTGCTCGCCAGGATCCAGCTGAATTGACGGTCCTGGCAATGTGGGAAATTTACGGTACTGCAGGCGCGCGCTCGGGCCCCTCAACCGTGTTGCCATTTTGGGCATTCAACGCCAGCAGGACCCGGGCAACTCCTATATAGGAGTGTCGCAAAATAGCATATTTGAGGGGCCCCAAATCGCGATTTCCTTGTCGCGGATTGCATATTTCAGACCTCGGAGGCCCCAAAAGGCTCCAAAAAGACCCTTATCCTTATCGCAACTTAGCATATTTCGGGACCTGATGGGTGTCGGAGAGCCTCCCGATTTAGGCATGTCCAGGTGGCTAACCACTGGTATTGATCGACAAGGCCCATTGATGCGACAAGGCCACCATGTAGCCATATATTGACATAAAATAAATAATTTCCTGCCCGATAACCATCATGGTACATGCGTGATTTGTGACATCCAAGCCTAATTTCCTGCTATGACTTGTGTAGCTCTCCTTCCCCTGAGTCTCACTTGAATCTCATGAAGCTGTAAGATACAGAATCTGCATTTGCTCATCAAGACCTTCTTGTTCTGATCCTAAATGAACAACAAAGAATATTCTATGATGACATTGAATGCATCTGTGGCTTTTTCTTCAAGATGTCACCCCTTGTGATGATGGCATCAACAAACATCAGCTTGATACACACTCAATGTAGCCTCTTTATTATCACAACATCCTTACGTGAGAGTAGCGGGCGATCTCGCAAACGAATCCGTATGTTTTTGACTCTGACGTAGCGTGACATATGGATGTGACGTATCGTTACAAAACGTGACATAGTCACGGGTCTTGTCGCACTTTGCATACTGGAGGCCCGAAAGTTTGCATATTTCAGGCTCATTTTGGAAGATTTTTGCGACACTCCTATATAGGAGTTGCCCGGGTCCTACGCCAGCCCACGGCGTTTCTCACGCCGCTAGTTTATGTGTGGCTCACCTTTTTGGCCCACGGAGTTCATTCAAAAGATTTTTAATTGAAATAATCAGTTGGCAAGTATTCCCCTGAGCTCTTTTTCTAGGTTTAAATCGGGTTCTCGCATACGTAGACGGGTGGCCGGCGGTGCCCCCTATGGGGAGTTGGTCCGGGGTCCTCAAGTCCTATCCCGTGGTAGTTGCTTACGTCAGCGACAGCGGACCGTCAATGTGACGGAAGGACCACTCTATAGCTGAACGTTATTTATCGTGACCCGCGAGCGATTCTCCTTACAATGAGCGGACGCAAGTTAAACTCTCTCGAACGCGAGTTACATCAGTTTGCCCTGACGAGGCCGGACAAAGTGTGTGATCTTTGTCGCACACCTACTATCTACGATTGCCCAGAGTCTGACCCATGTGGCTCTTCAGGTTGTCACCCAAAAGGCGCTCGAACGCTTCTCGCCGAGCCCCAAAGCACTTCTTCCTGCAATCAATTTTCTTTTGGGCACGGTGCGTACGTTTCTGGATGGCTAGTATATAGGCAATGAATGGTTTCCTTCAGGGATTGTTCGTAGTGCTGATAGGTGAAGATTCTGCGATCTCGTACAGGGCAGTGACGCACGATGAGATCGAAATGTGGGTTGCCGCCTTTGTGACGAAGGAATCGGCTGAGCTTCCTTCAGTAAGAAAGGTCTCAATCAGGAGGAAGTATTGGTCATCGACAGGATCCGAGCAGCAGGCAACGAAGGTTGGTACCGAAAAGTGGCGCGTATACCGAGTCTTGACCCTGTCTCCCTCCGACTAGGCATCTGGACGAAACATATCAAGGCTAAAACTCAACTGCATCAAGTCGTTGTTGATAAATGTTTGAAGTCACTGACACAGAAACAATTGATAAAGACCGTGAATGATGTTCGAGTATGAGTGTTTCGCCTTCTGACTAAGGCTATCATAATCACTTGTTTATTCAGCACTCCGCGCGCAAAATCTACATGCTGTCGCATCTCGAACCATCAACTGAGCTGACGGGGGGACCATGGTTCACCGATAATGAATTGGACACCGAATTTATCAAACTATTGTCTGGTGTTTGTTTGAAGATCATACGAGACAGAGTGTGCAGGAATCCTCATAATGAGGAGCTTGATCTGATCATCATTCATAGAGTTTCCCGAAAACTTTGCAAGGACAGGACAGTCGCAGCAGGCAGGTGTATCCGCTTTCGTATTCATCTTACCCAAATGCGCAGCAAATCCTGGTGAGTATCATCATATCTTGGACAGGTCGGGTGGATCGCATTTCATGACGGCGCTATTCTCGGATATACGTTGGATTGTCGTTCAGTTGGATTGCGCTAGATCATCCTGCATTGCCATATATTCACGGATCACTTGTTCTGATCTTGATTCTCAACTATGATTTACATGCTAATGAATATGCAGAATTTCTTGAAGAAGAGTGGTGTCACAGAAACTGACCTGACTGTGGAGCATATTCAGATTTTATTGGAGGTATTGATTTGGGACGGCAAGATCGAGAAGGTAGTCATTCAAAAGAGTCGTGGCGAGAGTTGCACCACTTACTGCTATCTGGTAATAGATTCCTGCGCTCCACATCCCTGGCTGGGATATCGATAATTCTGAGCATGAAAGTTTGCACGAAAGCCAATTATCGCTGCTCGAGAAGGGATCGAGGGGAAAGAAACGAGCTCGCAGGGACTTGAGCGATGATTCTGATCGTGGGGGCAAACGGAAGAAAAGGCACCACACGTCGGACAGCGCTCAGGCTACCGAAGATGATACTGCGACAGGCGATGACGATAGATCGCTGAGGAAGCGACGTCGGAAGCGTAATACCCCCTCTGTTGACGACACAAAGTTAAAGGGAAAGAGAAGAAAAATGGATCGCAGCTCCTTTGGTGACACAGAGGATGAGGGATCGACAGAATGTTCAGAGAGTGCCACCAGCTCCACCGGTGGTCGCACAGCGGGCAGTCGAGGTGCCGGGGAAAGCAACGGTGTGCAGACTTTGGGATACCGCAATCCATCGTCTAGCACTTTCCTCTCACACAACATGGCGGCAATAGGAGGTGTTCACCATGCAGGCGGAGTTGTATACCGGGCCGTATATGAAGAACGCGTGTCTCTGGGCCTGTACCAGGCTCCATGCGTCCTGTGCCCGACGTTTGAGTTCTGCAAGGGTGGTGGACCGGTCAACCCTCGAGAATGTGTCTACTATGACTCTTGGCTTACGGGAGGGAAGGCGTGTATGAATTATTAATCCTGCGAAGGGATGTTCAATATACCTTTCGAGATTAGTAGGTGTGACGGTGCGAAGACTGTTTTTCTCCTTACGGTTGCATTGCGTGGTGAGTTTATTCATATTCATCCTTCATCTCTGATATTGAATGCGAGCCAACAACGGAATATATAACCGTGCGGTTTAGGCAACGTACGCGCAAGTGCCGTACACCACCTTCGTAACTGGGCCAGTTTCTTTTTCCGGCGCTCCAACCGGCGAGCTCGCACTGGGATAGTGTCTTCTTCAGCCACTTCCAACAGATTCGAGAGTACTGTTGATTCTCCGCGATGTGAAGTAAGCATGCATTCGCCCTCATTAGCACCGCGTCTGACGTGACTTCGTAGATTCGGTTACTTCGATGTGTATTGGTATCGGCATGGGTGTTGCGGGGGTTTATTGGCGAATACTGAGTGGCTACGAGGCGTTTAGGCGGCTGCGCAGCATCCAGAGCACGATTCTTGTGAGGTCACTCGCAATGACATACTTTGCTGGGCTATTTTCATGGATACGTTATGAGAGCGAATAGATGGGAGCAGGCGGAAACCGCGACCGAAATGCGGCTCACGGCCTGCTTCCATGTCGGAGACTAGCTTTGACCGCTGACAGCTTCTCGCTAGAGCGTAGGAAATGAAATCATGGCGAAAGCGAAGTTCTGATGTGGCTACACCCTGCGAACAGATAAAAGGCCTGCGCAAGTCGTGAGGTCCTTGATCGTTGTGGCACTCTGAGAATTGCTACGGCAAAGCAGGAGTCCGGACGGCAAATTTGTCATGAATCATCTCGATAATTTACTGGAAGGTCACAATATCCCATATGCCTCCTTCTCTTGCGCAGTCCATTCGAATATGGGCAGGGGATGTGCCTCGGTGTTGAACACCCATTGATCCAACGGAACGATCTCTTCATCGGTGAAGAGCAAGAAGAGGTACTTCAACCTGCGCGGCAAAATTGTTGTCAGTGAACCTAGGTTCAGTCAGGAAAGCACTCACGTCTCCGCCAGGAAGAAGCTGCAGATCAGATGGCACTCAGTCTACTTATATCTCATAAACGGACATTACACATACCTCGGCATCTCGTTCTTCTTCGTCGCCGGTGACTTGTCGACTGAGACTAGACTCGCGTAGCCATTATCGGTCCGCGTTTCTTTCTCAATCGCTTGGAACACCGCCCACCCACGCTCCCTCCAGACCTCATCACCGGTAGTCCTCCACAAGATGTAGAAGCTCTCCACAGTCTGCCCGGATCTCACAGTCAGCTCCGACCTCCACATCAATTATTGCTACACACCTCTGGTCTGAGATAGTATCCAGCGTTTCGCAAGCGGTAGTCCCGCTCGCCCTTCCTCGCGGGGCGAATAGGCGCAACGCCCGGCGGGACGCCGCCTGGCTTGCCTGCATCCTCCCACTCCTCCAAATGCGCGATCCACAGTCCGCCATGCGGGTTCTCCGGGGTCTTGCGTATCTGGTCCATGAGCACGATGTCCGGCCCGAGGCCGGTGGGATGGTCAGCGTAGGTCAGCCAGCACGTCTGCGCGAGGCCCTCCGCTGCCCACTGGTGTATCCGCCTATCGCGGGGGCCGAGCTCGAGCGTCTGTGCGCCGAGAGCCAGGAGACCTGGGAGGAAGCAGGAGAGGTGCTCGAAGAGGTGGCTAGGCGAGCCGTTCGTGACATCTGTGACGTAGAGCATCTGGCGAGATCGACTGAGATAGAGGAGGTTCTCGATGATGCTGTTTACTGCTCGGATGTCTAAGGAGTACAATGTTCAACACTGCTACGTTCAGGTGCAGGAGCGCACGTACATAGGTCACGCGCCTTGGTTTCAGACTTTGATGTCAGGAGCCACTGCTTCAGGAAATATTCATGGGCACTATCGGCAAATGCTCCGACGGAGAACTGCTCTGCACGACAGTGAGCGATATATATCATTGAGGAGTCGAGGAAACTCTCTTACTGTTGATCGGCACTCCTTTCGAAAGACTCCACCTTGTTGGGAACATTCCATCGGTAATGTTTGCATCGCGCATGATATCCATGATGTGTTCGACCTGCCACAAGATCCATGACAAATCGGCAGAGCATGGTACGGAACACGAACTTACGCTATCATAATATTGCCTCCGACCAGTCAAGTGGGCCAGGTACTTGTACTCCAGCTGGCAGCTGGCGACCTCAGCCCATAGTACCGTTCCTTTGGTCCAGCCGCCTGATCTCTGCCCGCTGCAGTGTGTAGTGAGCACGACGAGAAGCATTCTCAATGAGGAATGTACGTACGTGACGGTATTGACTGCATAATCAGGCAGTCCCGAGTTGGTTCGCAGAGCGGGAAGGAGCCTGCTTCCGAGATCGTCTGCTCGGACGAGAAAGACCGGCTCACGAGAGAGCGCGTAGGCAGACAGTAGCCCGCCCAAGTACCGGATAACGGTCTCAAAAAAGGGAGCATATCGTTTCTAACAGGAGACAACTGTCAGAGTGCCAAGGCATCGAGAATTCTGACTGAGCGTACCTCCTCCATGTCAAAGGTCATGTTCGCTACAACGGGCAACGTGTCGTAGAATTCGTGATGAAGACCCATGATCCACATGGTGTCTAAGCTATCGATTAGGGTCAAGCCCCAACCATTGAAGCTGATCTGAAGTGAGACTCGACCGCCAACTTCCCCCAGAGACCCACCACTCACTTGTTCACAGAGCCCTCTGACAAGGGCAGCAGCTCGTCGTCATTTCCCGCATGCTCCTTGTACTCCGTGTAGGCATACATGAAAGCATGCCGCACGGCGTCGGCGCGAGGACCCCATGTCTTGCTCGGATGACGAGGTGGACGCGGAAATCCCGGAGGCAGGGGTGGTGGTTCCAGCAGCGGCCATGCGAAGTAAAGCAGAACCCATACGAGGAAGCCAGCTCCTAAACTAAAGGGAATGAGACGAGCTGTCGGTTTGTGCATCGCAGATCAAAGCAGAACGAGAAACTATCAAGAGGTATATATAACGAAGTCGCAGGCTCGGTGAGGGCGACAGTGTATAATGTGATTGCTGGTATATGTACACGCTGGCAGGATTGAACGATCCTGAAAACGTGCTTATGAAAAGAGTGACTCAGCCGACCGAGAGAAAGCGTCGTTGAAGAGTTAGCATAGGAAGCAGAATGCTGCCAAGAATCTCAGCCACACATTGGCGCAACGGCCCGTGCCTGAAAAGGCAATCGAGTTTGTTTGTTTTCCTCGGAATATTCATATCCGATGACCATCGCGCAGCTTCATACAAATTGCAAAACAATAATTGGAGTCTACATGGATGAAACATGATGCGTAACTAGTATGCCGGTGGGAAAGCGTTGTTCTCTGTACGCTCTAGCCAGCAGATCCAATCGTCGGCCATGGAGATAGGTCAGAGTGACAAAGTTGCGCATATATTAGAGCTGGCGCCCAGCGGCGTCATTGCGCCTTTCGGCTGGACGGTGAAATAAAGTCGTCCATATATTCTGGTATATGTGCATCGGTCGCTCTTGCCTTGGTGTGGCCCTCTGTGACAGGACGCGTCTGGTCGTGACGCTTGCTATTTTGGCCGTCATATTACGTGTCACGATCGCTTTGCCGCGCGTGCAATGCGGCTGGGTGCCAGCCAGCCTTGACTAGCTTGCGAGCCCTAAGCGCAAGATACTCTTGAGTCTCGAAACTCAGGCATGCTTGCAAGTATTTCCTGTTCTCTGTGCCATCGCTCGTGCATCCGAACACCGCCTCTCCATCTTCTATTTGGCGCCAACATGCACTCAGCGTTCCTTGCCTAATAAGTTGTGACAACGTCGTAATGGAGCGCAGTGTGTGGTGTTTGGTGTAAGTGTTGCACAAGATGCTGGGCTCGTCCGAGGATGTCGCGGCGCAAGAGCCCGGAAGTCGTGTGGTCATTATGATAGCAATCCGTAGGCCCTAGGGAAAAGGGTTCGGCATCGGAGGCGATGAACCGAAGGCGGAATCATGCACGGTGCGTTGTTCCTTCAACTGGATCACACTCACTGCATTCGTACAACAAGCAATTAGAACGTCCGGAGGTAGACCGCACATGTCAACGCATTACCAAGGTACGAAACTCGCATGATGGCGCGCCCGAATTTCCGGAGTCATTGGTGACGACCACCCGCTGTTTCTCCTATACCCTCATCGTTGTGACGGTTCTCTTGAGCCAGATTCTGGCGGATCGGAATTGTTCCAGCTGCTGACGTAGAAAGCGTCCTCAGCTAGGATGTCGTTGCAGTCTTAACGCGGTGATTGTGGCGTAATTTAGAGTCAGATTATGAATGGCGCTCGCGCATATAAGGAGGCGGAAGGCGGAAGAGCGGGGTGCTGAAACGTTGGCGAAGGGCAAGCTACGAATGCAATCGCTGGGTGCCCCCGCGTGATGGGCATGAGGTCGACACAAGCTGTTCTCAAGGCGCTTGGGTTGGCCTTAGAAAGCTAGGAGATCGTGGATCTGATTGAGGCAAGTACAGACGAGAATGTTGGTCCCGGCTCGGCACTGACACGATGGCGTTTCGGCAGATCAACGATGGGCTTGCGTCATGAGGAATACCTTGTACTGAAGTTAGGGCTTGACCCTAGGCCACAAGTGCACCGGTGCGGTCAGACTAAGCATTCTCTAGATGACTTCTGTATATTTTCGTCTAGGACATCTGCGGACTCTGGTATTCCCGGCTTTTTCGCGCGCTACGGGTCCCCGGCGACTTGAGACCGGGATGAACGAGGGCTGCATGAGAGCATCCCACTCCAGCAACATGCGGCCTCGTTGTGTCCACGTCGTTCCGTGAGTTCTGATCAGTTTGACGTGAATTGACACCGGTGTGGGCGCCGCAGGGTGTCCGCCCGCGAACAGTGAGGCTATTGGGCGGCCGCAGAGCATCCCTCAAAGGTGTTCGTAGTTTCTATGCAATTCTGAGGTCACCATGCAATGGCTATTTTTACGGGGGACGTTCAGCGCAGCGAATGGGGTTAGTGCGACCGGGGATGTATCATACGGCCCCTGGCCCGGAGCGCGTCCCAGAGCCCGGGCGACGACCTTGGCACGGCCAGCCACAGCTCGGCAGCGCGGATGCCGGCGCCTGCCGATCGCTGTTCACGCGCGGCTATGGTATGGGAAACATAACAGCAACGAACAACTCGACCCCGGCCTGCAGCGCCCGTCCAGACAAGTCTTCTTTCCTCCCATCCTCATTTACAGGCTCATCGCCCCCCCGTCCCTCCTTTGACTTTCGTTCTCAGCGCTGCGGGCCATGGCGTACGCATACGCCCCTGCCGACAGCACAAATGCCCTTCAGCCAGAGGTACATTCCCCCGGCGAAGCGACCCCTCGCAGTGACCCGTACTACAATGAATCCCGGGGCTTCATCTCGTCCTCGCGTGGGGGCAAGAAGAAGCACAACTACTTGCGATGGTTTATTATCGCTGTTCCTATCCTCATTGCTATAATTCTTGCTGCCGTCCTCGGCGGCGTCCTGGGCAGCCGGGCCCACCACCATACCTCGGCATCATCATCCAGAGTGGCACAGGCCTCGGCCTCGTCCAGCGAGAGCGCCGTCGCCGCTGCAAGCTCCGCTGCTAGTGTCAAGGAGGCCATTGGCGTCTTCGCCACGGGCACGGACAGCGTGTATATGCTACCCCTGTACCCTTCTACGGTTAGCTGGTTCGATATGAATTGGCGTGGCGCCCGCTTATTTGTTGTCTAGACCAATACAGCTGCCTTCACTAAACCCACCTTCCAGGCGGAAGCGTCTGGTGTCAGTTGGCCCACCGACCCATGGCAACCGTCCAACCCCTCGCCGACCGAGGTACGCCCCAACCGCCCCCGAATCATCGCGCCGCAATACAAGTGGGATGCACTGCCGAATCTCATCAAGAACGAGCCGTACCTCAAGCTCTACAACGACACCATCTTCGGCAATGCGACGGAATACTACAACCAGGATGTCGTCGCGTATTTCCTGGATAGCGGTAACGGTATCCTCGATATCGCGCGTCAGATCAAGATGAGGATCAAGGCATTCTCGTATGCGTACCGCATGACAAATGACACGAAGTGGTCCGACAGGGCGTTCCAGGAGCTTCAGGTAAGGCGTTGTGGTGGTTTGATACGCGCTCCAGCGATGCTCACCGCGTCGTTAGAATGCTGCTGGAAACGGAACGAACAGCTTTGGTCCTGATGATGCGACTCGTTGGAACCCAACTCATTTCCTTGACACTGCGGAAATGACAGCTGCGTTCGCCATCGCGTACGACTGGATGTACGATGCATGGTCGGATACTGAGAAATCGCAGATTCTCTGGACCATGGTGGAGTATGGCCTCAACAACGGTGTTTTCGCTTACACGAACAGCAACGATGGATACTACGGATGGTGGACTAATAACACACAGGGCAACTGGAACTGTGTTTGCAATGGCGGTCTTACGATGGGCGCGCTAGCCATCCTTGGCGATGATACGTCTGGCCTAGCGGAGCAGATACTCGGCTACACCATCCCTAATGCCATTTTGAATTGCGCAGAGGCGGTTACATCAGACGGGACATGGCAGGAGACGCCCAACTACTGGTACTTCGGGGTCACCGGTCATGCCGAGATGATTTCTTCGCTGGTGACGGCCACTGGGTCTGACTATGACCTGCTGTCCACCAACCCTGGGTTTGAATATACCGGTCTCTTCCACATGCATGTCACTGGCCCGGGCTCCATGTTCGAATGGGGCGACAACGGTGTCAACTTGTACTCGACCACCGCCAACCCGATGTTCTTCTATGCCGAGCAGTACAACCACCCCGAGTACATGCTGTTCCAACGTGACCAGCATGATGCACCTTCCGACCCGTGGAGCATGTTCTGGTACAACCCGTCAGTTTCGGGCGCGTTCTGGGATGGATTAAACCTCGACGGCTTCTTCGACAACCACACGGACCAGTGGGGTTCGATGCGCACGAGTTGGACGGACGAGGACGCGTTATTTATTGCGATGAAAGCGGGGATGCTGCAAGGACATCAGACTCACAATGATCTCGACTGCGGTGATTTTGTGCTGGACGCCCTCGGCACGCGGTGGGCGGGAGAGCTGGGAGATGAGAACTACCTTGACACCGGCTACTTCAGCAATGATACGCAGGAAAGTGATCGGTGGCTGTACTATCGCAAGCGGACGGAAGGTCAGAACACCATCCTGGTCAACTACGCGAACCAGCTTGTCACGGCTACGCCTACGATCAGATATGGCACGGACAACACCACGCAGGGATCGAGCACTGTTTTCTCTGTACCTGACAATTCGACTGCCTTTTTCACTGCGGACCTGGCGAGTGCCTACGAAAACGTGTAAGTGTGGCTTTGAACGTTCACTGTGCGTCGGCGCTTATTTAATGTTGCAGGACCTCGTTCCAGCGCGGTATCCGCATGATCAACAGCCGGAAGCAGGTGCTGCTTCAGGACGATATCACCGCAGATGCACCGATCCAGTGGCGCATGCACACGAACGCGACCGTGACCGTGAACAGCGAAGGCAACGGCGCGACACTGCAGATCGGAAACGAAAAGCTTGAGCTCACGGTGCTCTCGCCGTCGAGCGGGTACAAAATCACGACGGAGACACCGGCGGCGCGGTTATCGACGGACCCGCCCCTGCCTTCGGGCCAGACGGACCTGCCGAACACGGGGGTGACGGTGATCATGATCAGCCTGGACGCAGGCACATATAGCCTCCAGGTATTGTTCAACCCGCAGTGGTCCGACATGTCGTCGAGCGAGTTTGTAACACCGCCTTCTGTCTCCGTCAGTGACTGGACGCTGACGAGCCACAACTAATGATGGACGTTTTGATAATTTTTAAGCCCGCCATAAGGACGGATGTTCTGTCTACTATATGACAGTGATGGACCGTCCGCTTGATACCGCAGGATTTTCGTGTCCACACTAGTGTACGATTCTCATTTACTTGCTTTGTTGCGAGAGTAGCTTGTGTGCCTTCTGTGGGACAGTAATACATACGAATGGCACGGTGCGTGCGATGCGAAAGGGATGCTCTTGGCGAGAATTAATGAGGCTGGCGGCGGCTGACGGGCGCTAGCGGGTTGTCAGGCTCGCGCCCCCGCAACGCCGCTTGCAGCTGAACGACGACGACGAGCAGTGCTTGACAACTGACTGTGACCCGCTGCCTTTATTTCCATCCTTTGCCCTCACACTCTTTCACTTCCACGGCCAGTCAGGCTTCCTCCAGGTGTCAGGTGCGTTTAGCTCACGTTCATCTTCCATCTGCCTCGTTCCCTCCTCCATCTTCTCCTCGACCCTCATCCCCTCCGGCTGGCCCACCCATTCTGCACGCCGCTGCTACTCGATTTTTCACGATCTTTTCTCCATCCAGTTTACGCGTAGACGCTGACAGTCGTTTCCTCTAGCCTCTCTCAACAGCTACACACTCGGCCAGGAAAGTATATATAAACATGTTCATCTCAAAACCCAGGAAGGTCACCCTCACACTCGTTTGCCTTGCAATTGCCCTCGCGTTCGCCACCGTCTCGGAGGCCAGCGACTTGACGCTTCAGCGTCGCGATCATGTCGACCTGCGGCGGATGATCAAGAAACGCGCGTCCTCAGATCCAGTGCTGGGTCTGTTCACCGATGGTAATGGTTCTGGTGGCAGCTCGACGGCATCTGATAGCAACACTGCTGCCGCCACGACCGCGAGCAGCGCGGCTGCTGATACCTCGTCGGCGGCTGCCACCACGTCCGCCTCTGCACAGACTTCTTCTGATGCCGCGACCACCAGCTCCTCATCGGCTGCTGCTACGACACAGTCTTCAGTGAGTTTAAAATGCAGCAGTTATCTCAAAATATACAGTATTGACCTCGGATTCACACCCCGCAGTCCTCCGCTGCTGCTGCCACGACATCGGCAACCACCCCGAGCACGTCCGCTGCAGCTACACCGTCGACGTCGGCTCCTTCTGCGACTACTTCTGCACAATCGCAAGCGGCTTCTACGTCTGGTGCAAACACTGCTACCACCGCGCGGACCACAAATGCCAACAATGCTGCGACCTCTCCAGCTGCAAGCGCTACCCAGGATACCCAAGGCTCCACGGATTCAGCTGACGACCAGCTCACTGGCACAGCTACCACCAGCACCATCTTCACAACTCCTTCGAGCAGCGCGTCGTCCGATGCGACCTCCAGCGGCACGTCAAAGACCACCCGTAACACCATCATTATAATCATCGTCATCGCTTCGGTAGTCGGATCCGTTTCCATCGGCTGGACGCTGTTCCGCAAGTGGAAGCTCCGGCCCTCATCCAGCTTCGACGAGCGCATGCAGCCCATCGACTGGCAGCCCACCAGCGACGATAGCGTTAACAAGCGCGCCTCGCACGGCTCGTTCCACTCTGGGACCGGCCATGGCGACTTGGGCGGCTACGGTTTGTCCGACAGCGGGCACGGCACGAGCAACCTCCAGCCCGTCCCCGATCACGACTTCACTGCCGGCGCGTCGCTCGCACCCGTTGGTGGCTATGCCGACCTGCAGCGCTGCCCGAGCCCTCAGCCACAGATGGGCGAACTCGCGCGTGGGCTCAGCATGTCGCGCCCGTCGGATCTCTCACGCAACCCGAGCATGATGCACCAGAACTACGACGGGTACGCCATGCCCCCGCCGCCCGTGCACTATCATGGCGGCGGGTACGACGCGTCCGCGTACGGCTACCAGAACCACATTGGTGCGCCTGGCTATTAGGCGTCCGCTGGCGGGGAGGACGAGGCAGGCTTGTGGCTTGGTCGGCTGACTGACTGATTGATGACGTGCCATTGCTGCTGGTGTTGCTGGAGCCATGTACGCATACAAACGAAGAGAGCTATTCAAGATATACCTTACTTATCGGCCCTTGCCTGGTCATCCGCGCCGGCGTTAAGCTGACTTTTCTACGCCCTATTTGTGTGTGTTCTCGGTATTCTCCACCCTTCATCTGCGGGAATACACTTTGTTCGAACCCTTTCTGCGCCGCTGGACGCGTTCATGTTCGGTGTCCATGGCCCCTTCTTGCTTTCGCGGTTTTCGTCTGCCTTGATGCGCTTGACCCTTAACGACTGCGATACGCGCCACAGCTTCCGGTCTGTGCGTTTGTTCTCCTCCTTCTGGTTTTGCTCGCTCGAGTTATTAGGTTCGCTATGGTTTAGTTCATTTCGTCTGTTCCTGTATCTACGCTTGGTAGAATCCGGACGAAAAATGCGATTGCATCAGCCGTATGTTAGCATCTTGTGTACGTAGGTCACGAGCATTCATATATTGTACTTGAGCTCGCTATGTACATGCGCAGGGGTCCGAACACACTAGAAGCAAGGTGGTGCCAGGGATACGGTGAGGTTCTCCGCAGTTCGTTTTTCGCGTGGTCGAAGCAGCGATGGTACGCGATATGATGTACGGATCGTGCTAAGAACGACGATCAACAGCCGACGAAGACGTCAATGGCAACGAAAGGTCTTCTTAGTCGCTTTCGGCACTACTAGTACTGTCCTCATCGTCATCCTGCACGAGCGCACTGAAACGACCCGCAGCGCCGCTAAGGCTCGTCTTGCCGAGTCCTTCGTCCTCTTCCTCAATCTCGCTAGCGGCTTCTGCCTGCTCGTCGTCGCGTGCTTCGTCGATATCCGACTCGGCTGTGTGCTCGTCGCCAGACTCTAGTGCGCCATCGTCTCGGTGGGGGATCCATATACCCAGGCCGCCATCGCCCTGCGAGTTTTGAATGGTCTGCGGATCCGTACCCGGAGGCCAGAAGGCCCATCGGATCTTTCCTTCTGCAAGTGCGCGCAGTACTGTATGACCAAGCGTCAGTATCTGGGATCAAGATCCTATTGTTTAATCGAAACGACGTACTCGCGTTTCCCGCCCGGCTCACGTCCGGCCTCCCAGTCCTCGCAGTCATCCAGCTTTTCTTGAGTGCATACGCCGTGAGCACGTCCATTGCCGTCCACACTGCGGTTCTTTGGGCCTCCGCGTCCCGCGGACGCATGCCCTCTCGCCATGTGCGCTTGTCCTCTGGCGGCGGGGTGGCAAGCTCAAGGTTCGTGAGGCCGTAGATGCGCTCGAGTGGTAGGAGCTGCGCCGCGTGGTAGATGCAGAGCGGAATGGCGGAGACCCGGGAGATGGGGAGGATGCCACTGAGGACCTAGAGTGAACATGCGTCGGTTCACTTTTCTCCGACACGACGGAGAGTGTGTGCTGATGAGACAGCGTGGACTAACCTGCATTTCCATCGGCACATAATTTGGCATGACGAGCCCGGGACAGTCCACCAGACGCACGTCATGTGTCCAGAAGAGCGTCTGGAAGTGTTTAGTCTAGCGTACCGATGCAACGGAAGTCAGCGAGTCTACGCAATATTTGTTCTTGCGTCACTAGCATGCGTACCTTACCCGGCGTCCGTGATGCCTTCACCTTGTGCGTTCCGAAGAGCGCGTTCAACAATGAGGACTTGCCTACGTTTGGCTGGCCTGGGAAGAGCGTGAGCTAGTGTGGACGATATGGTTCAGGAGCGACCCACCGATGACACCGATTGTTAGGAACTGTGGTTCGCCTTCCTCTTCTTCTTCTTCAAATTCTTCCTCGCCTCCGATCTCGGAAGTATCCTCAGCGTGTTGACGCACACGAGGTTCAGCGGCTCCACCCACTACGCTTCCGACCTGCCCTCCTTCCGCTCTCAGGACAGCGTCCCAGTCAATTTCTCTCGGAGCACGAGGTTTCCAGCGCTGTAGTTTCTCCGGTTGGCTCTTTACATGCGCGGGTGGCTCGAGCAATTCCTCATGCGTCTCGCGCAGGGCGTCCACTAAGGTTCTGCGAAAGCCGGTTGGAAGACGAGGTTCGTAGGCGGTTCTTCTGCCCGTCGCACCGGCACCTTCCTTCTCAGTGTACGATTCGACCTGCACGATGCGCATGCCGGGATAGCGCGCATTTAAGTAGCGCGTCCACGCCTCCGCTCGCGTAGGACCCGATATGTCGACCTTCGTGAGGACGAGGATCGTCCGCGTCCGGTTGACATGGGTGCGCGAAGAGAGATAGGCAGCAAGGGAGGGTGGGTAGTGCAGGATCGGGCAGCGGGAGTCGAGGAGAACGAGGATAACTTGGGAGATCTCAGTGACGCGCCAGCTGAGGAGAGTGAGGGCGAGCTACGGAGTGGCACACCAGAAGAAGACGTACAGTTGGCGCCAGACTTCGAGATTGCGCTCGAAGGAGGTCGGGGCGTGCGGCATTTCGAGTTCGGGCGTGGACTCGACGTTCTTCCCTTTCTCGGCAATATTGTCCGCGGGCTCCGCCTCCGAGACTGGGCTGCACCATGCATTGACGGCGGCGTCGGTCTGTGCAAGCCACTTCCTAAAGAGCCCCTCCTCGTTGGCCTCGACCTCCCTCTTGCTCATGTCGTATCTCCACTTTGGCCGACTAGGACAAGTCAAATTCATCTCGATCTGTCCATCAGCATCAGCGGCCTGTGGTGCCAATCTTGAGCGCGGTGCTGCGTGCTCGCCGGCATCGGACAAAATGGCTGCTTCAGGAGAGATGGGTCGTATGAGCGGCAGCTTGGCTGCGAGAACGCGCGTCTCCTCTAGGAATTTGGCAGGGAGTTTGATGAAAGATGACTGAAGACGAGCAGGTGCTACGGTGCTGGACGGCTCCGCGCTGGATGTCCCAGGGCCAAGGGAAGCCTTCTTACTTTTGCGGCCATGGCGGTCGAGCTTGGGCGGAGGAGAGACATCGCCGCGTTTGACGGCGCGCTTGAGCTGAATCTGCTCTTTCTTCTGCTTTGATGAGAACGGCTTTTTGCGATGCATTGTATGCGTATACGCGGGTATAACGTAAAAGCAGTGTATAGTGTGTCGAGGAGGAGCAACGTTGTGAATCTCATTCATCTCGCCTACGCGAGCGGGCGTCTGCAAGCCGATCTCGATTGGCGCGCATGTAATTAATTTTGGCGAATTGCGGCCAGCGCAGCGGCGTTCGATGTGTCGTCCTGCTCGCTCGCATCCTCATGCATCCAGCGCGCTGCGAGCTTGGTGGCGCCGCTGTCCGACGTTTATTGTCTCTGAATTCAGCGAGCCACTTGGCAATCTAGGCAAGGACGTGTTTGATACGACAGCGCCGACCACGCCCGCAGCCTAGCATCCACGATCAGCTGCTCGCCATTGCGCCCGTCCTCTGGAATCAAAACACTGGTGTGTGCGAGGATCGCATACAGGCATCTCAGTTCCGTTAAAGGGCTATATTTGAACCCATTCGGAATGCATCCTGATGATCGAGGAAGCATGCGCGCGACGTGACTGCCTCTGAGAAGACGCCTCCGAATCATTTACGCAGGTGCCGCTTGCCCTCACAACCATATGCCGCCCTCCTCCAGCTTCATCCCTGCGTCCATGGCCTCTGCGATAGAGCCCATTGTGGTCTATCGCCCGAGCTCCTCCACCCTTCGCCTCCCCGCTCTTCCCCTCGATTCCAGGCCGCCCGAGCCAAAGAAGCAGCCTCCTCGCGAGGACAAGTTTATCATGTCGAACGGCTGCAAGTTGCACAGCTATGGCAGAGACAAGGCCCCGTATCCGATGTCGTACAACCGAGAAGACCTCGAGCTGTGAGTCCTTCGTCCCCGGTTACCCGCGGGTCGTCTGACATCCCACCAAGTGGCGTCATGGACTGCCAGGTTGTGAAACATGTCAAGGAAGGGTCGTGTTCTTTCCTTGATTTTAAAAAGGATGACCAGCCCAAACGCTGTCTCGACGTGGGCACTGGTGTACGTGGCACGACATCTTTCCTTCCTGGCGTCCGTCTCAACCCCCTTCTCCCCTCCGACCAGCTAGGCGCTTGGGTGATTGACGCTGCAAAGCAATGGCCGGAGTGCACGTTTGTGTGTGCATATGCTTTATTTGCGATTCGATCCCGTTTCATCCGTTATCGGCCAGGTCGGGTATGATCTGGTGAACGTCCAGATACCACTCAGCGTGCTGCCACCATCCATTGCAGAACGTATCACATGGGTGCACGGAAATTTGTGCGTTATCATCTCGACTGCCGATTTCACTGCGCATGCCCTAATGTCAGACATAGCTTGAGAACACGATTTCCATTTGAGGACGAAGAGTTTGATCATGTACATCTGTCAGGGGTGGCGTTTGCGGTCCCTGAGAACAAGGTTGCTCCTCACCTCTGCCGCTTGTATGCCGTAGCCTGACCTGCTGTTACAGTGGATGTCCATGTACGAGGCACGTACCCTTGTCAGCGTCCGTGAAGACCGCTGAACATGACGTCTTCACCAGGAAATTCGCAGAGTGATGCGAACCGGCGGCACGATAGAACAATTGGAGGAGGGTGAGTGTGTCAGCTGCTCGGACATATTGACGGGTTATTCACCGGTAATAGATGCTATCTTCCCGGTTTTACCGCGTTGGTTTACCGAGCCTCTACATGCACATTCACGAGGACCGTATATGCATCGTCCTGATGGCACTCAGCAGTCTTCGCCGCCGTCACCCGCCCCTCTCGATCACCCGCATGAACATGCTCTGCTGGAGTCCCTGTTTAACGATGTTTTTGAGAATCGGTTTATCAACCCTACGCCTAGCTGTGGGTATATTTCACCCGCTTCGTCGACCCCGTATCGCTGATCGTTTCGCAATATGATGCAGCCACATTGCCATCCTATTTTTCCGCGTGCTTTGGTCATTTGTACATGCCACCACCTCTAACATACCCCATGCCGCCACTGGCGCCATTTGCCCCTCTGCCTGCCGAGATTACACCTCACCCACAGGCCACCGAGGCGAATCGAAAAACCGAGGAAGCGACACCGCTACCACCCGACCTCGGAAGCGACGTCAGCCTCTCCATTCCCACTGCTTCCACCTCCACGTTACAATCAACCTCGAGCGGTTCATTCGACTCGTCAGCACAAAAGATTGGCAATGCTTCAGATTTGCCGTCGCCCCACCCGAGCTTCGAGCGCTCCTCCTCCGTCGCCTCTACGAATAACTCATCCAGCAGGACATCCTCTGGGTCCTCCAGAGAGGTGGAGCGCGGTCCGCCGGTGCCGAGTGCGGACCTGTGCAAGGATAGCACGTCCACGGGCGCGGCGGGCCTGCTGCCGATCGACAAGATCCTTGCCCTGGACGAGCATTCGCTGAATATGCAATTGCTGCGCGCGCTAGGGCTGGTGATGTCAGCGAAGGAGGCGATGTGGGAGGAGCTGGTGATAAGGGTGCAGAGGAATGACGAAAGCTTGAGGGAGTTTGGATGGGAGGAAGGAGATTATCCGGTTGGGCCGAGTAGGGCAAAGTTTGATGCCTTGATGGAACAGTATAGAAGGTGAGTAGCAATATTGTTCGAGCATCAGTTCTGGTTTTCTGGTATTAATGGGAGGCATGTTCTAGCGATGTTCGCGCTCGAGTGTCGCTTTGGCACTCGATGGTACTGAACGGCTGGGAATACCCACGGCGCGATCCCATCTCTAGAGCAGAGATGCTCGAGGAGGAGCGCCTTCGGGAGGACATCCTGGAGGCGCGGCGGAATGCAAACGTCATAGAAGAAGACTCGCATCCTTTCAGCCGGTCGACGCGACTGCTGGTTGGAGCCAAGGTGCGAATGGAGCTCCTTTCATGAAATGGAAGGCAAAACAAGTCTGAATTGATATTTCTTGCTGTATGTTATACCCTGTACCGTACGGATGTCTCCGCCTTGATGATACCCACATACCCATGTGCATTCGAGCTGCTCTGAAACACGCTCACGTGATTGACGCGTACTCGCGCCGTCCTCTCATGAACGACGACGACGGATCCCTCTGATCTTTGCTGTCGAGACGCACTCTTACTGCCTGAATGCTGGTTGACCTCGAGCCAGCGATGGAACTTCGTGCATTGCGTTTCAAGCTGGCGGGCTGCACCCACGTGCTGCCAGCCTCTCACGAGTTTCTAGTCAAGACATAAACTGCACCGACATAGCTGGCTGCTTGCAGGTTTCCTTCCTTCTTATTTTATTTCACCTCTGGGAAGCCGGTCTTTCCACTTCATTCGCTCATTTTCGCTTTTCCTGCCATTATGTCTGAATCTCCGCCTCCGCCACGCGCCCGAGACAGCATGGACAGACATCGCGCAGCGCTACGCCTTGATATTCCTGAAACCGCACTCACACGAGATATTGCCGGACGGTCGGACCCATATCGCGACTATCCTACTCCCCATCCCGCCAAACTTAGCTCATCTGAAGATTACTTCGATGACTACGAGCTGGGACGTCCTTCTACCATTCAGCATGAGGACGATGTTGATGTGGGCCCTCTTTCCCGAGAACGGTCTCCAGTGTACGACGGTGGCGCCTCGACTGTCGACCATAGCCAGACACGGCCTCCTCTTTCGCCTTGGTCGTCTTCCACGATTGAGCCTATGCTCGCCTATACTTCATCTCCAGAACAGTATGGCTTTGATGAGGACGAACATAGAGGCGGTGAGCGTCAAGACCGCGGGGGTGCCTTGCCTACGTTGCGCAACACGCGGCCGGCCCGCGCCGTCCACTTGTCCCGTCGAATCAGTGGTGACGGAAGACGTGAGGAGCAAGCTTCATCGGACACTAGCTGCGAAGATATGAAGCGGACAGACTCCGTGTCCTCCGAGATCGACGGATGTGATGAGAAGGAGAGAAAGTCCTCCGCTATCGGCTCCAAATCGAGCTACCGCGAGAAGGCTCTGCTAAAGCGAGGCAGAAAGCGCCGTGAGATTGTCCGCCACGCTGAATGTAAGCCACTTGCATGAACTTCTTCGGATTGGGCTGAGACGAATTTGTTGCAGCTTACGCTAGAAGGCAGAAGTTCGCCCTCAAGCTCGCCAAGGCTCTGCTTACCTTCGGGGCACCTTCTCACCGGATAGAATCTCAGCTGGATGCTGCCTCCGCCATCCTCAAGCTGGATGCGCGTTACGTCCACTTTCCCAACCTCATCATCGTGACGTTCCTAGACTCGGACACGCGCACATCCGAGGTCCACTTTGTCAGGGCTAGCGGCCGAGTCGCCCTCACCTCGTTGCACAAGGTCCACCTGGTTTATCGACAGGTCCTTCACGATAAGTTCAGCGTGACAGAAGGCACGGACGCTCTAAATGAGATCCTCCGCGCGAAGCCGCTGTACCCCATTTACCTCCGCTGTATGCTTGCATTCATCTGCGCTTCGGTCATTTGTGTCCTGGCCTTCGGTGGATCTATCCTGGATATGTTCATCAGCGGCGCGAGTGCCTCCGTTCTGCAGTATCTCGGGCTCAGAGCGGCGTCGAAGAGTACGATATATGCGAATGTCTATGAGTACGTGCTTACAATCCTGATGGAGGCATTTGCTAATACCATCGCGGATAGAATCTCGGTGTCCATCATCGTATCGTTTATAGCTCGTGTTCTGGCCTCAATTCCTGGCAATATCTTCTGTTACACTTCCATCTCGTCCGCTGGTGTCGTCTTGATCCTTCCTGGTTTCACCGTCTGTACGTCCTTCAAAACATGTCAATAGTGCACGCATCCTGACCTAACTGAATGGTGTTCGAATCAGTGATCAGTGCCCTCGAGCTGACTGCCAGGAACATCATGTGCGGCTCGGTCAGAATGGTCTATGCCATTATTTATACACTGTTTCTAGTATGTGTCTACTCTGCCGATCCCGCATCTGGCGCTGACGTAGCATGAAGGGCTTCGGGTTGACTATCGGCTCGGAGTTCTACTTGATGGTCAATCCCGAAGCTCGGCACGTCCTCGCCGCGACGAACAAACTCGAATCTCACGTCTACCACGGTTATATCCTCGCCAACAATGCATCTATACCGCTGGAGGACCTGGGTGGGACATACTCCTTCACCGATGCCACCCTGGCTGCCACTCGTGTGATCAAGGGTGCGTCACTCATGACCATGCGGTCTTGCGCCTTTGCTGAACTCTTGTTCAGGCTGTTATCGCGACCCACAATGGCCATGGTGGAGACAGCCGTTCCCTTGGTGGACCGCACTGTTCCTTGTGCCGCTCTACTCCATCTGCTCGTCCTTCGCCAACCTGCAGTCCCTTCGCAGCGTGCAACTGCCCGTCATGGTGGCCATCTCCTGCGCAGCCTATGCCGCCAACCGAGGAGCCAACCTCCTGGTGTCAAACAGACCGGATATCATCTCGGCGTTGGGATCTATTGTCATCGGCCTCTGCGGGAATGTGTACGCCCGGTTGGTCGGCGGTACGGCCTTCACGTCCATGGTCACCGGCGTGCTGTTTTTGGTTCCGGTAAGAATGCTTTGCAGCTCGTCATCGTTCGTCATCTGACAACACGCCTTCTAGTCGGCGATTGGTAATGGAGGAGGCCTGATCCAGAATTACAACACTTCATCCGCACAGTATTCGAACTACTTCGATCTGGGCGTCCGTATGGTCGAGGTTGCTCTCGGAGTGACACTCGGTCTCATCGTTGCCCAAATGATAGTATATTCCTTGGGTCGGAAGAAAAACGCCGGGCACTTCGGATTCTAACATGACATTGTTTGCACGGATCGATGTATCTACGGTAGATTTATCATTTCTCATAAGATAACCACATTAATACACTCGAGAGTACTGCATGGGATCAGATCAACAATTACAAAGCAAATGAGGAGGAAGCAATACAATATAGCGCTGGAACAGTCTAAGTGGTAGGAAAAATAATATCATAATGCATAGGTTATTCAGGGGCCACCAAACAGTGCGTTCAACTCCTCCATACGACGTTGGAGCATCTCAGCCTTTGTGAAGTTCGTTCCCAACGTCATATTAGCCAACTCGGTCTTCTTTCTCTGCACCTCTAGCAAACGAGCCTCAATAGAATGCTCAATGATGAACTTGACTGTTGTGACGGGCCGTGTTTGCCCCAAACGATGCTGCGAACTTGGCGTTAACGATCAGTCTGACTGGACGGGAAGAGTACTTACGATACGATCAACGGCCTGATTTTCTACAGCGGGATTCCTGAACGGCATTCAGCGACATACAGTGACCGCTTCCCCGGTCACGCTCACCAGTATGGATCCATGAGATATACTCGTTGAGCGGCGGTCAAATTCAAACCTACTCCACCCGCCTTCAAGCTCACGAGGAGAACCTCACAGCCAGGGTCGTTCTTCAGTGCCTCCATGGCCCGTGTGCGCTCGTCACGCTTCATCGTGCCATCAAGGCGATCATACCGGATGCCTGCGACTTCCAACGCATCCTCTATCCTGTAAAGGTGTCAGAAGGCATCCTGCTAGATGCAGACGTTATCTCACTTATCAAGCATCGTTGTCCATTGAGAACTACGACCGCAACCTTAGTATCGCATGCATCGCAATGAGTGAATGGACTTACAAAACTACAGTCTTCACGATCCCCTCTTCAAGAGAATTGCCCTTTTTGTCGACCACCTGCACCTCAATAGAAGCAGGATCGTAATTGGTCGAATACGGGTTCGCCTTGGAACATACGATCAAATCATTGAGCAACGCCTTGATCTTCGTAGACATATGGACATTTTCCAGCGAACCGCCCTTCTGCCTCTTCTCCTTCTTCACCGACTTTTTCTTCGGGGTCTGATCGCTCAGAACGAGATCAGGGTTGACCTCCACCACGTCCTGTACTGCAAGCGGCGTCTGACATATCGAGCAGTACCAGTGAGCGTCCGATGATGCGTTCGGCCACCCCGGAGCAATGGAGCTCCGGAAGCAGCCACTGCAAAACAAGTGCTGGCAACGAGTGAGTATGGGGCGCGGCACAGACGGGCTATTTTGCCGCGTCGACGTGCGAGAAGCCGCCTTCGACTTCCTCCCACGCTTCGAGGATCCTGGAGTCTGGTCGCCTTCTGCCAGACTGCCATCTCCCGGCGAGCCGTCGATATTGCCTGCGAGCTCGCAGCCACACTCCACACACTGTGTGGCGCCAGTTTCTCTAAGCAGGGCGAAGATCGTCGATGCCCTTTGTGAATTGAGTCCTTCTCGAGCAACTATAGCGACAACGTCGTCGTACGATAGTGGGGACCCGTCGGCGGCAAGCCTCTTCTGCTGCACCAGCTCGTAATGATCACAGATCTGGCGTAGACGTAGGATCTTCTGCAGGATGCCGACATAGTTCTTCATCACCTCGTTTTTGTTCGAGAGTTCGCGGAACTCCGCCTTCGACTCCGTGAAGTACTGGTCATATATCTCCTGTTCGTGCTTGTCGAACTTCAGGTACCGAAGCTCGTCTTTGCGAGGTGGGAGGGAGAGGATCCTCTTGCCGTCCTCTGCCTTTGACTCCTTAGTCCGACGCAAGGTGATGCATTTCATGATTGTCTGCAGACGAACAACACCAAGAGGCTGACCATATTTGACGGGAGTGCCGATGAACTCGGTCCAGACAGCCTTGTCGTCCAGGGGCTCCAGCCGGAGGAATTTAATGAGAGCATACACATCATCCAGCTTGTTCTGGACCGGTGTACCCGTCAGGCAAAGGCGACGATCAGCAAGAAGATCGCAGGACGCGCGACAACCGATAGTGGTAGGCTCCTTGATCGAGCTGCAAACAACCGTCAGAGAGACACACGCAGGTATTTATGCGACGCGGGCTTACTGAGCCTCATCAAGGACTACCCTGAACCAGTACACGCTCTGCAACGGACTGCTCAACTCAGTGTACCCGTTCGCACCGGCGCCCTTCTTCCGCTTCTTCGCACTCGCCTTCTTCGGTTTCGGCAACTTGATGTAGTCGTTATCTCGGTCGACGTCGTCATCACTGCTGTTCTCCTCCTCGTCCTCCTCCTCCAGCGTCACCATACTCTTCATCTGCTTGGAGAATTCAGTCGCGAGCGTGGCGTACGTCGTGATCACTGCGTCAAAGTCGGCGAGGTATGCTGGGTCGGCCTTGCGCGCGTTACCATGGTACACGTACACGCGCAGCGGAGCGCCCTCCCGCACTCTCGTTGACATCTTCAACGCTGGAGGCTTGACATCTTCATCAACCGAAAACGTAGTCTGCGATGACGACGCGAAGGTATGCAGCGACCCGGACGAGGTTCCATTCTGCGGCGTACAGGGCGTTGAAACGCTGGCTCCTCCGCCGACAACAGTGACCTCACCCCGCCAGTGCTCGCGGAACTGGTCTTCCCAGTTGACCACGGTAGACAACGGGCACACAATCAGGGTAGCGCGGCTCTTCGCCTTGATCCTACTTAGCCTGATGTACTCTGCCCGCTGTTTGTCATGTTCTCGAGAAACCTGCGCCTTCTTCTTGGAAGAGCTGGCCTCCTGGGGCGGCGGCATGCCCCACACGCTTCCATCAAAGTGCGCCGCATTCAACGCAGGCTCAGCAGGCTCTGAAGGGGGCGGCTCGGGCATCACGAGAGGCGTAGCAGCGAACTCTCGCGCAGACTTCATCGTCGCTGCCATCAAGGCTACGCATGCGATTGTCTTCCCCAACCCCATCTACAGAGCAAATCTACTTCAGCATCCCTCGGGACATTGCACGCTAGGATCCACGCACATCATCGGCGAGGATTGCGCTTTTCGCCTCGTGAGGCTCAGTGAATGTCTCTCTTTGGGTGACAATGTGGTACCAGGATCTTTGGCCAGATATAGGATTGAACCTCTCTTGCCAGAGAGAGGAATAGTGGCCTCCGTATGCAGGACGTTCCCGTTCCCGTTCAAGCAAGAACGTGAGCGCCTTCTTCTGATGTGGGTACAGTGTGGTGGCAATCTCCGGCGCTGCCGGCCAAGAACCAATGAGCGGGTCAGTGCAATAACACAATGACATGATCACTTACGAGCCTCCGTCTCTTCCAACTCATCGCCATCTTTCAAACTCTTGAACAGCTCGTCCACTTGGCTCCGTTGAACTTCAACACTCTTGCCCGAGACCGCCGGAGTAGCCCACCGGCTCATACCACTGCCGCCGGGGCCAGAATATCCTAATCGACCAATTCCTGTGAGGGCACGAGCGTGTCCACCTGGAGGCGGATTGTGCGGATTGTAATAGTATTGGCTCATGACCCGCTGTACATCAGACGGCAAAGTCGGGTGGTCGAGGAACAGGCCAGATTGATGTAGGAAGTTTGCGACGACGGGTATGTTTCCCTTCGGAGTGTACACCAGCATTTGCAGAGGCAGGATCGGAAGCTGCGCGGCCCAGTGAGCTGGACGCGATAGAAGGGGGAGAATCTTCACTTACAGTCGGTGGACCTCTCCGTACCTTGGCATCTAGCCGTATCAAACCTTTCCCTAACATCGGCCCAAGATACGTCGCTACTTTCTGTTCCACTACGCCGAAGTTCTCTCCAGGGACGATCTCACCAGTAGGAGTTCTCATCGGAGGCGTCTTGATATGAATAGTTTCCTGGCCAGCAGCTTTGTGTGGAGTGTGTTCATAACATAAACGAACCGGCGCCCAGTCTGAGTCTGCTGCCACATGGTCTTGCGGCAAGAGATACGGGATGGGATACAAGACAAGAGCGGTCGCCGACAACTGGCCTATGCACACTGGTGTCTTCGGGGGCAGATCGACGGGCAAGTTTCCGTTCTGTGGCTGCTGGAGCCGAGGAGGTCCAGGAGGCGGTGACGGCGAACTGGTTAGATCAATGACTTGACGCTCTGATCCGTTAGACGAGTGTTCGGGATTCGCGTGCGGGAGGGGAGAAGGAGGAGATACGTGGCTCGCTGTGGCGCCATTCTGAGAGGGCAGCTGCCGAAGATGAAAGGCCGAGGAATTAGAGGGACCGGTGAATTGCGGCGTATGAACAGTATTTGGCGTGGATGGGAATGGCGGTGGATCAATGCTATGCGCGGGGTGACTCCAAAAAGAGCGATCAATGGGTGACTGTGCCATGGGCGAATGCAACGTCGATGTGGACATCAAAGGTGTGAGATTGGAGGATTGGGGCGCATGGTAGACAGTGCTTTCATCATCGCCAGAATAGCCGCGAGAGGCGTTGAAATCGCGCGTATCAGTGCATGGTCGTTTGCAGATCCTGTGCTGGTAGGCAGAAGCAGCGTCGTCGTCGTCATCGAGGGTGAGGTCAATAGGATCAGACCGCGAGTAGGATCGCGCTGGTGGCGCTGCCATAGTGCGCCCAAATGGTTGGGCAGCAGTGCTAGCAGAGGCATGCGAGGACATCATAAAAGGCTGCGCCGGGCTGAGAGGTCTGTATGTAGAGGAGGGGCGCCGCTATCCGGCGGAGAGAAGAAGGATGTCGTCGAGGAGGAGGAGGAGGAGACTCAGGTGTGCATAGGGACACCTCAAGTTGTTGCCCGAGGATGTTATCCACACGTGACTAAGCAGCGTTGAGGTTGGGAGCAGAATGGAACGTGGGAAAGTGCCCCCGGAGTGCCTCTTGCGCCGGGCCAAAGCTGTGTCGAAGACGTGCTGCTTTTCATTTACGACGGACGGCCTTGCTTGAGGCTCATTCAGCAACTCCCTGTGGTTCTTAGTCATTCCGCCGAGCCACGCACTCTCTGCCCCCTTCTCGTGCTCTGTCGTTTGATTTGTCATTTCTCCCGGCATACTCTCTCTCCCTTCGGCTCTCTTTTCCCAGGCGCGACGCTCGTGGAAACTCACTCATTCTAACTCTTAACTGTCGTTGCTCTTGACGTGATCGCCGTAGACCTCGGACGTTGCGTGTGGCTGAATTTCCAGCCATCGCACCACTGCCAGTGGAAGCTCATCTTCAGGCTGTGCAAGGCAGTGACCCTGATATCTTTGTTATCCAGAACTCACGTATCGCATGGCAGCGTACCACTCGAAAGATGAAACGCGAACCGCACAAAACCACCAGGTGAGCCAGGGGCGCTGACGATGGGAGACCATACAGGCACCTTCACATGCACCGTCAATACCCGGACGCGACATTGGAATCTCGATATCAGCATGCGACTGCATTGACAGTGGCTAGAAGCCGACGGCTCACAAATCTCCATCGTGTGCCGACATTTTTCGTTCCGCGTTCCATAACAAGCCGGGCGCGTTATTCGTTACATTTCTCTCCGCGTATCATGGCGAGCCCATCGCCCGATCTTGTTGGCATCCTTTTATGGACCTTAGGCCTTATGGGCTGATCGTGTCTTCACCGAACGCTGCCCGAGCCCCATACCCGTCTGGTCTCCCCACGTGAACTCTCTCCATCTGTCAGGATGTCTGATAGTGCGGAATCCGGCTGTGTATCTGCATCAAAGTCTCAATGTCCAACAGCTACGACCCATGGAGTCGTATCACGTCCGAATGCGTAAGCAACTATTAGACTTCGACAAAGGCGGAGCTAGTGGAGTGCACACGACATAAACCGTTCGGTATCAGCTGTATCTTAATCGTAGTGCACTCATAGTAAACACACGTGCAGAGCATGTACAGAGCAGAATACAGTAGTCTGACTCACACTACCGGGCCACAAATTCAAACAGGTTAAATTCAACGAAGCAGTCAAAACAAGGAGTACAGGCTCGAAATATGTGGTATGTTTTCTGGTACGTGATCAGCAGTGCACTGGCATCAGCTGTAAATCGGCGTCGTCGACATCGAATACGTCAGGGACACTGAGGATATCTCGGTGTCGAAGAAGATGAACAGACAGACAAGAAAAGAAATGGCATAATGTAGAACTTTAGGCAATCGGCACAATTTTTCTCATGAAAAATTGCTCACCACAGCTTAAGTGATGGTGACAAGGTGCTTCAAGTTGAGCACAAGTGAGACACATCATGATATAGGTGCACGCCACCTCACATCCCACACTGGACACACCTCATTTGTGCTCGACTTCGCCTTGGAGCATCATGTCACAATCACTTAAGCGGTAGCTCATTCTTTGATGGGCTTCATGTGGACTTGAACCATTCCACACTAGCACCGCAATGAATATGGATGCGAAACGTGCCCCATATATATTCCGGAGACATGATCACAAATACCTCACTTGAAAGCGAAGCATGTGTGATCATGTCGAAGCTAGGCTGTCATGGTACAAATACAAGTACAACGATAGCTCTGTAAAACGGGGACGGATGACGGGAGAACCGTTTCAGGCACCTTCACAACGCCGTGAGTCATTGGACATCGGAGGTGGGAGTCGCAGGGCACTCACGAGGTGCCCATCCCATCGAATAATACGCCTGTCTCGCTGCTTCCTCTTTGGCGAGCTGCTTGCTAGCACCAGAACCTTCGCCTTTGGGGATACCGTTCACTGTGTTTCGAAGATTACTAATCCACGGCCAGAGACAAAAGCGTGTGAACGACGCACCAACGCACTGAACCGTCCAACGCCCAGCATGTGCAGGGCCTGAAAATTGCGCCGGATACTCAACCGCCAACCTGCGTTGGTTCGCCGTCTGGTTGAACAGCGGCAAAAACGCAGCTTGGGGCTGCGCAGGGGCAAGCGGGTTAATGGGCAACGGCGGCGGCGGAGCCATGGGAGGAGGTGGCTGGTGCATGGTAGGAGGCGGTGTCGGCGAGCTCATAGGTTCGGTTTTGACTCTCTTGTATGTGTATGGCTCGCCGTCGGCAGCTGGAACGGGCGGTTCGTACTCCGGATCGATGAGCTGCCCGATCCAGTTCTGCACCGTCTCCATCCCATTCTGCACATAGACTGCACCGACATACGAACAGAAGAGCAAATTTGTTTCCTACGATCTGTTGTCGATAATGCGGATGCGGCGCATGATATGCGGGGACTCACCTTCGGGTTTGTGAGGGTGGCAACCGCATCAGGGCTGCAGCGTACTTTCTCTCTGAGCTTGTAGTTGATAACCCAATTGTTGTAATTCGCATCGGAGAGGACCTCCATGCGCTGGGACTACTCGCGATCGCGACCGATCAGCACGCCGCAGGGCCCCGCCACGCATGTAACGCACCTCGATCTCCTGTGCCTTTATCATCGGTTTCTTATTGAAGAGGGTGAACGTCACTGCAGTTTCCAACACCTTCTCACCCAGCACCGACAAGCGTTCGTTGTCGCCATACTCGGACTCTTCGTTAGTCGGGGCTCCAGGGAAGCGCAGAGACTTGTGGGTGAAGACCTCGAGGATGATGTCGCCACGCAGCTTGGGAGCAGGCGGGGGAGCATCCATGTTGGTGGAGGAGGGACGTGGACGCTTGAGATTGGGGGCTTGAGAACCCGTTCTAGCAATTGAAGAATCCGCTGAGCCAGCTGAGGAGGGCCACGTGCCTTCTAGAGGCGATAAAGTTGAGATTCAACATGGCGAGAAAGGGCGGCGAGGAACGACAACGTACCCTGCGAGGGGGCAAGCCACTGATGTGTCTCGGATTGCATGCTCAAGCCTTTCACTTGCGCTTTGACCATCAAAGAAGACTGGAAAGGTGTGTCACCGAAGTTGTCCGACTTGCGAGTCAGGTCAACAATTGGTAAAGCCCGGTCCTTTACACGTACAAATAGGCTGCTTTTGAAGGCCCACTGCGCGGCTTCCCGACCGCAGTTGCGGTGGCAAAAATCGCGGGCCCCAAACTTTCTTTTCACAGCCACATTATGTTAGGCGCCACTGCCGCCACTCGCTCCAGGCCCTGGCCGACGGCGCTAGTATGCGGCCGAGCAGCTCTCAGAATGAAACGAGTATTCTTGTGTATGCTATGCATAATCGGACACGTAATAGGTTACAACAGGCGGTTATTCCTGTGCATTCACTGCAACATACACGCGGCACCCTGGGAACATTTACACAGCATCTGCGGACAAGCACGCGTCTGTGGACGCCCTCACGGAAGATTCGGTCTCACTGCGGGATACACAAAATGCGCATTAGTACGTAACTAAGGACACCGTCAATGCATGTAACCCACCTGCATCGATCCACAACGGCTGGTCAGTACCGTTGGGATATGGCGTCATCGAAAGGATGTAGTCAGTCGCGAAGGAACCTGCAGCCCAGACGGAGAATCCGACGAGGCTTGGGTAAGCCGACTTCACATACGCCAGTTCTTGTCCGAGACTGGTGCATCACGTTACGAACGAACCAAACAGCTGGACCTGAAAGGAGAAACGCACTACTCTTCACAGCTTGCGGTGTCGCCGCCGCCGGTCTCGCTGAGAACAGCTTGTCGGTTGCCGTTGGCTTGCATCCAGCTCACAAGCGTCTCCAGAACGACGGTGTTGTTCTATTGCACGGAATCAGAGTCCATCGCACTTACATCACACTACGATGCCTACCGTGACACACTCAGCGTGCGTGCCGCTGTTGTCGTAGTCGAGATACTTGTGCACTGTACAAATCCAGTTATATATGCGCCACATATTGATTGCCACAAGGACTCGCCATCGAAGATGAGCCGTTCGGTGTTACCGAAGAGGGGGTCGGTCACGTCGAGCAAGTACGGGCCCGCGCCTGTGGGGAACGTCTGCGCCGAAGTATAGTTAGAGCCTGGAAGCAGGAGGTAGTTCGTCGCTCCCGTCGAACGGATGGCGTTCACGACGTATTGCACCGACTCGGCCCATGTAGGGATGTCGAGATCGTGCGGCTCGTTCATGATACCTCTATGATACACCAAGTCAGCATGGATGGACTGAGCGGCTGAAGAGTACTGACAAAAGAAGCCTATCGTTGTTGCCATAGAGTGCTGCGAGCTGCGTCCAGATCGAAGCGTATTGCTCGTTGGTGGGACCACCCTGGGCAATGATACCGCCGTTCCAACGTGCGTAGTTATGCTGCAACACCGCAAGTTAAAGATGTTAGTGATACGGTGTGCGACATGCTCACAAGATCGACGATGGCATGCGCGTTAGGGCTCGAAGCCAGTGCGGCTTGCACGGTCACATCGTACTCTTCGTTGAAGAAGGTCATATTGATGGGACCACCCAGGACCGGGGTCATCTCCTGCCACGCTGGATGACAGGTCAATTCACTGCGCAAAATTCATGATATTAGATTGACGTACCGAAGGCTGACAATGGGGTGGCATGCGAGATGAGTGCATTTTCCAACAATAAAGGAAATCTCTACTCACGAACGCGATATAGGTTTGCGCCCTCCGCAGAGAAGTGGGCATACTGCCACGCAGGAGGCATCGCCGCTAACAAAGGGGTACAAATGAGTGGCGTGTCGAGAAGAGCATTCACCGAGATGGCACGTACCACTGTTTGTGAAGCTACCATTGGTGTACTATGCACAACCATCCTTAGCAACACAATTTCCGCCATGTGAAAGTCAACACTCGTACGCACCACTGTAAAGTCATATCCAGCAGTGTTCACACCGCCCAAGCGAGGAAGCTGGCTGAAAGCCCCTTTGGGGGCGATCGCGATGGAGAGCAATGCAAGGATGGTTGCGATGTGCTTCATGTCGTCTTAATTTCGCAGCAGAATTGCTAGCGAGAGGCCGTGGCACTATCCAGTCGTTTTATATGCAGAATCGTGGATAACTTCCGCTTCAGAACGAGCTGAAGAACTTCCACAATACGGACAAACTGCGGGAATACCCTCATTCATGTGCAGCGGCATCTTGAAATACAGACTTGATAAATATAATGCAAGCGTGTGCATATCCAGGAGTGGCAAGTGGCAACACGGTATAAATTAGCTTCCGGCATTAGTTGGCGTCTGGGTCTTTGCAGCCCGCTGAGGAAGCCGGTGGTAATTGCAGGTCATATTTCGCCTGACTCTTGTCTTTGATGAGCAAAAGGACGAACGAGGACATCGTGTGTTGACGGCGAGAACGGTGCTGGCATCGAAGAGGTGGGCCTCTCGGAGAGCCTGCGTCCCAGTCTGTCCCAGTACGCGATCGAGAGTCGATCAGGTGGCTGATGGCAATAGGCGCGCGTGACCATCCTACGGTCCTCCGCGTCCTTGTTTATCTGGTCTACCTCCGTCCGTCATCCTGCACTGTCGTCGGACTCACCTCGAGATAAATGTCGACCGATGTCAAGGCTGTCTTCCGCCTCTACCGATCCTTTCGTCGGGAAATCCGTCTTCTCCCAACCGCATATCTTCGGTGAGTCTCAAGCTTGTGCCCATTCCAATTGTGACACTTGAGCTGAATTTGCTAGTGAATTCATGAAGATGAAGCTCAGCGACGACTTTCGGTCTATCGTTGAGGCAAAGAAGGATTGGGTACAAACAAAGAAGATTAAGAGAGCGGAGTCGGTACGCAAGCTGCTCGTTTCTGGCCGCTCTAACTAAGCATATATGTCCAGGAACTGCGTAAACTACAGCTGGCCAATAGCGGGAACGTAAAGAAGTTTGATTACGTTCTCGACCTCGCCTACGGCAGGAAAGGCAAGCTGAAATGGGAGCTCTTGGAGGTGCGAGATTTCTCCGCTCGCGCGTTCTTCATAGCTTATCCGCTACATTCCAGCCACTGCTCTCAGACCCGTCCCTCCCGAAGCCTGAACGAATTATCCCTACAGTAGAGAGATCCCGACCACCTGTCTATCCTGCCGAGTTGACCGCCCTTCTCACCTCCACGGCCTCTCGCACAACACCGCCGGTCAATCAGAAAGCGCTCCAGAAGCCTCCAAAGATACCAGAACGGGCGAATCCCAACTCGGAAGAGGCGAAGCTGCTTGGCCCATTTAGCAAACGCCGAGAGGTCAATATCCGATGGCGGTATTACACGGAGCAGGTGCAGAGAGTGTTGCCTCCTTTACAGGTGGAAGTGGAGGAACAAGGTGCTGAGGGAGAACCAGAACGACGCTCTAACAAAGTCACGCTGAACCGCATTGGCGTTCGCTCTGTCGGCATGCAAGATGAAGGCATTCTCGAAGAGCTACAAACTCTGGCAAGACGGCCCTCGCACAAGAATGCCCCCGAAGAGAACGGTCAGCAAAACGCGCCTTTCGCTGGCTCAGAGCTGCCGTCTCGTTTCTTGCGAAGGCGGTTTGCTCACTTGCTGGGCCGCATTCCTGTCCTGAGATACTCATGCCCGAAGGAGAGAGACGAGGCAACGGACACGAAGAAGCGTACAGGACGCTATCAGGTCTCCTGGGCCCCTGGTGCTGTGCATCCCAATCTGCGGTACTCACCAGAAAGGCTTGCTGAGGCAGATGCCAATGACATCGCATGGTTCGAACATGCCATGCTGGAAGAGAAGATGCGGGCAGACGACGCCAAACGTCGACGCGCGGCAAAATTAGAAGCAATGAATGCTGCGGCTACAACACAATCCGAAGACAATAAATAAATGACGCCTAATGCGTTCAGGATAAAGTCGAGAGGTGATTGTCGCGATTATGAGCCATCCTCTGCGGAATTTTCCAACTCCAGCCCATGGAGATCAATAACATACATGCTGTAGTTGCGGTCGGCCGCCTGTGCGCCCCCGGCTCCGCTTTGGCTCGGGTCAACGCCGCATTGCAGGTCGAGCATAGTCTTGTATTCGTCGAAGCTGAACTCCTGCTTCTGGCGAATGCTATCAAGCATATCCTACAGAGGAATAGGTTGAATCAGGCTTTCGTGGTGTAACACGCTCGTTCTATGGGCACATACCTGAGGGGACATGGCGAATAGCGAGTAGTATCGTTTAGCGCGCTCGAACAGGGCATCATGACCGTCTTCAGATATCGTCTTGATGTTTTGCTGCAAGGCTAGAATGTTTCGCATCATCTTCTTGACGCCAGATGCATTCATCGAACGAATAAATCGCGCATCCGATATTAGCAGACGCTCCAACAGATGACCAAGCCCCTCAAAGATAAAGCTGTGGAAGCACGTCTCAACGCTATGCACTGGCGTTTTGCAACTCTTGATTTACTCACCGTCGCTCAACCTCCGGGAGGGTAGATGATGCCCAATCGTCGCATCTGCCGAGCTCGATATTCAGATCGATGACATTGGGATCCGGCTCGATGACCTCTGGTTCCACACGGTAAACACCCTAGAGCAAAGATTTAACACAATGCAGACGACACTCCATGGTATAACGTACATGCTGCAGCGCAAGATCCAGGTGGTGCACTGCCCGGCATCGGATATCGATGCGGAGAGTATATATTATGAGCTCGGCGAGCTGTGCATATGTCATATGGAGCGCCTGGAATCGCCTATGTGTAGAGTTGCTGAGTGAGCGAGTGAGCTAAGGAAATCATCATAGGAACTGACATTGCCATCGCGGCGGAGAGCGGAAGGCTGAGTGGCTCATTCGCTTGCGTCGACTCGATCGCTGGTAAATACGGGGTATAGGGTGTGACCGCGCTCACGGGCTCCAGCTTGAGCTGTGTCGTAGGTGACAGAGCCACCTCAGGTGCAGACTTTAGCGCATTCAGCTCGGATGCGAACCACGTCTGTGCCAGCCATGTCAAACGACCCGTAGGCAATACTGAGATCTGTCTGCTCACCACACTGTGATACAAGCTCGCCAACGCCGACAGATTGCGCGCTGATACAACCAGATCAGCCTTCTCAACTGAGCGGTCTCCTAGGAGGCTCTGCTCCAAATGGGCCTCCTGGCGGCAAAGCTGTGACCTCTGAGCACGTGCATTGTCATCGTTCATAGCCTTGAACAATTCGGACAAACAAGTTCCAAGTTCAGCCTTCTGGACCCATTGTGCCGCTAGCGCGACCCGCGTGCTCGGCTCTGATGCTTCGTCATCCTTGATGGAGACGAGATCATAGAATCTGTCACTGCATCGCTGGTAGAACTGGCCGATCACGGTCAAGACGAGGCGCGCGTAGCTCTCGCGATGGAATGGCGTCGTGCGGAGCATGGTGCAGAGAGAGTTAATCAATGCCATCACTTGCACACTCGCCTATATTTATGCAGACCGTTCAGTGGTACGGCCTCTGCCCAGCGCATATCCATTCCTACCTTGACAAGAGGCTCTGGCGATAGCCTTGTTGACGCGGGATCAGGTTCGAATGCATCGAGACCTGTTATCTGCTGTTAGGCACGAATTGCCGGCACTTGAAAGGCAACCCACTTGTTACCGCATGATGGAACAATAGCGATACCTTGTCTTCTAGCTGGGGCAAGTACATATTGAGCACGAACTCGTCCAGGACTGTGCTTGTTGCTCGAGCAGCCTCCAATCCGGAGGGAAGAACGGACGCTATACGATCCAGCCACGCCAACGTAGGTTGAAAGAGAACGCTGATGTGGAAAGCGTCGGGATGGACCAATAGTCTGTGATGCTGGCTCGCCCCGCCTAGCCGATCATCAGTACCAACCGCAGAGAGAGTCGCCTGCACAGCATTTTCGGAAGACCCTTGCACCAACCCTGGAACTGTGTCTTTGAGAACACGGGTAAGTTCGTCCTCGTGCTGCTTGAGCGCTTTCACAGCAAACTTGGGATCCGTGTCCGCGAAGCGGAAGACAGACTGATGCAAGGCGTAAGCTACTGCTGTCTCCTGTAATGAATTATACTGACCTTCGTTTTGTCCCGGTTGAATTTCCCTTCCCGAAGGACCTCGTTGATGGAAGACATTGGATTCCTGCCTGATACGGTTCCTTGCTCTTCGTCTGTGACATAGTCTCCGATGAGCGTCCGCACCTGTAGTGAGGTGTTAGGAGATGTAGATCCACGTTCACCCCACGAGACGTACCTCCGCTTGAACTGGCATCCAGACTTCGGCTAACGGGAACAAAGAACCAGGTTTTGTGCCTGAGGAATCTTTGAAGTCTCGTCTCTGCACCATGCGAATATTAGGGATGTAACCCAACGCGAACAGAGAGCACATACTGAGCCTATCCGATTCGCGACCTCGTACACGACTCGAAGACCCTGCGTGACGGCGACAAGTTTTGAATACAATGTCCAAAAGAAGTCTCGCAACGTCTCCTGGTCAGAATGTTTCGTAGATGACTCCAGTGCAGCTAATCGAAGGCAAACAGCTTTCAGCGGAGGTCCTCTAGTACTGCCGGCATTGGCCGCTCCAAGTACGATTGTGACGCCCACAATTCCGGAACCAACACCCATACTATTTGAAGAGACAGTTAGCGGCAAGGCTCCATTCAATCTTTCCATTCCCACGGTCGGACCGACCACTCCTGATGCCTTGCGGCCGAACTCTGCTCGTTCCTCCACTTCGTCTAAAGTTACTTCCACCAGTGAATATATTTCCCCGGGCAACTTCTGAGCGACAACATCTAGTGCGCTGCCCAGCTTCCCAAGGACGGCGAGAGACTCGAGGAGTGTCTCAATATACGAGAACGAGTCAGCTTCTGGATTCTGGAGTTGGGTCTGCTGGAGCAAACTAGCACCAGATCCTGCAGGTAGAAGGCTAGAGATCGAGGCTAGAGATTGTGCGCTTGACATGCCTAGAGCCGAAGTACTCGTTGAGGCAGCTAGTCCTGCGGAGCCATTCTCGTGGAAGCTCTGTTCATTAATATCGAACGGTGGATCGTTAGGCCGGACGGAGAGGTCGTTCAAGAAGCGCGTCAATCGCGAAGGCCGTGGGCTCGATGACATTGCCGGCTTGATGGAGGGTATCGAAGGCTTTGAGTCAGAGGCAAGCGCCTCCTCTTCAGATTCGAGGTTAGGAACTAAGAAGATCTTACCCAGAGACCATACAGAGGCAAAGTATTGACTCACATGCCTGTTGACCTGGGGTATATACACCCCAGCGAGATTCGCACCAGAAGGACTTCAGATATAGATGACTGTGCAGTTCATCTATCAAAATCTCTTTGAGAGCCTGACCCGCATATTTTCTCAGTCATAACGTAGTGGATTGTGGAATCCGAAAACTCACAACTTCCTGAGCAACAAGATAGCTTCGGAGGTCAGACACAGCTCCAACATCCAGCATGTCTTGCTTGTTGATCAATTTCAGACTACGAACAAGCAGAATCGCAGCCTGAAGGAGGCGCTTCTCAGATATGAGACTCTCCAAAGCATCTGGGACGGATCGAAGGCGTTCACTATGAAACATGCCTCCTGAGTGAGTGTCGAATCAACCAATTGATCGGCCCAGCGTACATCTGATCCAGAATGCGCATCATCTCGTCCACCGTCTGACTGCGATACCACAGCTGAACCAAGTCGGCACGCTTGCTTCCCAGTGTATCTTTAGCTTCCTGTAGAGCCGTCCTTGCTTCTTTCACCTGCTCATCGGTAGCTCCGATATGATTTAGGAGAGCAGCATGGTGAGGTAGAGCACCGGCAAACGCTTGATAATGCTCTGTGGTGTAGTAGACGGTCAGAATAATAGACTCTCAGTCAATTAGCCCTGAGACGCACGGTCAACGGACCCTTTAAGGGCTTGCGACAGCGCATCCTTAGTATTTCGGAAAGATTCAATATTCTTTCCTTCAGATGAATCATCCAATAGTTGCAAGGCGAGATCCACGGGGTTAAACTACATTTGTTCAAATTTCTAGTCAGTCGGATTAAAGCGATAGCTTGCACTCACATCAGGATCAACGACGGTCGCCCACTCATCCTTGATCTCATCCAGAACAGCTGTAGACCACGAGAGACATTATTGGCAAGTGAAGAATCAACGCTGAAAGCATTTTCTTCATTGTACTTACCATCGATGTCTCCAGCTTTCGCCTTACCGGTCGCCTTCCTCCCTGGAACCCTATCCCGCAAACGCTGTTGCCGAGCCTTCTGAATTTCAATCTCCTTCTGCCTTTCCCTCTCATACTCCGTATCAACCATGTCATCTCTTTTCTTCCCTAGTGCCTGGAACGCAGCCACTATGGCGAGAGCGTTGGGTGACAGACCTTGCGGCGAGACAGGGGACGTGCCCAGTTGCATTCGACCATTGGTTGAGATCGGTGTCAAAGTAGAGAGACTCCCAGAAGCAGAACCGTTGTGAGTTATGGACGAAAGGGAGGGAATAGGGCGAGTTCCATCTGGGTTGTCTCCAGATGTGCGAGGGTCGAAAGTGACACGCGAGTCAATAGATGCTCGATCAGACATTGAATGTTCTGACTTTCGACGTTCCCTCAGCCCAGACCTTTGAGGACGCATGGGCACTTTGATTGCTCCAGGGGAGGAGGATACTGGAGAGATGGCCCCCGGCGCGGCTGGGTGTGGTGCATTGCGGTTGATCTGGAGAGGTCTGACCGGAGGCATAGGCGCGCCATTCTGTAGCTTGGGATGAGCGCGTGGTCGACCAGTGCTCGCAGACGGGTCCAATCGAGACATGAGATGGCAGTCGCAGTCTGGCTGGAAGACCGACCGTGGCGGTGCGCATCCGAGTTAACGTCCGGTGTGGAGAACAGTTGCTATAACCAGCTAGCGCGAGCGCGACGCGACGAGCGCCTGCACACGCGATGAGTGCCGCCACCACGACCTCCCTCCCGCCTTTTCTCCAGCCACTCCCTTGCGACGCTGCAGTCGACGAGCCCTGTGTCAATGCCGTATTTCCTCATCCGCAACTTGGCGCATCCGCTCATGCCATCTGGTGGCCTCCCAGTGTGCAGAGTCCGCCCGGCATCCTGCTCTTCATTCCAGGTGAATCCACCCACGAGTGCCACTGACGCGCCCCAGCGGTGAATTCAAACTCATCTGGCATTCGGCGTCAGGAAATCCTGGTCTAGTAGAGTTCTACACCCCATTTCTGACTGAGTTACACAACAAATGCAAGGGCAACCTCGCCATTCTCGCCCATGCTCATCTCGGTCACTCTCCCACTATTCCGCACGGCGATGAACCCCCCACCCACGCCATTGCTGGCCTCACGACACTGATACAAAGCGCCATTGAAGCGCTCGATGCGATTCAGCTCACGTTTCCGTCGTCAAAGCTCACAATAACAGCGCACAGCATGGGTTGCTGGGTTACACTGCAGGTCCGACACTTCCCATTATGAATGTGTGCTCGTTGCTGAAGTCAAATTAGGTGTTGAAGGCCAGACCCAACACTATATCATCAGTGTTTCTTCTTTTCCCTACAATATGTCATATCGCTAATACGCCCAATGGCCGATCCCTCTCAGTGAGTGATCAAATCCCTCTACAGAAGTTACCTACCAATATATGTGCAGTGGCTTTTCAAGCCTCCGTTTCCACGTCTCATCGCGGCAGCATCTGTGTTGGCTCAAATACTGCCTCTTCACACTCTTTCAGCACTCTTCTCTGACTGGCCGCACGCGCAAATATTGGTGCTGCGCAGCCTGTTGCGCTCTCCGTCAGCAATACTCGCATGCCTCAACCTTGCTCATGATGAAATGAATGCCATTCAAGACCTGGACACCACAATTCTTCAAGAGCATCAACAGCGCTTGCATTTTTACTTCGCGGAGGAGGATCACTGGGTGGGTGAGCAGAAAGAGACAATTCTGAAGGCATTCCATGCAGACGCGGGCGCCGTAAAGATAGTGCACGGCCTTCAAGATATTCCACATGCTTTCTGTATCAGTAAGTGGACATCTATCGGACCGTGTGAAGAGGGTCCATTCATGGCGCACATACGCAGATCATGGAGTACAGCTGGCAGAGCAATGCTTTAAGTGGCTTCAAGGTGCAGGAGTCGCCTGATAGTCTACCCGACAGCAGACAATGCAGGAAAGGAAAGGGCTACTCGTAGATAGGTTAATATTATAGTTCGTTGACCTGAAGCCGCTCTACTCAACGTGCATTTTTGTAACGCCGGAGTTTGTGATCCCCGTCCTGCCGCTGAGTACACTAGTATGAATTATGGATATATGGCCAGTGGCATCAAACGGCACACTGTGGCACCGAGGATATGTGCGTGGGAATTAAGGAGCGCGCATAGCCGAGAGCTCAAAATGGAAAGCGCGCCCGTTTACATACCGACGCGTCCGCCCACGACGCGTGAAACACGCGTTTCTACGTGACTGAGGTCTCTCATAGCGAGCAAGTCGAATCCGCAGCTATGTCGGACTCCGAAGTCGACATGCTACGCGAAACAAGTCCTCCCACAGGTTCTGCTCCGTCTTTGTCTTTGCCGAATCCTGAGCTTGTTCCTGTCGATATACCCTCTCCTTTGACTATCGCAGACGCTCCGCCCTCTTCAAGGGTGTCTCAAGAAGTTGACGAAGTAGCTGTTCGCCAACCCTTCTATGTCGAGGTCCCCCTCCTTCCTACGGAAGTAAAGAAACAGTATAGCACTGACGTCCTGGAACGTCTCTCGGCGCTCGAGGATGAAGTGGAGAACGAACTTGTCTCCGTCGTAGGAGAATACGAAGAGAATGGCCAGCTGTACTATTTTGCAAAGTATCCCGACGGAATTGCTCATAAGGTGTGTCGCTTTGTAACTGCCAGCAGAGGTTTTCTTTCGGCAACACCTTGCGTAATGGACAGAGCGTATATGCAGCTGGAACAACCATCTGCATATATGCGTCTGTACAATGGAGACCTGCAGTGGCTATGATGTTGCGATTTAGTGCGCTTTTGTATTTTCCCGGTGCGTCCGGCTATTGTCGCACCTGCATTGAGGACCGATTGCTGAGTAATATCGCAACGATGCTGCTGGGCCACATAGTGGCTGAAGTTCGTATCCTGGACAGCTCAGCGATCATTAATCTTCTGATCTGACTCATCCACATCGCATTTTCTGGGTACTAATATAAATGATAGTTCCCAGCCGAACTGTTCAAAGCCCGGCATCCAGAACTTTTGGACGCGTATAGTGAGTTCGATCGTAAATAGCCCTGCAATCATACGCTAACATTTCTACAGAGCAACAGAAAGAAGCTGAGACACTTCCACCCTTTGACCCCTCTGCTCTCTATGTGCATCCACGCTCTCGCGTCAGAATGACCATCAAGCTCAACCGACAATTTGTGACAAAACGCCGTAGTACGCGGTCGCGCTCGAGCTCTGATGAGCTCGCCATGACCATCTCCTCCGATTCGGATTTTGAGGCATTCGATCACCCAGGCCTTCGGAGGAGCACCCGTGCGGTGGCTTCTAGGGCGAACAGAAAGGTAGTCATGCAGCTGCCTTTCAGCCCCAAGAAGACTCGGTCGCGCAAAGCTCCTGACGTTCACGACTCCGACTTCGCGAGCGACAGCGATGTGGTGGAGAGACCGCGACCCAGGAGGTCTATGCGTGCATCAAGGCAGGCTCGATCCAACCTCGACGATGACGACTTCGAAGATGACTTCGAAGAGATCAGCACAGATAGCTTCGTAAGTGATGAGCCTTCGGCAAAGCGCAAGCCCGCGCCAACGAAGAAGAAGATTGTGCGAGGGAAAGCCTCTCGTCCTGCATACGGACGTATACGAGTCGTTGCAGATCTGGAGTTGGATGCTGAAGAGGACGAGGAGACCGCCCCTTTACGCGCTCACAGGGACATATGCGAGAAATGCCATAGGCAGCCAACGCATGAGCTTCTCGCGTTAGCGAGCAAGAAGAAGAATAACAAGCGCAGGAAGAAGATGACTGATGACGAAGACGACGGGGAAGACGAAGTGACACGATTGGCAGCCCTGGGAGGTTGGGTCAGATGGTACGGCGTTTGCCTTTGAACGCGAAATGCTTGACTAAAGAGTTCGGACAGTTTGAAATGCCCCGTCGCTGCGCATTGGTCCTGCCTCGCGAAGACTCAGCGGGATGAAATCTTGAAGGCTGCACTAGAGAGAGATAGAGGGGAATGGCAGCTCGCTCAAGCCAAGTTCGACAAGCAAGCTGGCGACAATGCCACTAGGAAGAAGGTTCTACTCGAACCTAAGAGACGGCCTGATTTGGACGCGTACCAGACTACAGAGTTCATCTGTGGTCAGTGCATGAAGGGCGGGATTTGCACGATGTGCGAGCAAGTCGCAATCTACCCTGACACTCATATCAAAGACAAGCCACAGGCGTCGGCGACGACAGTGACATCGGTTCAGAAGACGGATGATGGTGAAGTCGAAATGACAGACGCCACTGACCCCTCTTCTTCTATAGTGGTCGCCAACAAGAACGACGTCGACGAGGATTCACCGTTCAACGCGCTCGTCTTCAGATGCTTCACATGCAAGCGATTGACTCACTACGAACATTTGCCCGCTCCGCCTGGCATTGGCAAGTCTATGTCTACCGTCGACCTCGCCGAGTACTACCAGGAAGAAACCCACTGGCAATGTGAAGAATGTGCTTCTCTCATATATTCGGTGGAACATATTCTCGCTTGGCGACCGTATCGGCAGAACGCTATCGACACACCGCCTCCCGCAGGAGAGCCAGTCAATTACAAGGCGATGCTACCGCGTGACTATCTGGTTAAGTGGGTTGACAGAAGCTATAGGCGTACGACATGGGTGCCGCATGGCTGGTTATTGGCGACGCATCCTGCCAAGTTGAAGAACTTCCTTCAAGGGGGTTCCAAAGTGCAATTACTCCCTGAGCCTATTACAGAAGAGAATGCAACGTCACCAGACGATGCAATCGCAGCCAATTTCGAGATCGGCAGCGAAGACGTTACTGAACCAGTTGGACGACCGGACACCAATCAGGCTTCCGCTCTGCTGCCGAATCCAGATGCAGAGCGGAAGATACCTCGTCCGTGGGAGACGGTGGATCGTGTGTTAGACGTGCTTCTTTGGTATCCTGACAAGCGCTCTCGGTCAAGGAAAAGAAAAGCGTCTGCCAGAGGTCGAGGACGGCGATCTGCTCGTATAGCAAGCAGTGAAGACGACAGTAATGGGGAAGATCCGGAGATTACTAAAGCTAATCAGGATTTCGAAACCGCATACAACGAGGGTGAACAACCTAGTCATGATCTCACTGAGACGGTCGACGAATACGAGAGCAGGACCGGCGAGCTCTTGAGCGCTCAAGATGCCGACCGAGTCATCTGGGGTTTTTTTAAGTGGGGGGACTTGGGCTATGAAAATGGTGAAGTTTCTGCTGACTCACATCGAGGCGTCTTCTAACGTGTGATTCCCGAAGCCACATGGGACTCTCCGCCGCGCAAGGGCGATCGCGGTTGGACGGCGTTCGAGATAGCGTTCAGCAGGTTCCTCGTTGCTCTTCAGGTGGTGGTCAACAAGAAGACTAAGAAAGAGTGGATGGAATACGACGATAGACCCCTTAATTCTTGGCGGGAAAAAAATGCCTTGAAATACGAGTCGCAACCACAGCTTGGCCAGAAACCACAATTGAAGCTGATGCCCTTCCAGATTGATGGATTCAACTGGTTGGTCGACAATTGGTGGAACCACCAGAACTGCATCCTCGCCGATGAGATGGGACTTGTACGTTTCGGTTACGTTCCAGTTGCATGATATTATCCTGCTAAGACATCTCTACAGGGGAAAACCGTACAGGTTGCAACTTTCATCGGCTATCTAGCGTTGCAACGCAAGGCATTCCCTGCTTTGATCGTTGTGCCCAATTCTACGATCTCGAACTGGATGCGAGAGTTCGAACGATGGGCTCCGAAATTACGAGTCGTTCCCTTCTATGGTGAAATTAAGGCACGCGAAATCATCAAGCGCTATGAACTCTTCCATCACGATCCCGCCGAGAACACCACCGGTATAAAGTACCACGTCCTAGTGACGACGTATGAAATGATCACAAATCCTAAGGAATTCACGCCAATCTTCAAAAACGTTCCTAGATGGGAGGTTTTAGTGGTAGACGAGGGCCAGCGCCGTAAGTACACTCGTAATGATCGACTCATTCGACATCTAACTCTTTCGCAGTGAAGAGTGACGAGAGCCTAATCTTTAAAAAACTGAAAGACTTGAAGACTGTTCACCGCGTGATAATGACTGGGGTAAGTTTTCAGCCATCAAATCTTGGTGCTCCTCATGTAGAAGAACTAGACGCCTCTCAACAATAACATCCGAGAACTTTTCAATCTCATGAATTTCCTGGATCCTGGGGAGTGGTCAGACCTGGACGCACTTTCGAAGCAATTCGAGGAGTTATCCGAAGAGAAGATTAAGGAGCTGCACACAAAACTCAAGCCTTATTTCCTACGGCGTATGAAGTCTGAAGTCTTGCAGCTCCCTCCCAAGGTGATGCGATTGCCTTTTCATCGGTTTTTCCTCTAATCTATCAGTATAGAATGAAGTCATAGTTCCTGTCAGCATGGCACCGCTGCAGAAAGAGGTGTATAGATCACTTCTAAGTATGCCTACGGTTCCGTCTCCGTTTATTACGTTTATATTGACCTACGACACAGGCCAGAATCTAAACATTCTTCGGAATCTAGTTGCGGGTTCAATGGGTGCGAAGGTCAACGCTGCTATCAGCAAGGCCAACATGAACAACATACTGATGCAATTGCGCAAGTGAGTCACAACATCCTGCTTTAGCCTAGATGATAGCGTATTGATTGCCGAGCAGGTGTTTGCAACATCCTTATCTTGTATCCGACGAAATCGAGCCCAAAGGCCTGTCCCGAGCAGAGTCTCACGCTAAATTGATTGATGCGAGCGCTAAACTTGGGCTGCTGAAGATGTTGCTACCCAAATTGAGACAAAGAGGGCATCGCGTCTTGTTATTCAGTCAGGTTCGTTGCGTGATCGATCAAATCCGATTGAATTTTGATTCATGCGATCTTCAGTTTTCGATCGCTCTGAACGTCATTGAGGATTTTCTGGTAGGTGAAGGGATGAAGTATCTACGGCTGGTATGTGCGATGTCCGAATCAAGGGATTATTTGCTAAATATTCTGTAGGATGGCAGTACGAAACAAGCCGATCGACAGAAAGGAATGGACGAGTTCAACAAGCCCGATTCCGACATTTTTATCTATCTGCTCACCACAAGAGCTGGTGGTGTCGGTATCAACTTGTGGACGGCAGACACTGTGATCATCTTCGATCCCGATTTCAATCCGCATCAGGTATGATACTTCACGTGAATTAGCGCATCCGTTACTGAAAGATCTTTCAGGACCTTCAGGTGCGATCCATCACCCATCACGTGAAAGATGTCTGGACGCTGACACTCATTCGCCAGGCAATTGCTCGCGCTCACCGATATGGCCAGGAGAAAACATGCCTTGTCTTCAAGCTGATGGTGAAAGGATCTGCAGAAGGTACCACTATCCTACCGATTCAATCTCCCTTGTCTCAGGTCTTTTCGCAGACAAGATTATGCAGACGGGCAAGAAAAAATTGGTCCTAGATCACCTCATCGTTCAGAAAATGGACGATGCCGACGGGTCCAAGGAAGATGTCCAGTCTATCTTGATGTTCGGTGCCCAAGCTCTCTTCGACGAGAGCGAGAATGCAGAAAACCGGCAGATACACTGTGCGTCTCAGCCCATCATCCTATCTTCAAATCACTCACGTCCTGTCTGGATCCAGACTCCGAGCATGACATCGAAAATCTCGTTGAGAAGACTGAGAAAAAAGGAGATGAGTCAGAAGCGCAGACGAGCACGGCCGGAGCCTTTTCATTCGCGAAAGTCTGGTCTGCAGAAAAGGACTCTTTCTCGGAAATCGGCGATGAACCTCAGGATGGTGTTGATCAGGTAGATTCTTGGGCACAGACTCTTGAACGGATCGCAGCGGAACGTGTTAAGGTGCAAGTACAAGAAGTCACCGGCCGAGGTGTTCGACGTCGCGCCGCGGCAGTGTTTCCAGCTCAGGTAAATCGAAGTGCTGCAAAATGCTTATCAATGGCTTGTTGATATACTTTTTGCAGAATGTCGTTTTGGACGATGGGCGTGAGGAGGGCCCGAACACTCCACAACAGAAGAAGAGGAGGAGGAAGAAATTGAACTCAGCCAAATCAGATGACTCTGATGCCTATGCTCTTTCTGGCCTCGAAACCGGTTCTGATAGCGAAGCTACGACTACATCGCTTCTTCCGGAAGAAACTCTCTCTCAGTTGCCTCTCGCGTCGTCCTCTGCTGCACCGGGGTCCAAGGTACCCTGTTCCAAGTCGTCTTCTTACGCCGTATCATATTCGGAAGCTCGCGTAGCATCCAAGAACAAGACCATCCAGCCGCTTTCACCAATTATAGACAAAGAAGACGCCTCTTGCGGTCTATGCGGAGCCAATCATGGGGACGCGCCATGCTATATGACTCAAAGCCCCGAGAATTTAGCCGAATATCGGTTGATGCTTCTCCTCCATGCTGGAGAGGAATCCCTGGAAGACCGTGTACGTGATAACTTCTCTCTATTGAACGTTCACAGCTAAACGCACTCAATATGTCAGCGGGCTGCCATTCAGGCCATAGATCAGTCTCTGTACAAGCGCGGGAAGATGTATCTCATCTACAATCAACCTCTACATCTTGTAGAACATCCGTCGAAGGTCGCAGATCTCTCAAATGAGAAGCATAAAAAGGAAAAGCCGACTACTTCCACATCAATCTCAAGCCACAATGATCAAGCGAGCTCTTCCTCAGCATCAAGGAAGGAAGAAGCACAAACCAGCGACTTCAGGGCGAATGGAACACATGTCATCGTCGGTTCTTCAACAGCAGGACCACAACCAGTACCGCGGCCTTCATATTGGAAAGCGACAGCAGGTCCAGCGAAACGGGCATCATCTCCGACTCCAGTTGCGGGATTACCACCAAAGAGGACAAAGCTGAAGACTGATGCTGCATGTGCAGTCTGCGGACGATCGCCTCATCACTTGATCAAGGATTGTCCCATTGTCGCAGAAGGGCCTAACAGGTCGGCTAAGACTCGCTCTGTGTTTCACTCACACTGACACAGGCCTTTGCAGAGTGAAGCAGGCGATACGCTGCATCGCGGCAGATCCTACTCAAGCTGGCACGGTGAATATCCTAAGAAATATTCTCGCCAAGCAGCAGAAGCGTGATTTGGCGGACATTAGCTCGGCCGTTGTGATCAGACAGTGATATGCCTATAGCACTGTAGATTTAGGTCATTTGTTATTATTTCACAAACATTGCAATCGTGACATAGTCTTCCTGCTCTTCATCATGCCGAGTAGCAGGAAAGGTTCGACGAGCAAGGTTCAGTTGTACTCTCGTGTATGTTGCATTGTTGTCACCGCCAATACCAAACTTTTGTCTTAATAATTCCATCCGGAAGCCAGTCATACTCATACATAACGCGAGACGACAACAGCCCATGCGCACAAATTTACGATCATCAATACAAGCTAGACAGACATTGATCCCCACATCGCGAAAATGTGGTTCCCAGAAATCGACATCACATATTTCTGCGCCGAACGACTTTGATCAAGGAAATTTCTCACGGCAGGTAGGGTTTCACTGCCGCCGATATAAGTAATAGGACAGCGGAACGAAAGCATATTAGTCACGTACCAGCCTCGGTCCACAAAGTCTGGTCGGTGCCGTTGGAGTAAGGAGTAACCGACAGGACATAGCTGGTATCAAAGGCACCCGCAGCCCAAACCGAGAAACCGACGAGGGTCGGGTAAGCGGACTCGACGTAGGCGAGCTCTTGCGCAAGGCTGATGGCAGTCGCGGTCAGGATTGAACCGTAGTGAAATTGTTAAAGCTGGTTGGCTTACTCTGTGTAGCAGCTAGACGTCTCTCCTCCACCGGTCTCGCTCAGAATGGCCTGACGGTCACCGTTATCCTGAAGGAAGGAAACAAGAGTCTCGAGGACATCGACGTTATTCTGATACCATATAAGGCGCTGCTGGTTGCATCACGACGACAATAACAACTTACGGTAACGCAGGTCGAGTGGGTGCCGCTGTTATCAGAATCGAGGTACTTGTGAACTAAAAATAGAATCGCTCAGTGTCCATTCTATTGAGTATTGAGAAGCTATTTCTTAGCCGCTCACCGTCAAAGAGGAGCTTCGAGGTGCCACCAAGAGGGTCCGTCACATCCACCAGGTAAGGACCAGCCTCAGTCGGGAAGGTCTCAGCAGAAGAGTAGCTGGACCCAGGCAAGAGCAGATAGTTGGTGGCTCCGGCTTCACGAATGGCGTTGACGACATATTGAACGGACGCGACCCATTCAGTGACGTTCAGGTCGTGAGGCTCGTTCATAACACCGCTGTGGGTGTCATGTCGCCAGTTATGAGGTTGTCGAAGTGCTATTTTATGTCGCACTCACAAGATAATCCTGTCGTTCGAGCCATACTGCTCAGCGAGCTGCGTCCAGACCGAGGCAAATTGAGCATTGGTGGGACCACCCTGACCGATGATCTCTCCGTCCCACCTGGCGTAGTTGTGCTGTAACGGAAAATCATATGAGACCGACGATAATGCAGTAATCAATCGAATACTCACCAAGTCGACGATGACGTACACGTCGGACCCAGAGCTCAAAGCAGCTTGCACAGTCACATCGTAGTCATCATCGAACCAGGTGGTATTGATGGTTCCGCCCAGCGTGGGAGTCATCAGCTGCCATGCTACCAGATTGTTTCGGTACTACTGCGCTGCACGATTCGTATGGCGCTGTCTACGTACCAAATGCTAAAATAAAATTTTAGTCATGCTTAGTGCGATCAGCAATCGACTTGGTTTCACTCACGGATACGGTACAAGTTGACACCCTCGGCAGTGAAGTGGGTGTACTGCGAGGCCGGAGGAGTGTCGCCTGTGGCTGACTTTAGTTGGCTGCTAAGAAAAATAGTGCGACCGGCAGGAACCTGTGCCAGAGAAATCACCGCTGGTGTCCTGGCTCATGATAGTCAGTTTCCGTAAGTCCCGGTAGCAAAGAAAGGGATACGCACAACGCTGAAGTCATAGCCCGCAGTGTTGACACCTCCAAGGCGGGTCGGGAATTGACCGAACACACTCGCAGGAGCGAGCGTGGAGGCCAATACGGCGAGGAAAACTGTTGCAAACTTCATAATATCTGAGATGTAACGTCGCTACGCTGTTCGAGATATGGATGGAGGATGGTTCAAGGTAGAGCCCTTAAATACTCTGCCTCCGTCCAGTTTGTGGCAGCGCAAAAATCTTGACCGAAGGCATTTTCCATGTTCCGGACAAACTACGGAGATACATCCACGCATGTGCCGTACGCTAGTACTCATCACATGCACCATTGTAATGGAGGACTCACACAGTACATGTTATTTGGAGAAGCAAGAGGACATCCGAGCAAGCGCCTTTCAAATACTCATTCTCGCCGCATGATCGGGGTTCCTAGAAACAAAACATCAATAATGTTATTGGTTCCGGCATATACAACGCATGCAGCCTTGACAGTCGCATGAAGTTGCGCTGGGGAAATAGTATGAATGGTTGTCAAGCGAGCAACGCTTCTCATGTTAGGGATTCTTCACACCTGACAACGTAAGTTCGAGGTTCCCAGTATCCGATACATACATTGCGCAACTATACATGTACCCCTCGCAAGAGGATCCGAGGTCCTTTCCCCAGGATGACTTGAGCGACGTCTTGGTATAAATGCGTAGTGCCCATTTAGGCTGGGCGGGTGAGAGAATTGGAACCGCTTGAAACTCTAATTGCATCTCCACGGAAGAATTGTGATGCAACTTCCATGTTATCAGCTGATCGAGCTTCCGAACATTTCTCCGGCAACAATTTCAACGGCTCGATGGTGGGAACCTTTCCGGAGCAATTTGCGGCCTTCAGTTACTGACACTTTTGAGAGTGGAAGGTACGTCAACAGACTCCGAGATCAAAGGTACCTGAGCCTCGGTGAGTGTTTGAAAAGTTCGTAGGCTAGGACTCGATCAAGCAAGACGTACACACGAAGACGCGGCGGTGATGAGCAGATACACCATATGAGGCGTTGCTATCCGACCGTTGGCCTGACTCTCATGAGAAGGTATTGTCAAAGGAATGCGATGCTAAGGAGACCGTTCACTGAATTATCGTAGTATTTGATGTAAGATCTCTCGCAATGAGGTTCTAGGTTGCCAACGGAATGAAAGTAGGCCAATATGTCACGGCAGAATTAGCGAATGTGCAAGCAAATACCGCAGATGGAGGTAATTGCTGATGAAGCAACTCCCGGAGCTTGCGATCGTACCAATATCATACTCGACACATTACAATTTGTGTTACGGTGGTAGCTGTGATGTTCAACTTGGGTGTTGCCGCCTCATCCTGCAGACATGCCGAATTGAGACATCACGTGCCCCATCTCGATCACAGATCTCAGAGTACTTGATCGCGGGCGTACGATTGCGCTCAGCTCCGAGTCTGTGTTTGCCCGTCTGCTCTACTTTAAACCCTCCTCTCGTCTATCAGCAGATGGCATGTTCATCGGTTTTTGTAACGCTCGCTCCTGTATGGTGTGCTGAAACCGTGCCAGGCTCCCCCGAAGGGCAAAAATCCGAATCCTAGCGGGTTGGGCCGTGCAATTATTAATAAGAAGGTCAAGGATGCTCATAGAGCACGGGAGACAGGCCTTGTGAGTCTGCTACCTACCGTCTCCGCAGTGTCGCTTGAGATTAATTCATGCTTTACTATAGTATACAACAGACATCGATCCGACGACTCGATTGCAATCAATCACGCAGGAGCGGGATCTCGACGAATTTCTCAACACTGCACAACTTGCTGGAACGCAGTTCACGGCTGGTATGTCTAACTTCCTCTTTATCCGAATCTCTGAAGGAAACCTATTGATTGAACAGAACGTCGCAATGTAAAAATTATCAGTACACCGGCTGGGTCGCGGCAGAATCCTTACCTGCTCACTGAAGAGGAGGAGAGGGACACATTACAAAAGCAGCAGGAGAACCGTCAGAGGCTGCGCGTGCCAAGGAGACCTCCGTGGACGAAGAACATGACAGCAGCACAGCTGGATAGGCAGGAGAAGGATGCATTTTTAGATTGGAGGAGAGGACTAGCCGAGTGTGTACAATGAATTCCGGAGGAGCATTATCATCTAACCTATGGACTAGTCTCCAGGAACGGGACAGATTTCTTCTCACTCCATTTGAGCGCAATATAGAAGTCTGGCGACAACTCTGGAGGGTACTTGAACGCTCTCATCTGATCGTACAGATCGTGGATGCCCGCAACCCACTGCGCTTCCGGTGTGAGGACTTGGAGTCATATGTCCAGGATGTTGAGGGCGCGGAAGGCGAGGCCGGTACGGGGAAGGGAAAACGACGGAGCCTTCTCTTGATCAACAAGGCGGACCTGCTGACTGCCAAGCAAAGGTATGAAGTTGTTATCAATCCTTTGCGGAAATCATGAATGAACGTCCACATACGCCTTTCTAGGCGCATATGGGCAGACTACTTCGATTCACAAGGGGTCCTATACGCTTTCTTCTCCGCCACAAATGCCGCCGCTCTACAACAGGCCCGCCGAGATGCCATCGCAGTGGAGGATGCCAGTGTCTTGGAAGAGGAGGGTCATAGCAGCGATCAACAAGAGGATTCTACACATTTGGGGCCTGGTGAGGATCCCGAGGTATCCGCGCAGAATGCAGGCGAAGAGGAGAGCGAGTCCGAAGAAGCGGATGCTGTTTCATCATCCGACTCCGACTCCGATGAGGATGATTTCCAGCCGTCAATCGAAGAAGATCCCCAGGATTTGAGAGTTAAGGTTTTGTCAGTGTTGGAGCTCGAAGACTTGTTTGTCAAGTCGGCGCCTGATTCAGCATGTGAGCATATCTTCTTAAGACTGAGTGCTCATGTATTCATACATATCTGACCAATTGTACAGCATTCACCGACTCATGCGGCAATCACCCTACCCAGCTCGTTGTTGGTCTTGTTGGATATCCCAACGTAGGCAAATCGAGTACAATCAACGCTTTGCTTGGTGAGAAGAAAGTCAGTGTCTCGTCAACGCCTGGGAAGACAAAGCACTTCCAGACGATCAACCTTTCTCCCACCCTGATGCTATGCGACTGTCCTGGTCTCGTGTTCCCTCAATTCACAACCACGAAAGCGGATTTGGTGTGTGACGGCGTGCTGCCCATCGATCAGATGCGGGAGCATACTGGTCCCATCGCTCTGGTGGCGAAGCGCATGCCGAAGAAAGTCCTGGATGCAATATACGGCTTGAATATCAAAGCGAAAGGGGTAGAAGAGGGCGGTGACGGACAGATTACCCCGGAAGACTTCTTGGTTGCATATGCCAGTACGTCTGCCAGCGGAAATGTCCTATGTACATTCTAACAATCTCTTCACAGTTGCGCGAGGGTTCATGCGGTCGGGCCAAGGGAATCCTGACGAGGCGCGTGCCGCGAGATACATCCTCAAGGACTATGTCAACGCAAAGTTGCTATACTGTCATCCGCCACCGGGAGTTCCAGAAGATGAATTCAACGAACAGACCCGACAATTGTCCCTCAAACGTGCGTTGGGCAAGAAACGCGCGCCTACGACTCGTGTCACGAAAGGTGCCGACACATTCGTGGCTCAGAATGATCCGGCGTTGATGCTTGGGTCAGGCGCAAGCACTCTCGTTCCCGCCGGCGGCTTTGTCTCGGGCCCGAGGTTTGGAAACCTAGACCAAGACTTCTTTGCGAACCAGTCGTCGCTGTCTTCACGACCACGGCTCCAAGGCTCAATTCGGCACGGGCAGGAGGTCACGCGGATGCAGCGATATCCTCATCAGAATTCCGTCGCAGACGATGGGACCGCGCTGTCCGGGAGAAGGGCGAGAATTGCAGCAGTGCTGGCCAGTGCGGGCGACCTCGATGCGGGAAAGAGACACCATAAGAAACCAAAGAGAGTCAAACAGCGGAGCGGAAGAGGTTATGATTAGGCTCGCAGCTAGTACCACCCTGTATCCGTTCGCGATGCTGACTGCACGGTGACAGTCTATGTATTGCGTGAACTTCTTCATCAATATTGTGGCGTGCGAATTCGTCCTGCATACCATGTGACCGCGATGCTCGTCGGACGCGACTGGGGTGGCGTCGCAGAGTCACAGACTGTCGCGACCGACCATCATCATTCATCGTCGTCTCGGGTAATAGACTGGCGCAGCGGCTCATCATCCTCCCATTAAAATGTCCTCTGCAACGAGCTGCACCGGAAAGACTGTTACGTGGGCGCCCTCACTCTCGCAGCCCGCGGAGTGGGTGGATTCGTCGAGTATATGCGCCAAATTGGTGACCATGAACAAAGACGGGCATCGCGAAGGCATTCATATTTTTGAATTTACATATACTCGGATGGTGCTAACCTTTATGCCAAGCTCTGCTGCTAAGCATCGATCGCCCCATAACCATTGGGAGGCATCCATCTTGGTGTGAACCTCCTTCTCTCCATTCTAGAATCAACTAACACAGGGTCCAGCTCATACGTCGTTCCAGATATGGTGGTTTCCAATGTGCATTGTAAACTATATGCGTGGGTTTCGCATCCTAAGCCTTCTTGCGTTTGGCAACCTGACCTGAGCTTGCGCTGCGCTATAGCATCCGGCCGAGTAACGGTGGTGTATTGGTGTCATGCGAAGTCAGGACTCACTATTACTATGGATGGTCTTGTGTTTACAATGCCATTGGAAGGACTTTTCCACTAACGGCCTACTGCTGAACGGACACAAGATCCGTAAAACGTCCGTCTTGCTAATGGACGGAGACGTTGTCCAGATTCCGCACTCGCAAAGTTCGTTTGAAATGAGGTGATCGTAAGGCGATGCTGATGGCGCATGAGCAGAGTTCGAGTGTGTCCATATGCAGAAGCCCGTTGGGCAGAAAAACAACATCTTCGACCCGACACCTCCCCGAGAGCCACAGCTGAAAACGAAGGTTTGTTTATGTGCATTCTGTAATTGCCGCTGTCTTAATTAGAACCCAGCGCGTTGGTCAATACTTGGTCACATCCCATTGTTTAGGAAGCGGCAGCTTCGCAACAGTACATCTCGCGATGGACACAACTGCGTTCAGACAGGCAGCGTGCAAAACTATCAAGCGGAAGAGCAAGGACAAGGTCGAAAAGGTCATGAAAGAAGTGGATATCCTCATCGCATTGAACCATGTCGGTAATTCATGAGACACGGTACAGATTGTGAAGCTGATGCTTCTTTAGCCTAACATCAACCGAGTTTGGGCCGCGCAACATGATGACCACTTCCTGTCTGTGCAGATCACCCCTCGTTCCTTGAAAAGATTGATGTGCTGACCTTTCACAGACACATATTTCTCGAGCTGTGCACGGGCGGTGATCTGTTCTCATATATTGTTGGCCATGAAAACTCCCGCATGTCAGAAGGCGAAGCCAAGTACCTCATGTTTCAGCTATTCAGAGGTCTGAAATATCTGCATGACAAACTGATTTCTCATCGCGGTACGCTCACGTTGGCTCTCTGTCGAGCCTTCTACTCACAATGCTTGTTCTGACCTCCCACAAAGACCTCAAAGTAAGTAGCAGCATCTTCCGACATCGTTGTTCTTGACGTGATCGTGACGAACGGTGTGGTTTGTAATAGCCCGAGAATATTCTTCTTCATACTCCAGGTCCATATCCTCGGATCCAGATCGCGGACTTCGGTCTTGCTCGCCCAAAAGCCTACCAGGAAACTTTCAATGTCTGCGGCACAGTGTCCTACTTACCTCCGGAAGGGATTCTAGCCCTCGATCACAAACATCTCGGCTATGTCGGCATGCCCGCTGACTGTTGGAGCGCGGGAGTGATAATGTACATCATGATCGCGTACGTGTATATGCCCCGGAATCCTTAGCGGTTATGTCAGCTGCTGATGGTTTGTACAACATAGCGGCGGCCATCCCTTCGATTATGACAAATTGGAGGGCGAGTCAGACTGGTATTCGTACAGCACATCGGAGGTTCTCGGCGATGCCTCACAAGCTCCCGAGCCATCGCAATGTTCCGCACAAAGTGATCGCATTGTGAAGAAGAGGATTGTCCATGGCGAGCCCGACTTTCCCCCGTATGTCTGGGGCAAAATCCCTCACGGTACGCTAATTATCACATCGCCGAATCTGCATGCGTGCTGCTCGCAGAGAGCATTTGTTTCTTACCCAACGTTCTATTCTCTATTGTATCGGACATGCTGAACGTTATTATCCTTTACCAGCGCAATTCCTTTGCAGCCAATTGCTCATCTACAACCCTTTTGAGCGGGCGACCATCCCCGGGGCTCTTCGGAGCGAATGGTTCGAATGTGAATCCGCCGAGCTTGAAGCAGCCTACCGCGACCGTATCGGGACACTCTGAATAACAATCTGCCTCAATTACAAGATGCAGGCGCCGTGCGGCGCTCTCAACTGCCGATCCTCCAACGAAACTAGCTCCCGCGACTTCTGTGCCTGCTGTTCCTATCTTACACACTGTCCAATTAATGCTGTTCTCCGCCGATCCTGTATGTTCCTAGGATTGTCCGTATATCGGAGATATGACATGTACCCTCTTTCAGCATGGAGCGAAGACGTCATCGGCATTTCTACATGTATCTGCCTGCCTTGAGCCTCATCGCGGCCAAGTTTGCGGGCTCACAGGACATCAGGTCACAGTGGCTGTTCTCAACTGCAGTACAGCGTCATGAAGCGACGTAAATCATTGATAAAACAATGGTTATGCGGAGCTGTCGTGCAGCATGATGTTACAACTTATGGTCTTCCTGAATCCTAGTACAGTGTGCAACATAGATTCTCCCTATATTGCGCAATTCGCACTCCTATCACAACATTCCCGGCATCTCACGCCTTAAGAAAGTTCGCGTGGACTGCAAGCAATTGTCAGTCATAGCAGTACAAATTGAATGCATCGTCTGACTCACAATGAATGTGGTCTGCGCCAAAGGTCGAAATCTGCATAGAACGGGGGAAGAGCGGGTGAGAGTGAGCGGGCTGTTGCACGAGGATCACCGAGGAAACACCGGGGGACACGCACAAAGTAGTAGCTGTGGTCGTAGCCCTCCTGGCTTCGCACGCGCACCTGCACCTCATCGTAGCCGACATCCCGAGCGGCCTTGAGGAAGTTCTCCGGGAGCAGTTGGCCCTGCTTGTAGAAGTTGTCCCCAGTGCCCTGGCACGTCGGCGGTGTCAGCAGTGTGAACGAAGAAAGTTGTGGAATGGAGGAGAAGGAAACAGAGGCAGGGTGATGAAACGCACATAGTCCACCAGGATGTGCAGAGACTCCTTCCCCGTTTTCGAGATAAGATCCGTCGCGTCATACTTGTCCTTCGCCTCTGCAATACCGCCCTGCAGGTAACCGGCGAATGCCTTCTCGCCCCACGGGCACTTGGTTGGGTTCGAGATGGGTGAGAAGGCGGACGCGGAGCGGTACTGCTTCACGCCCTTGAGCACCGAGTTGAGATAGAGCGTCAGTGCGCCGTGTCCGCCCATCGAGTGGCCGAAGATTGACTGGCGGTTGAGGTCCTGCGTGGCATCACATTCGAATGAGCCGTTCAGCACACATGACTGAGAACACAGCATACTGACAATGGGCAGTCCAGCAACCTGTATCACCTCAGGGAGCTCCAGCGTGACGTGGGTAAGCATGTTATAATTCTTCGAATACTTCGGGTTGGTCGCATTCAGGTAGAAGCCCGCACCTGGTCGAGAGTGAAGCGTTACATTCCGCTGCGTGCACCGACATTTGATGTTCGAGGACTCACCGGTACCAAAGTCCCAGTCATCGTCCTCGCCCTCAATGCCCGCGCCTCGCGGAGAAGTATCTGGGAAGAGCAGCGCGATGCCCTCCTGCGCGGCTGACCCCAGGAACCCGCCCTTCTGCGCCCTGCACGTCGTCGTCAAGTGCTCGTCAAAATGTATTAGTAGCGTAGTACCCACCCATTGTCTTCTGTGCAGGTGAGACCGGAAAGGTAGAAAAGGATAGGGACCTTCCCATTCGCTGCATTTGCGGGCAGGAAGAGGTTGAAGTTGGCGTTGAGTCCACCGAGCGCGGCAGACTAAGTACGTAGCAATGTCGAATCCCGTTAAGATATGTGACTCTTTCGCGAGCGTATGCCGAGACCGCACTCACCTTGAACTTGTACTTGATCAACTCGCCGCCGAACGCCTTATTGGAAGACACTTTCTCGAGGATGCTCATGCTGCTCAGCGTTCCAACTGCACGTCGGATGCAGAGATACAGGTTGGTATTGCCGGAAGAACTAAGAAGGATGCAGCGGGCAGCGATGTGTCAGACATCGATGGTGACTTCATAGTGGTCGAATCTCGCGCATGGGTTCTCGCGATCGGTTACGCATGAACCGTTCAACGCGCTCATCTGATCATCAATTATCGTCTGGGGAAAATACATTTTCAACAGTGTGATGACGAGCTAAAGTAACAATATTGGCGAGCTACTGCAGACTCGAAGGTAGCGGTCATGGCCAGGGCAGGATCGACTCGACGACGATCCATTTGCGCAGTTCCCTGCGATATGCAATGAGCCCCTAATTAATCATAGGCAGCTTGCATCTACTGGAAAGCGCCGCAGAAGAAGACCACGCGAAACTGTCTACAATGGAGTACTCGCAGCGCAGTTGAGTACCCAGTCCTGAATGAACCATCCATGAATCTTTCTGAGACCATGCTGGGACCAAACGGTACGCACTGGTTATGTTTCCTAGCAGATCTATGGAGTCGGGGCGCTCAGAATTACTCATTCCAGGTTATGACATCGCCCTGGTCTTCCGAGTCGTGGTCGCGCTTGCGGTGGAGCATAAGACGTTCACGCGACGGAAATAGACGATAGCAGTGCTCAAATGCACAGATGAATATCGGCGTCCTGTTCCGCATTCAGTGAATGAAACAAGATGAGTGCGGTGAGTACAATTACTCTGAGGGAGTGGTAACCCTAGCTAAGCCGGATTCGAATTGCTGAGGGGTGGTAGTAACTGGGACTTGCATTAGTATGACCTGCCCATCTCGCAGAAATGCATGAGCGACAGACCATCCTGGAGAGCAGGAGCCGAGGGAAGGACGGAGGGTAAGGAGGGATGCTGCAGCTGGCTCGAGCTCATATCCGTGCGCATTAGCATCAGACCTCCACACGTTACGCGTTACGCGTGCAGCTCTCGTCGCGTGACATCACGTGGTAACAGCATGCGTTGAGTCTCGGGCGTCTAACGTGCTCTGCCTCTGCTCCAGATAACGGTACAGCACTCTCATTGAACATACTGATCACATGTAACTGCTTGAAAAACTTTACAAAAAATCCGCCATGAATCTCTTCACGCTGAACGATGATGTCTGGGAGGTTCTCATGTCCTACCTGGGCCGTTGGGATGCGTTGCACCTCGCCTTAACGTGTCGTGCAGCGTACAAGCTCGCGTTACCTCGCTTCTTGTTGGAGATTGTTCTAGCACAACCCGGCCAAGCCATGCGCTTCTGCGCGTTCATAACAGCCAAAGCCTCGGAGCGCGCACCGTGTCTGAAGCGGTTCACTCTTTTGAATTTCTCCGATTCCTGGGCAAAGCCAGGAAATGAGGTGCTGACGGCAATCGCTCGTGTCATCTCCCTTGCTATAAACATACACGCGCTAAGTATAATATCGACCCGCACTGTCAACTGGATAGACGACCTGTTAGATGCTTGCCCCGCACTTGCAGATGCGATTGCAGGCCTACATGGCCTCGACGACATCCGCTTCCAAGACTGCAGCGTCCGGACCTTGGCCATCATGTCGCGCATGCACAGTCGTCCTCGAACGGTAAATCTGTTCATCACTTGCAAGACCGATCCCAACGGTATCGACTTCTTTGGCCCATTCACCAGAGGAAAAGACAGATTCCTACACAACCTCACCAACTCGCTCGTCACGCTCGAAATAGACCGTTACCCGTCTCTCATCGAGGAGCTCGAGCCAGACACGGTGTGGCCCGCGGTGCGGCGGCTCGCATTATCGGGTGATGTGCACGACCTTCCGCTTATTTCCCGGGCGTTCCCACACATCCGCCACCTCCACATAAGTGAGAACCTGGGATTGCACGTCGGTTCGAGCCTGACTGCATGGTCGAATCTGGATGATGCATTCTTCGACAACCCAGTCCCGCTGACGTCTGAGGTCCGCCGGCTCGAGATCTCGTGCGACCTCAATGATAAAACGAATATCTCACTGGAGTATCCGACGGTGCAGATGGTACGGAACGCGTCTCCGGTCGTCCTGAGCTGCCGCCCAAATTCCAGCTTCCTGAACACTTTGGCCGCGTCGGCGCCGAGCATCAGGTTCCTGCGGCTGTTCACTAGTATAATACGGGTTCGGCTTCATGAAATTGATGAGACGGACATCAAGTACTACATCGTATGTAACTCTCGTGTTGTATCTGCTGCTCGCGAGACCCACGTAATGCATGTGCAGGACAACAAGATCCCCTCGCTAAGGACGCTCGCGCTCAAAGGGCTCGCTCTGGTCCCCGGATGGATGAGCGACCTCGAGGAGCCGAACCTCTCAGAGCACGCGGCGAAGATCGCGAAGATCAACCCCACGCTAGAGTACGTCGCGCTCGGGCCTTCGCTAGAGACGGATGACACGTTCCCAATGACGATTTACGGGTTCGACTATGTACGTTTTACGTGGTTCAGAGTCGTCCGCAGATTCGAGAACGACCTCCCGATGCTGAGAAGGCTCACTGATACGGAGGGCAAGAAGGTCCACGCGGCCTTGCTGGACACCCCTCGCGCGTGAATGGGCCGTTATGTATCCTCATCACAGTAACTCCGCTCTGTGCATCTTCTCGCGTCCTGTTATCATTTTCTTTTCACTCTTGATCATGGCTTCTCTGTCTCTCTTACTTCTCTGCACCTCTAAACATCTTCTTTCGCCTGGAACAGCCATCGTCTAACGCATTTGGCCCCTATGCCACACTATGTGATTCAGTGCACATCGTCTAGCGATTGCTTCGGATCTTTTCTTTCAGCAACCTCCTAAGCTTTGTGCTTATTGTTCTGCCTTTTTCCTGCCTCGTGAATGCTGCTCACGTGTATTATAACGAGCGTAGCATAGGCGCCAGAATACCAGTTAAGTAATCGTAGATTTCCACTATGTAGATCCGGGTATGCGTATGTACGAGTAGTGAAGTACACCATATGCGTGTAAGGTAGCCGAGCATAGCAATCTAATAGTCATCTGTCGTAGTTGTGCGTGTCGTGCCGGATGCGAGTGAGTGTCGATGCGAGAATATGGTGAGACGATGTGCATTGCGCGTGAAGGGGGTGAGAACCGTGGATGCAAGAAACCGAGACCGTAGTCGAGCAATCGCGAGCAAACGTGTTGAATGCGTTTGTCATGACTCTTCGCTGTGCTTACCTCTTCCTCCCTCTTCTGAACGCGCCTGACTCTGCTCCCCGCTTTCCTCTCCCTCTCCCTCCTCGCCTGCGAGCATCGCACCCTTCGCCAAACTATCCGCCATCTCCGCACGCTCGCCTTCTTGTCTAATCTCCT